ACTATTTCCTCCTGATGCTCTTTTCAGAGAAACAAGAATGTTTGATACACGACAAACATAACTCTTTCATATCAGTGTATACATACTATCATAAGAACAGAAGTGAACACAAAGAAATTAAACATCAATATCGTACAAGGCACATTTTTCCTTCTTATTTACCATGTTTGTTGGTCAGTTATGAAAAGTAGCCTAAGGAAATAAATAGCATATATCCCGTCTAACCTGTACGTCTGGCAACATGGCAGTTGAACACGACCAGAGGTGCGCACATCATACACGATCGCCAGACGACCACCTACACTGAAAGAAATGTTATTAACCGCTAATAACATAGGGAATCTGCCTTGAGGTGATCTTTTGATAGATCAGGCGAATTTGAGATTCTAAAATATGCGTAGCCTATTTTAATGATTGATAATACAAGTATCAAAAATCCGTTCGTTTTTTAACTACTTTTTCTCTCATTTGTCTCCTACCTACATATGAATGTTGAAAAATTCTTCCTTTCACAAATACAACCTAATACAATATTTTGGAAAAACCGAAATATGTACCAGAAATATGCATTGGATCATATATAGCATTTGAAAAAGCTACTGATAAAAAAAAACAAATAATACACAGTCTCGAATCCTGCCTTACAAAAGGGCTATACGACTATATGGGCTTAAAACTGACCCGCTAGACTGCTGTCTAGCCTTAGATAGTTCAAAAATATGACCCACAAGAAGTCTAACTTAATAAGAGTTACTTCAGCAAGAAGAATATCTAAATCGTCAATTGTACTAAAAATGGTGGAAGCGCATACTAAAGCGAACCGTACACACCCGCCAATTATATAAATTTCTGGTGAATGCGCTTTTGTAGTTTCCTCGCAAAGTTTTTTCAATTCACAATTAAAATAATGCTTTATCTGTTATTTGGTTGAACACTGATCTGTTAGGTCTGGTTGCCTCAACGAATTCGGGTTAGGTAGAAGGCAACGAATTCGAATAGATTAGGAGCCAAGCCTGGTTTACATGGCGGAGTTTGTGGCACACTGCACACTTTTGGGAAGATTTGGCTACTAATTTTTTTTTATATATCGAAGCAGCCGCGCAGGCAGAAGCCTAAATGCCGGAACACCGCGGCTGCTATGATGATCCCAAAGAAATTTTGTTAATACGATTTTTGAACTGCCTAAGGTTAGAACTGGGAAAAGCTTCCTCTTGTACTAGATTGTTCCACAATCTCGACACCCCCGGGACAAAGGAGCGGTCGTATCGGCCAGTTCTGGAAGTACGAAGTTCGACACGCCTACCAAAATGACAAACCAATACATCGGCGTACTTACATTCTTTTTTCTAGCAGCATGCGGAAAGTGCTCACTTTCAACACGCATCTGCGTGCAGAAAGGAGCATTTCTCCGCACGCATTACTTTTCCGCACGCCTCACGTGTTATTCTTATTCAATTTAATATTTTTGCTAATAGAAGTGATTTGTTCAGTTACGTATTTCATAATCCAAATAACTGTTCTTTTACCTTTAATATTTTTAATGAAAACTATTATAAATGAGTTATTGATGTTGCTGTTGTTGATCATTTTACAATTATTAAATTTCTAATAAAACATAGAACGTATTTAAAATTCTGGGTTGATTATGTTTATGCGCTGCGTTGTTAGAAAAAATCTTATACAGGGTGTTTCAGTTTATTGTTGCATAACTTTAAGATTCGATAGAACTATTAAAATTAATGCATAAAGTCTATATAAACATGGGTCGAAAAATGCGGGACTTCCGAAATACAGGGTGTTTAAATTTACTTTCTAAAATAGTTTTTTTTTAAATATTTCGAACAATATTTGATGTATAACAGTGAAAATTGGTACACAAGGGTTTTTTGGTACAACAAAACGAACCATGGGCATAGTTTTACTGTAGTCGCTAGAGGGCGCTCTCTACTGTACCTGTAGTGTATTAAAATGACCAAACATTTTTTCTTAGTGCAATTTTTTGCTTTTTGAGTAAAAAAACTGATTCTTCGCACTTTTCAACATAAAAAAGCTCTCTTGTGAATTTTCGTTATAGTTAGCCGTTTTTGAGATATTTCGATTTTTAAGGTTCGATGCGTTTTTAATTATTTATGATAAAATAACGTTAAAAAGTCAGTATCTCGATAATTTTTAGAAGTAGGCTGTGCCTGCAAATATTTTTGAAATTGTTGTCTCTTGAAACCTGAAACGTTTTTTTGCAATTGTGAATGCACGAAATTTAGTTTCTTTTACCTGTTTTTTAATGTAAGTTTTAGAAAAATGCCATTTTTATTCTCCAATCAAGAGGTAGCGGATATTCATTTTGTGTATGGCTTTGTAAATGGAAACGCAGCAGAAGCAGCCAGAGAATACGCACGAAGATTTCCAAACAGACGACATCCAACTCGCTCAGTATTTGTAAGAGTGCATCGCCAAATAATTGAAAATGTTCGTCCGCGCAGATTTACCCGTATGATTCTGCGTGAGTTTGATAGAGATCCGACCACAAGTGTTAGGAGAGATTCTGGTGCCTTGGGAATTTCAGCAAGCCATGTTCACCGTGTTCTTAGAAATGACCATAGACGTCCTTACCATTTGCAACCTGTGCAAGGACTACAGCCAGGGGACGGAGAACGAAGAATCACATTTTGTCAGTGGATCCTTGATAGAACTGATAATAATAGGGAGTTTTTAAGTAACGTTTTATGGACCGATTAGTCATGCTTCACTAGACGTGGAGTGGTAAATTTTCATAATCAACATATTTGGTCGCATGAAAATCCGCATGCAGTTCGGGAAAGAAATTTTCAGCATGAATTTAGTGTCAACCTTTGGATTGGTATCTACCGTAATCGACTATTTGGACCCTACCTTTTGCCTGCAAGGTTAAATGCTGCGACCTTCTTGGAATTTTTAAAGGCTGAACATGCAAATATGTGGGATGATGTTATGTTAGATTTAAGAAGATTGGCCTGGTTCCAGCTTGATGGTTGTCCAGCGGATTATTCGAGAATAGTTAGAAACTGGCTGGACGAAAATTATCCAGAAAGATGGATCGGCCGTGGTGGACCAGTCGCCTGGCCCCCACGATCCATTAGATTTCTTTGTGTGGGGATTTTTAAAATAAAAAGTGTACCAGACTCCCGTAAACACAAGAGATATGCTAATAGACAGAGTCAGGAATGCATGTGATGAAATAAGGCCTTATTTGAATAATGCTATACCACGTTCGATCATTCGTAGATGTGAATCGTGTATTGAACAATTGGGTTTACATTTCGAGCAACTACTTGATTTTGTATGTTTGTCCTAACTATCCAATAGCATTTTGGTTGTAAATAATTAATTTAATTTGTTAAAAATAATATTGGAAAATTAAACAAATTAATATTCTGTTTCTTTGTGTTTATTTGGAGTTAGGAATTATTGCTGTTTTTAAAAACACAATCTAAACGATCATCTTAATTACTTGTAATGCCCAAATCGAAAATGTAAGAAAAATATTATTTTCCCATAAATAATTAAAAATGCATCGAACGTTAAAAATCGAAATATCTCAAAAACGGCTAACTATAACGAAAATTCACAAGAGAGCTTTTTTATGTTGAAAAGTGCGAAGAATCAAGTTTTTTATTAAAAAAGCAAAAAATTGCGCTAAGAAAATTTTTTCGGTCATTTTAATACACAACAGGTACAGTAGAGAGCGCCCTCTAGCGGCTACAGTAAAACTATGCCCATGGTTCGTTTTGTCGTACCAAAAAACCCTTGTATACCAATTTTCACTGTTTACATCAAATATTGTTCGAAATATTTAAAAAATACTATTTTAGAAAGTAAATTTAAACACCCTGTATTTCGGAAGCCACGCATTTTTCGACCCATGTTTATATAGACTTTATGCATTAATTTTAAAAGTTCTATCGAATCTTAAAGTTATGCAACAATAAACTGAAACACCCTGTATACTTGCGGAGAGTGTATTTTTCGCACTTGTTAGGTAAATAACTATTCTCTGGAAAGGATATTCAAGCAGCCAATAACACTGAGAGTACGCACGTACAGCAGGAGTATTATCTGTGGTGTGATATGGATCGCTGTTATTATTCGCAAATAGGAATAAACTAAATAAGAGAAGAGAAATTAAAGTAGATAGATATTAACGGTACAGAATATAAGCAATTCTGGCTTGATTCTTGACTTTGGAAGGTAAGAAATACCAAAAATTGTCTCCGTAAGCAGCAATGATGAAATTACACAGTATTTCTGAAAGTAGGGAATAACGCCCCTTACAGAGATCTACGGGGGAGGGGTGATAACTTTGAGAGGCAACGCAATAGATTTTTCCCTCTGTTCATTTGTCAGAAGAGCATTGGCTCTCAGAAGCATTGATGCAGAATGCGATTTTTTTATAAACAAGAGGAAATGGCGGTGTCATTCCTCTTTCCTTTTTTTCAATTAATTAACAAATTAATAAAACACGACAAATTAAATCTAAGGGTCAGCCATTGCAAATTTAGGCCCTATCCCAATGAAGCGGAGAGCAGAGGGGTTAATGGCGCCAGTGACTCAAGCCGGATTGAGCCACAAATCCCCGAGCTGTTAGTCGGAACCTGTTTTGCTTGACCACCCACATAAAAGAAAAGGATCTAACAGCAATAACGTAACCTAATTAATTGTACAGAGACAAATAAAACAAGATATTGAAAAAATCACGATATATTAACTAATTAAATAACACGTATGGTCCACCACTGGAGTGCTAGTTAAAGAAAAAGATATTATTTAAAAACTGCCGCACAATAAAATTATTAAACCAGGATAATTAACCCTGCAAAACGTTTACCATGATATACCCACGAAGGCTTTACAAATATTTTAGCGCCTAAACCTAAACTTCTCTGGATAGTGGTCTTCTCCCACTCACGGCTCTAGGCGCAGCCGAGATGCTTCAGCTCACAAACGCTCAGGTTAAAAACCAGTAGCCCGTAGTGGGCAGTGATGGGAGGAATTAATTTTGAAGATGTAGTAAGGTAAGTGTCACAGTGACAGTTGGGCATTCTTAATCTGTATAAGTACTATCAAAGAGATAGAAGATGCATGGGGCTAAAGGGTTCAAGTCGGGTCAACCAGATAAATATGAGAAAACGTCAGCATCTGTTGGAAGGGAGCGGAAAACATATGGAAATAAGCGATCAGCTCCACCGAAGAAAAGTGGTCGTAAACGTGAGTATTTAGACCTGTCTGAGAAAGAGGCAAAAAAACTAAAAAAAAAAATAAATCGCTCAAGCTCTGTTTTTTGACATTTCAAAGGATTCTGGTCATTTTTGAAAACATGTTTAGAATTTAGTGGTGGTAGAGCCATGGAGGAGAGTATATTTCATTCTTTTAGATCGTTTAACTTGTGCTGAACTTAATCCTTTATGAACTGGTTTTTTGTGTTTCATTAAAATCAACCTTTCAAGCTAAGTTTTGAGCTTTTAGACTATGTACAAGCAAGGCGATAAACGGTACTAATTAATTAGCAAAATAGTTTGATTCGACCTCTATTGTTAGCAAACAAAAATTCAAATATCTTGTTTTTAGCATTTCATGTGACGCAAAATTTCAATAATGCTTATAATTGTACCGAAGATGTTTTGGGAACTAAAAATTCCAGGGTCGGATAAGTTATTCCCTGAATTTATGATTATTTCGCAAGAATAGCAATAACTATGAATTACGCATTAAAATTATTTTTAATCTATCTAAAAATTGTTATAATGGGTAATTTTGATGGCTAACAATGCAATCGAAAAGATTTCACGAAAATCCATTTAATGGAGCCGAGTTCCGAGGTTTTAATATTTGTATGTTAAACTCTCACAGAGCTCCATTAGAAAACTCTCGACTTTAGAGGAAAGTTCGTAAGAACGCTTTTGTTCAGATTGATCCAAAACATCTGAAAAACCTTAAGCGGAGAGAAAAAACAAGTTTTTCAATATGTTGAAGGAAATGGTTTAAATAATTAAACGACCTAACATTGGGCGTGGCAAGGGACCTTTTCGAATGGCATTATACAGGAAAATTTTTCTGCAGTTACTTTAGTGCCATGGAACGCAGAGAACGCCTATTCATAGAGTACACTTTTCCTCCAGGTCTTAAGTCCAGTTTTGAGTTGATATCACTATAAAATAATTACACTATTTCAGCTTTATATAGTAACAAAAAAATTGGAAGCAACATATTAGGCGTTTGATATCTATTTTTTAATTTTAATATTTGAGTAATACGCCAGAACTAATTTCATTAAATTATTTTTCAGCAACATGGATGACCAAAAGTATGGCTGAAGATTACAGCCGAGAAGATATATTGAGAGCTACTGTCATTGAATTCCTCAGCTATTTTGTTTTTGTGATTTGCGTATGTTGCTGTGAGTATTAGGTTATTCAGAAATCTATAAGTCTACAAGTAAGGCTAGGATTTTGATGAAATTATATACACCTATTAATATGCCAAGGTTAGAAATCGGTCCAGTGGCGGCGGAGGAAAAGCCAAAAACGAAAAAATAAAAATCGCTCAACCTTTGTTTTTTGACGTTCCAGGGAATCCTGATCAGTTTCATAAAACAGGTGTTGAAATTCGGGGGTTGCAGGTTATAGGGATGAGAGAGGGTATATGAAAATTTGTTGATCTTGGTATATTTATACGCTCCCTACCCCGGTACTTTTATGCATCTATACAAAGTGACATATAAATCCGAACACCCAGTTTAAATGGTATTATTTTAATAAAATTTTGTATAAGTACTTAATGAAGCATAATAAGTAAATGATAAAAATTTCAAAATGATTGCATTGCTTTAAAGCCCTTTGACCTTTAATAATGTGTGGATGCACCCTGATGTGCTACGCATTCTCCAACGCGCCTAGGCATGCTTCTGATCAGGTGGTCAATGTCCAGGCAACCACCAACTCCTCTCGAAGTGCTTCTAGAGTCTGAGGAGGACGTTGCAAATTGAGCAATATCCTACCCATCATATCCCACACGTGCTCAATTGGGGATAAGTCGGGAGATCTTGGTGGCCATGGTAACAATGTGACATCATTATGTTGAAAGAAGTATATTGTGACTCTTGCAACATGTGGTCGGGCATTATCTTGTTGGAAAGTTGGATCTGCCAAGGTGTCAAGATAGGGTAAAAAATGGAGTTCTAGAACTTCGTGGATATAACGCTGCGCGTTCATGTTACCTCTGATGAAGATTAAAGGTGATCTGGAACCATAAGCTATAGCACCCCAAACCATAACTCCAACAGTGTGATAAACATGTCTTCCAACAAAAAACTGTGGATTCCTCCTTTCACCACGTCGCCTTCTAACCCTGGCACGACCATCGTGCATGCCTAAACAAAATCGAGACTCGTCACTAAAGACAATACTGTTCCATTCCTGATCCCAGAGTGACCGTTGTCTGCACCACTCAAGGTGATTACGTCGGTGTTGTCGAATTAAAGGGAGGACCCAGTGTGGCCGGTATGAAAACAAGCCAAAACTTCTCATTCGTCGGTAAACACTTCGCATGCCAATAGGTCTTCCGTGTTCTGCAAACCATTCATTTGCAATGGACCTGGTAATGGAGAAACGGTCCCTTAAGGCCAATAATCTTAGGCGGCGATCTTCACGGTCTGTTGTTCTACGGCGGCATCCAGTGCCCCTTGCTCTTTGCGTACGGCCTTCTCGAAGCCATGCCTGACAACACCTAACCACAGTGTCTACACTTCTTTGCACTCTAACTGCAACTGCCCGAAAAGAAAGTCCAGCTTCCCGAAGTCCCACTATACGGCCCCTATCAAACTCACTAAGTTGACGAAAACGTACAGGTCTCCGTACTCTAGGCATCGTAACCGATCGTAAAGGATGTCAAGAACCAAAATCCGCCAACGTTGATTCTTTACTGCGGCTGAAATATTCATTTTTAGAGCGTTAGTGAATTAAAAAAAAGCAGTATAAAAACCGGAATGTCCAACTGATAAGGCTGAAAATTTTTTGTTATTTACAGTAAGATAAATACATTCACCAACTTTTATTAAAATAAAACCATTTAAACTGGGTGTTCGGATTTATATGTCACTTAGTATATCAGTCATATTTTGCACATCATGTCTCGTCCATAACACGAAGTGGCGTATCTCGTTTTTTCCAATTTTACAGTAGAGCGCTTTGAACATTTTCACGAGATTTGAGTTGTTTATTTATTTATTTACTCATGTTTGGGGTGCAACAGAATGTGAATTCCAAAGACAGCACCCGCTGCTTACTATAGTGATAAAATATAATGATACATAGATTACAAAATCCAGAAGATGAAAATCTGTAACACAAGCCTACTATATGAGAATAAACAATACTATGATATAGCAACTACCATAAAACGATATAAATTCAATTTTTTTTTTAAATTAGCATGTATCAGTTACACTATTCCATGAATCGCACTAATCACCAAAAAACACAAACACAGAGCACGTTACTAGACAGCTTTGATAACAAAACATATAAAATACTGTATAAAAGTATTAATGGTTGACAACAGTATCACAGCAAACACAACAATTAGATAGTATGATACTATCCTATGTAAGCTGCCTCCTTACCGTTGCTTTAAACTTGTTAAAATTAACCACAAAAATGTCCAAATTTATAGAGGTATCGTTAAACACCCTCTGGGCCCTAATTACAGGTGAGTTGACTCCTAAATTCGTTCTACAGAAGGGAATCTTGAAAAACTTGGAATGGCGGTAGTTCATATCTGGCACATTAATATTTATTTTTGAAAGCAAATAAGGACAGTCAAAATTGTTGAATATTTTGCATATAAGACACACGTCGTACATAATTCTTCTACTTTTTAAAGTCATGATATTGAAATGTTGTCTAATATGATCATAGTTTCCGTCACGTACCGGATTACCGATTTTAAAACTTAATCTCTTCAGGAATCTATTTTGTACACTTTCAATTCTATTTATGTATGTAATATACTGAGGGTTCCATATAACGGAAGCAAAGTTCAACTTGTTATAAATATATGCATAATATAGGGATGTCATGACTCTTGCACTGTTGAAGTCCCTGCAGATTCTACAGATAAATCCCAACATTTTGTTTGGTTCGCAAATCAAGTTTTCTATGTGTGGTTGGAAAGTCATTTTTGCATCTAGGAAGACTCCTAGGTCCTTCACTATATCGGTTTCCTTCAAAGGTGAATTTTTGATTTGGTACCGGTATTTGTTCCGGGAGAGTCTAATAAAAATACATTTATCAGCATTTAGAAACAAATCATTATTGTCACAAAAATTGACAAAAGTATCTATATCACTTTGGATTTCTTTACAGTCATTAATGTCTCTCACTGTATGGAATATTTTCAAGTCATCGGCGTATAATAGACAATTTGCATATTTAAAGGATTTCTTTAAGTTGTTGATAAAAATTATAAATAATAAAGGACCTAGATGACTTCCTTGTGGGACGCCAGACGTAACCGTAACTGGCAGCGACTTGAAACCGTTGATAGCTACAACTTGCTTACGATTGGTAATGTAAGACCATATCCAATGACATAGTGCATCGTTGACACCAGTCTCAGCAAGCCTTTCAACCAGCAATTCATGATTTATTTTATCAAAAGCCTTGCTGAAGTCGGTGTACATGCTATCGACTTGAGTCTTGCTATCTAGGGCTTCACAAATATAATCAGTGTAACACAAAAGATTAGATTCTAGGGAACGGTTTGGAAAAAATCCGTGCTGTTGGTCGATTATTATGTTTTTTACTGATGGAATTATTAGGTTGTAAACAACTTTTTCGAGCAACTTTGCAAAAGTGCACAGACCACTGATAGGTCTATAATTATTTACCAGTTGCTTATCTCCATTTTTGAATATCGGAAGTATATGTGCAACCTTCCATCTAGTAGGAAAATATCTTAGTTTTAGACTTGCGTTAAATATAATCTGTAAAGGTACACATATACTTTCCGAACATCTTTTAATGAAAATGGGAGGGATGTTGTCGGGACCTGAACGTTTGTTTTCGTCAATATTACAAATGAGATTTTTGACTGTCTCTAAAGGCAATGAGTATGAAATGCTATGATTTCCCTTCACTTTTAGAGGAACTAAGTTGCACACATTTTCACCATCACGAGCAATTTTATCTTTATAGTAAACTGTGCTGGGTATAGATTCGTGATTTTTCTTTTTGCTGGCATCATATTTCCAAAAGTTCTTGCTGTTTAAAACTATTTCTTCTTCAATGTTTTTCACATAGTCTCTGAAATCCTTAGCTATCATTTGTTGTGATTGTTTCCTTAATTCACAGAATTCCTAATAGTAGCGAGGTTCTTTATAAGATCTGTATTTTTTATGAAATTTGTTTTTTTCTTTGATCTTCTTGATCGTATCGTGCTTAAAATAAGAGGGAAAGTTCCCTCTTACTTTAAATGTAGGTACGTTTGAGGCTATTGCTGAGTTTAGTTTTTCATAAAAAATATCAACCATTTTGTCCAAGCTATCGACATTGAACAACTTGACCCAGTTTATATTGATAAAAAATGAATTTATAGCTTCGTAGTCTGCTTTTTTAAAGTTGTGAACAGTACGGTTCTCTTGAGATAACAAGCTGAGCCTTTTGTTGGAATAAAAAAACTCGATAGCAGGATGATGATTATCCTCATTAACTAAACTATCGGAATGCAATATATTTGAAATCACACCTTTATTGGAGAAAATTAGATCTAACAATTTATTGTTGCAATTAGCTATTAAATTAAATTGTGCCATTTCTAGGTGCTGACAAAAAATTATTATTGCTACATAATTGAATTTGTGGGTATATCTGCTCATGTTTACAAGATTTTAAAAAATGAGCAACGATTAACCCATCTTTCATTTTATGTGTTAAACATTTCCAAAAAAAAGTAGATACGTGATTTTGTGAAATTGAAGGGTCGTAATTCGTAGAATAAAGACTTAGTTACGTCCGTATTATATTAAAGTGATGAAACATAAGAACTCGTAAAATTAAAAAAAAATGTTTTATTACAAGACAAAATGGTTACAAAAAGGGTACCACTGAATATTATCGCGAAATAAGTAATCGCAGTATCTAAAACTATTCAAACGTTAAATAAGCACAAACAAAAGCTCACTCAAATAATAATGTTATAATGATATCTGTTAAATATGAACAAAATAATAATTAGTTTATCTATTACTCAAGAGGAGGATTTAAATAGATTCTTTGGTATTCTTGTAAACAAACTACCGGTATATCTCCTTCACACAGCGACTTCAAACCCATATTTTTTCGTAGTAATTTTTCTTGGCTCTGCACTCAGAACTTCGAGTTGAATATCTTTAAAAATAGTTTTGTCTGTTTTAAGTCTAAAAAAGCTGAATTGGTGCTGAAGGTGAAGTTAAAAAGATAGATACGTCACAGTGCGTATAGTGATAAAATTAAAACTACAATTCTACGAACTGACGTAACTTGAGTTAAGCTCCCTTGTGAAATTTAATTTCCTATTAAAATGACATAAGTCTAATATGATTTTTCTGTAACTCTGGAGGTATTAGAAACTGACTTATGCCACTTCGTGTTATTGAAGAGCAACTTCTTTTAAGTAATAAAATCGACTCAACCCAATTTTCGTTACGTCACTTCGTGTTATTGACGACGATATATTTCCCCGTATATTTGCATTTAATACAGGATGATACAGAAATAGTTTCGATGCGAGTACTCGTACTATCTAAGCTCACTGTTACATATTCTTAATCGACTTTTTCTCAGTGGATTTGAAATGCGCCGAACTTAGTCCTTTATGAACTGATGACGGCGTTGCGCAGGAAGTTCAGAGTCAACCTACTTGACGCAATTTTTTTATGAGATTTTACTTTCAATTTTCGGTCAATAGGTATTTCACAAAATATGCTAAATGGTACAGTTTACCCAACCTAATCCAATGTTTTTGGATGTTATATGACAGGTATATCGCGAAAAGCCATGTCACTCATTTCCATCTATTTGTCCGCCTGCTAATACGGCTCGAATTTTGATGAAAAATTGAAACAATGTTACTACTTATTTGCACAGTCAACCTACTTGACGCCATTTTTTATTTCGCACGATTTTTAACTGTTTTTTAACATTGTATTATTTTATAGTCGTAATGGGCTCTCAAAGTTCATACAATTATTACCTAACAAAGAGTGTGAGTACACAGTTTGTGGAGAAAGAATTCGATACAGAAAGCGGATTCTCTATTAGATTTACAGGAATCAACAGTGCAGCAGATTTATGGATGGTAAAAATAGATATATCGTACTTTTATAAAGCCTTCAAGTATTTATCTCAGGGTTTCTGTAATGTAACGTAATAAAGGGTTGTCCAATAGGGACGCAGGAAAGTAAACGTCAATTTGACATAGACGCCATCTTTGTTTTCTGTCACTGACATGTCATTTTGTTAGTTGAATGTTTACCATTGATCGCTATGGAGTCGTATTCGATTGAAGACCGCATTAAAGTTATTCAAGAGCACTACAAAAATGGTGCAGAAATAAAAAACACGTTTCGCGCGCTTCGTGAACGTGAGAGTGTGAGAGACGATCCGAAACAATCAACAACGCGTCGATCCCAAGAATTGGGCATTTCGAGAACCAGTTTGCTCTGCATTCTCCACAAGGATTTGAATGTACACGCCTACAAGATCCAATTGACGCAAGAGCTGCGTCGGGCCGACCATTTTTCGCGCCGAACGTTCTCAGATTGGCTCCTTCAATACCGCCAAATAGATGCCAATTTTTCATCAAACATCATGTTCAGCGACGAAGCGCATTTCACTTTGAATGGGACGGTAAACAAGCAAAACTGCCGCATCTGGACGAACGAAAATCCCCGTGAGTATCAAGAACAGCCGATGCATCCTCAAAAAGTAACTGTGTGGTGTGCATTGTGGTCAAAAGGCATCATCGGACCTTACTTTTTCGAAAATGCGGCCGGGGACGCCGTTACCGTCAATTCTGAGCGATATCACGTGATGATAGATGATAACTTGAAGGAATGGATATGGACGATGTTTATTTCCAACAAGACGGTGCAACATGCCACACAACCAACATCAATATCCATCGATTGCAGTCCTTCTTCAGTGATCGCGTGATTTCGCGCAGAGGAAATGTGCCATGGCCACCAAGATCGTGCGATTTGACTCCCTTGGACTTCTTTTTATGGGGATATTTGAAAAGCAAAGTCTACGTCAACAAACCAGCCACCCTCCAAAAACTCAAAAACAACATCATTGCCGAGATAAATGCCATAGAACCGACCATGTTGCAAAATGTCATTGAAAATTTCGACCATCACGTGGACGTCTGTAAATCCAGTCGTGGTGAACATTGGAGCGATATTATTTTTCATACATAAATGGTATAAATGTACCTTCAAAATAAAGTACCCAACTTGATTTGAATATCAATCTTTCTTGTTTTAATATGCGTTTACTTTCCTGCGTCCGTTTTGGACAACCCCATATAAAGGTGGGTATGAAGAACTTTTCTCAAAACTAGGCATGCTCCTTTTATTGATACTTCTGAGATAATTTATTCAAAAGTTACATCGATACATAAAATGATTTTAGTACTTGGAGAAACATTTCGTTCCAAGCCTTTTCTGGGAATACACCTATGACAAAGAAAGCATGAAAGATGAGAACGCAATGAATATTATGTACGACAATAGAGTTTTAGGTGTTCCAAGAATTAGACAGGTAATCTCTATTAGATGTATGTTTTATATTTTGAATTTTAAGAACTTTTCTATATTGCAATGTTTTGGTTTTATGTAATAATGATCTACAAACCTTACTCGATTAAGAAGGACTTTAATGCGGGCCATTCACTAGACGGACCTGAACTCGGACGGCAACCGGGACCCGACTGACGACTCATCCACGTTTGTCAATACATTAGACGGAAATTACACGAACCCTGCAAAAGAGCTCATTTGTACACTGAATGTAGCGAACCCAATAGCATTATGTCTCCGATATTATCTAAAAAGGCGAAAGTTGCTTTGGCTGTAGGTACAATCATATTATTAGAATCAGAAAAAAAGAAAAAACGTGTTTGGGTGAAAGAATGGCTGCAAAAGAGAGAACAATTTACTCATTTGCGATTATTGAAATGTATCCAATCATGTGAACCACTTGATGTTATAAATTACCTCAGAATGGACTATGACGCATTCCAAGAATTATTAATGCTAGTAAAACCTCTGATAGAAAAGAAGAACACTTTATTCAGAGAAGCAGTAAGCGTTGAAGAACGTCTGTTGGCCACCTTGAGGTTTCTGGCAACTGGAAGGAGTTATGAAGACTTAAAGTTTTCTTGTATAATTTCTCCTCAGTTACTTGAAAGAATAATTCCAGAAACGTGTCGTGCTATATACAACTGCCTCCGGAAGAAATACTTATAAGTACAATAATTATTTTTTTCATGTATTCTGATGCATATAAGAAACAGAGTGTTGAAAAAACTTTTATTATTTCAAATTATGTCTAACAATTAAAGATATGTGAATCAGTCTGTAATACTCGTAGTACCTTATCACTTCTTAATTATTTTGCCTGGGAAAAACTAAAAATTCTTCCATCACTTCCCTATTTGCAGACGCCTGATTTGGAGTTGTCAAAGTGGTAAAAGTTGGTACATCTGGTTGACGTGTATATCACGTGCTGGGTTCATTAAAGGTTGGGTTAATGGATGTTGTATACCTGGAGCATGAGTTTTGAAATATTTGTGCTTGCGGAACGCATGGGGCACTTTGATATGATGGTGGTTGGTAACCCAGGGAAATATGAGAAGAATGTGTGAGATTTCCCAATTTTGCATGGTATAGCACATCCGAAATCAGTTTTTGGGCTATTATCTTCTGTCCAACTGCAATATCCTGTAATTGTTGACCAGTATTTTTGACAAATGTTATTTCTTGTGGTTCAAGAACATCCTGTTGCGGAGTTTCCAATACTTTTATGGAAGCATCCAAAAATTTATTTTTCTTCTGTGACCAAGTTGTGCAGTTGAGAGTTCGCTTGTTACGGGAACTTGGTGTTGCACTTTGAGGAGCTTCAGGCGATAAAACTGATGATGAATCTAAATCTTGATCAGAATGTTGTGTGTATGCATCGTTTTTGGTTTCAGTTTCCATCAAAAGAAGAGGAATGGCTCAAAGTAGCAGAAGGATTTAACAATATGTGGCAATTTGAAAATTGCTTAGGAGCCGTAGACGGCAAACACATAGCTATCAAACAGCCCCCAGGAAGTGGTTCATACTATTATAACTATAAAGGATTTTTCAGTGTTGTGTTGTTTGCTATCGTAAATGCTAATTATGAATTTACTTATGTAAGTTGTGGAACTAATGGAAGAATATCAGACGGGGGGGGGGGGGTCATTAAGAAAACAGATTTTTACAATTTACTGATAACAGATTCTTTAAAATTACCCCAACCAGTCAATATGCGAGGAATTCAAAATAAATTGCCCTTTGTGTTTATTGGGGACGAAGCCTTTAGTCTAATGACAAATTTCATGACGCCATACAGACAAACCAACACTATTGGTTATGAAGAAAAATGTTTCAACTATCGACTTTGCCGTGCCAGGCGCGTAGTAAATGCATTCGAGATCATGGCAAATAGATTCAGGATTTTCCTAACGCCAATAGCTACTAAAGTGGATACAGTTGATGATATCGTTATGGCATGCTGTGTTTTACACAACTTTTTACGCCGCAAAAGCACTTCTTACATACAACCTAGTAACATCGATACTGAAGACATTATCTCAGGGACTGTATTGATAGGTGATATGCACATGAATGGAGAACTAATATCATTAGATGTGTCCAGGCAAGGATCTCAGACTATTGACGCAGAGATGATACGAAATGGATATAAAGAATATTATAATAATGCAGGTGAAGTTGACTTTCAACACAAATTTGTATATTAAGTTTAAGATGTATAGTATATGTGTTGAAATAAAATATCTGAATTATAATAAATATTGTCTTTTTAGATTATTTGTTAGTTAAAATATCTACTTACTGAGGCCTGTGATTGGTCATCTAGGTTATTTCCTTCTATCGAAGAAACCGCTGCACGAGACTCTTCTTGATCCATCAGGAAAGACAATAGATCAAAATACCACAATGTAGGTTCTGGTACATCTTCTGTTCCCACCCCACTTCTCTTTGAACTATTAATTCGCCTTATGGCGTCGGAAAGATGACCGTAAGGACGATATTTTTTTGATAACAAATTTCTTGTTGGCATCTGGAAACATTTCTTTGCTTTTGTTAATTAAATTCGCATACGCAGCATTTTTTTTCTGTTTGTTGCGGTAATCCTTACACTTGATGTCCCAAAGACAAGGATTTTCCTGGTAAAGTTGAATAAATTCCTCCCAAAAAGATTTATTATCTTCAAAAGACATTTTAATTAGAATTCCCTTCAAAAAATGCCTGATACTTTCGTTGATCTCGGAAGAACTCTTTCGTCACCGGACAAGTCTTGACAAGTTACACACACATTGTAAAAACAGCACGGATTGGTCGCGGTCGGGTCGTAGGTTCGGTATTCAAACAAGCGAACTCACAACCCGACCCGGACCGCTGTGCGACATGTCTTTCGATACCATATATTGGCGGATCGGTCGGCGGACAAGTCAGGACGAACCAATCCGTCACACCAATCCACTAATGAATGGGGGGCTTAAAACACGAACCAGCATCACTCCTTTAATGGTAAGATATTTGAGGTTATAGTCAACAAGTGAACTATACCCTATTTCGCGAGTATCCATCACGCTTTGACGTCTACTGAGGTGAACAGCTGATGACATTTCTGTGTTATTCTATGACGATGGCCATAACGAATATGGTGTGAATCTGGTAAAACTTGTTTGTAGCGTTTTGTTTTTTGTAAGCAACTGAACTTTTCTGAGTAAAAGAGCTGTTAGCAAGTACAAAATGAATCTGTAGCGTACACAAAACCAAAACAAAATACGGCTCTGACTACCTGACGTTGACGGATCCGTCAGAAATTATGTGTCCTGTACCGATATGGGGAATTTTGAGATATTACTAGATAATCGGCTGTCATTCTACCGTGATGGATACTCGTGAAATAGGGTATATGAAACCAGCGACACCGACACAAAAAAGTTACAGTTATTTGGTGTCAATGATGATTTCGGCAATATTAAAGATAAGTGAGTCATCTCTAAGGTACGCTCTGATTGAGAACAGGAACCAAACTTTCGTTGGGTTCAAACCCTTAAAATAAATCGTTTTGTTCCAACTTCTTCTTTCGAAAATGCTTTGTGGTTTTCGAAAATCTGGCAGCGAGGCTACGGGGCAAGAATCGAAGAAAGTGGAAATCGCTCTTCATCTTTTGACGTTTCAGAAGCTCCTGATTATTTTCAAAAAAAATGTTTAGTGGTTGAACATCCCCCATTTATTTGCTCGTAAAACTCGAATGATAGGTGTTTCGATACGCACCTCTACTTCTGATCTCTGGGTTCATCGGCGGGCGTCCCCATCTCGATGAGTGTCTTGCCATTATTGGAGACGACGTTGCCAGATGGACGGTTCTACCAGTAGGGCAGGGAAAGAATGCCTGTGAACTAATTGTATGGACCTGTTTGACTGACCTGCTCCATTTAATTTCTCTGTTATACATATTTGTAACTAATTTTTTTCTGCTTAACATAATCCTTTATCAACTGATGACGGCGTGAGAACTACAGACTAAACCTATATTAAGAACGGATTATTCCTTTGAGGTTAAAGCAAAAATTAAAATATACCATTTAAATTTTTAGGTGAAAGTACGAAATGACACGTGTGTAGTGCACACATACTTCCGTGATAGATTCAAAGGTTGTTATGGCCGTTACAACTCTCTCAACGCAGATAAAGACGATTTTGGGCCTGGAGGAGCAACAGCGTAAGAATTACGTAACATTTACTTTTACTTTTCGTTCTTACTGGCAAGGAAGTATTGTAATCTCGAAAAATTTCGAAAATGAGATGTTTTTGGATGCTTTGCTATATGAGATGTACATCACGAATCATGTTACTCATTTCCGTCTGCTTGTCTGTCTCTCTATCTGTCGATCAGCTAATCCTGGGCCTGTCTACAACTTGCAAAGTGCCGTTCTGGTTTGAATGAAATTTACTATTGTGTGTCTTAAAGCTTCATAGTTTTTCAAAATCGGTTCAGTGGCGGGGCGGGGCAAAAACGTTGTTTCTTCACCTTCCACTGGCCCCTGATCATTTTCCGAAAAAAAAATTGTAGGGGTTAAAAATTGGAGGTTACGAGTTATACGCCGGTAATTCTATGCACATATTAGACGTATTTCACTCATTACAGATGTCTCCGCAGATTTATTCTTAAAACTTAGAAATATCTCCAGCAGTCGTGTGTCATGTCTAGTACATTGAAAAAAAGAGATGCTTGCTTGTCGCTTTGGGAGGCTGAACATCCTTGTAATTTTCAAATATCACTTCTCAGTCAAAATATAGTTTCCATGCACCAGTCCCATCGCCGCGAATTTTATATAAGCTCTGAATATCGCTACAGGAATCATAAAATATTTTTATTTTCAGATGGATCTATAGCTCTGAGGAAGAAACAAAAAGCATGTCGCATACCGGCCAAGTAGCCACATATACTGGAGATGGATTTTATACTGATCTATTCAGAGATCGTAACAGAACCATAGAATTAATTCAATATTTGAAAGAAAACGAGTGGATTCGAAGGGGCACTAGAGCTGTCATTATAGATATGACAGTTTATAACACTAACACTGATCTATACGCAGGCATGTTGTAATCGACAAAGTCAAATTAGCTATGTATGTATGTACTTTACCCTAGGGATGTGACAAAATTGGTTAACGGAAAATGGAGTTGTTCTTTTTCAGTATTAATCGATTTGTCAAAAATCGATTTTGGAAGAAAAACTTATCGATTTTTTTTTTGTAAAAACAGATTTTTTCTACTAGCCAACAAATGAATTATTTTTCTATATGTATAGTAGTAATAGTAAAAATAAGGGATGCACATCAACAATTTACCAGGCACATTTATATTACCTTAGACAGTCGAAAATTTAGCGTTGGTATGTTTATTAAAACGCAAACAAAATTTTGCTAAGACAAAAAATGGGGAGGAGTCGGGTTTTCGGAAATTCTAGAAGAAAAAACGTCGGAACGCGTATATGTAAGCATAATTACATATTTTCTTTCTGGACATTGACGGCACAGCTAAACATTTAAACCTACAACACTGATGCAAAAAAATTGCATAGATTGTCGTACCTCTATACATTTTTTGTCAGACCTCTGTACACTTCACACTTCACAGTCAAAACTATATCAATTATAAAGTCAAAGAAATTAGAAAAACTGGAGATTTCGACATCATGTGTACCTCAATCATTTCTTAAAGTCCAACAAAATATGTTTCAACGGTTTTTTAAATTTTAGTCCTAATAATAAAAATTCGATAAAACCCAACTCGAGCCAAAACATGTAACTTTTATTCTTATGGGTGATTTGCAGTTCGTTAAAAAATACATATATACACAAAAATTAAATTCAAGCGAATAACCAAATGAAAATGATATTTAGTTTGGTTACAAGCTCCGTGACGTCATGAATCAGCTGTTATATATCATAGTTATCACCACAAAAAACGTGGTATTTACCCAACTCAGGAGTAGTTTTATATTTCTGGTTATTATTTGAAATGTGACAGGCTGACTTCAGTTGCAGCATAAAGTAGAGCACCTTATATGTTATACTCATTACTGTTGTTGGGGACACTTTAAATCTAGTTCCTATGCGTAACAAAGTATCCTATGTAGCCATATACCACCAGGATATTAAGGCAGTTCCGACGCAGTGAGTTTCAAGCCATTTACAAGGGTTCAGTTGCATCGAAACTGACACTCTATTTTTCAATATTTTTGAATGAAATTCATACATTATGTTAAGAAGATAATTGCCCAGGGTGCTGTAGGAGCACTTTTTGAAATTTTGTTTTTTCACAAGTTTTATGATGGGTTAAAGTGCGCACTTTTTTTGTTCTACTTCGCGATTTTTTTAAAAAGAACCAAGTGAAAAAAATGAAAAGGTGGCTCTATAGCACCCTGTGTGGTTTTGTTTTCAGCACACTGTGAAAATTTCATCCCAAAATATCAAAAAATAAAGCGTCAATTCCGAAGCGCGCAAACCTCTACATATCGTATTTTAGACGAATTTTATCTACTGTTTCGTGCTGCCAACCCAAGCGTTGCGGCGCAATGTACGGACTAAGAAAGGACGTATTCAGATAATTTGGTGGCCTTTTTCATATAATATCGTGTAGATAAGTCGTTCTGCAAATAGGTGCTCATAATCGCGATCACCGTTTTACTTCCCACGCCATTGGCGAGAAAGTATTGTATTCGCGAAAAATTTCTAAAATGAGATGTTATGACATCTACATCACGAAAAACTGTATCACTTATCATGAACTTGGAAATTACCGCTCGGATTTTTATGAAATTTCCACACAGAGTTACTAGTATGCCAAGGCTTTGTAGTTTTAGTCCAGTGGCAACGGGTGCTATAGGCAAAAAAGAAAAAGTAACCATTGCTGAAACTCCGTTTCTGACGTTTCAGGAGTTCCTAATCATTGACATAAAAAATGGTACTGCTTAAAAAGGGGGTTTGAAATCAGTGAAACACGTTGTATTATTAAGAAGCTTCTGATCTCAGTAATTACAGGAAATTTAAATAACGAAAATCCGACGAATAATGTGCTCACGATTTGAAAAAATCGGTACCTGCTCTATAGGTTTGACACCAAGAGCCAACAGATCTGCAACTACCGATATTAGGGAAGAATAAATTCGGATATCACTCCAGTCAAGTATAGGGGAATTTAGCGTGGAACTTTAAAATTATCGATATGTCAAGGAAATATGTTTTTGAGAATGATATTTTGGTAGATTTTATACCTGCATTTTCATTTTAATTTCATGACCCGTGAAATTTACCCATTTCGCCGTTTCCTTCAATTTGTGTTCTGCAGTATGTGATGTTTTTCTGGATATAAGCAAGACATAATTGCCTAGGGTGCTATCAGAGCTTTTTACAAAATTTTTTCTTTGCGCAAGAATTATGGTGGGTTGAAACGCTTATTATTTGTGCTCAACTTCTTGGTATTTTAAAAAGACCCTAGTGGATAAAATCGAAAAAGTGGATCGCTGGCACCCCGTGGTCTTTGTTTTTAGCGCGCTGCAAGAGTGAAGTGCAAATCGGTTTTTGGGCGAAATTCATCTACTGTTTCGTCCTGCCAGTCCAACCGACGCGACTAAGAAAAAATGTATTCAAATAATTTTATATCTTTCCTAAAATAAATTCAAGAACTCAAATTCAAATTCGTTTATTCATGTCAATAAACACAATTATGTTTACAAGGGTCATGTGGTAGATGGTAACAATTGCACGAGGGTCATAAAAATATCTTATGCCGTCAAAATAAGAGGAAACAGTTAGGTAGTTTTTGCAAAGCAATAAACAGGTAGGCTTATACCTGGATTAAGTACATGACTTGTCTACTGTAATAGGTAGATGAAGGTGATGCTGCCAGACATGGATGTGTGCGATCAATAAACCACAAGATTCAACTGCCGTGTCCCATGATTTTTGTATTGCCTTTTTTCATTGTCTTACTAGAAAACTCTGTTAGGTATATATGATGGTGTTTACTAGAACTTTACAGCTTGCTGTCTGCCTTCTTCTACAAACTTCATCAAATCGAGACGCTGTTAACGTCATCCTCCGATGAAGACGCCACAAAGTACAGTCCTGTGATTTGGTGACTTGTTCGATCTGCAAAATCTCGTCGTCACTTTTTCTAAGTTTCCTTAAAAATTCTTGGTTAGCAACCTCCAAATCAATGACGTTTATGTCAGGTTTTTGACAGAATTCGCCATAAAACTATTCATTTTCTTTGGAATTGCTATCCGAATTGTTAGTTATTTTTATTTCAGCTTTTTTTGGTTCCTTTTCAAGATTCTTGCGTTTGAGTCTTTGTTCCATCTTAGTGATATGCGAGGTTGGACTAAGCTTAGAACGCAAATTTATTTGGACCACCTAGACAGGCCGCTCGGTATTGTGGCTCACTACAGCTGCAGCACATCTTCCATGGTATGACCTATTCTTGCAATAATTTATTCGCTTACCCCAATGTATTTTGCGATTATAGAGTTGAACTGCTCCACACTATTGTTGTCCTCATCATGAATTAAACTCACTGCATTCGTAATTAAAATTGTCGCATATGACCTTTTATTGTCCATTATCAACCTTGATAAAAAAAGGCACTCAAGAACAATCACAACAACAAGAATACAGCAACAATTCAATAACACAATATCGACGAACAGTAACAAGGGTAGAACAATACTAAATGATCACTTGCTGAGTACGATAACAGGAAACGATTTACAGGCTAGACCGCTAATCGAAATCCGACTCTGTTATTATAAAAATTTACCTCGGTGCGCACCCGCAGTCATCCTTTCCTCTTTTAAAGTAGCGCCGACGAGCATCTAAGGCCAGCCTACCCTCGTTTCCTTTTCACCTGTATACGGTTTTGCTAATATCGTTTTTCATCGCTTTTTCCTATCATTTCTGCTAAATCAATAAATGTTTTCTTTGACATGCGGAAAAGTTTATAGAATTGAAACTTATCATAGCTAAAAAGCCATGGTTCCATCATTAAAAATTATTTTCTGAAAAAAACATTTCTCCCATTAATATTATGAATGGTTTCTTTTTTAAACGACCAAAGAGCATCGATTATTAAGTGATAAAAATAATCAGAAATTATATAGGCGCTTTTCTAAAATAAACAAACTGCAACAAAACCGCGGTTAAAACCAATGCGTTCAAGCGATTTGAGTAACTGACGTCACCAACCCATGTGTCATCTTAAACCATATTATAACCGCGGTACATAACACAGAAATTTTGGTTATTCGCTTGGATTTAAAATTAAAGTCTTCTAAGAAATCAAATGAACTGACGTTGCGACAAATGGTGTCATTGATCATACTCAGAATGTTATACATTTGAGAACCCAGAGTCACCAATCATATTATGAAACCAGTTTGGTCCTTTCAGTTGCATTTGAATTACTATGAATTATATTCTAAGTTCAACCCTCGCACCTCTCAAAAAATGTTTAATAAAAGCAATGAAATATATAATAATTCAAACTCACCAGTGGATATCATTTTGTGCAACGGATTTCACGTATTGTTCAAAGATTTTCACTAACACTTACAACAGTAATACACAGTTTGTTGTTTGTACGTCTAAAACCATCAAAGAAACACTTAGTTCACACCTTACCGACCGATTTCTTTAATTGTAAACTTAATTTTATCGATAAATTCGCCTCGCCTCGCGACATTGCGTGAATCATACTGCCCAACGGCCTACTAGATTAGACAGCTAGACGCGAATTCGCGGACCTGTTTTTGATTTTTCCGCGAATTCAAATTCGGAAACTAGTGTCCATGAGCGCACGCAGGATCTTTCCCCAGGGCACTGATTAAAAACATTTAGTACATGTGGGAAATTTAAGCGGCTGAATTAGAATGTGACCGTTGAAGAAACCGAGAAGCGTCAAGGGGAGGAGCCAAGTATGACACATTTGTACCGTATTGACGCGGGTTTGGCTGGAGTTTCACACACTGCATCAATAGCAATTAAGCAATTAGAAGGACTTTTAATTAGGTCTTGGATAATATCTTTACAATATATCAACGCTTTGCCTGAAGATTGTTTGGTATCCACAATGGATCGTCTACAGTGCATCATCAGGTTACAAGACACCGTTATTTGCAATAGATGGCGCTTTAGCTGTATATGTTAGCATATAACATATGTTTGATTACAGCGCCATCTATGAGACACTAACCTTTCCAAACTAGATTTCTAATTGGTACTGAGAGGAGAAACATAGCTATGACAAATTCTCATAGATGTCGATACGGAGTCTCATTACTGAGTTGTCTAATTGTCAAAATTCATTTTCAGTATGCAAATTTGTATTTGAGTTTCCTCCAGTGGGTGGAGTACTACCAAAATCGCATATCTACAGCATGAAGCTTCTCAGATCTTCGAAAAAATGGGACGTTTTCGTATGGGTTTGCGAGCTCGCGTCATACGTGTTCGTGCTCATCTACTTTTTTGAAGAACTAAGGGAAATTATTTACTTTAAATGGAGATACATAACGAAGTTTTGGAATGTAATTGATTTTTTGATTATTGCGGTAAGTATTCCAATTAAACAAAAATGTATTTATGTTCTTAAGAACGTTCGAGTTAAACAAAAAGACAGATTGTTCCACGACCTCGACACCATACGGACAAAGGAGCGGTCATACCCGACAGTTCTGGATGTAAGGAGTCAGGCGGGTCTGTCTGGCAGGCTCATCGCGTGGCGGAAAGAAGAGCTCTGAGGAGCAAAGCCCGTTGACGTAGCGGTAGAAAAAAGCCAGATCGTCGACGGCTCGTAGATAAGAAAAGATCCCGAAACTGTCCGTTAAAGTGTCATAAATCAGTCGGAAAGTCCTCCTCTGAGCAGCATCGTGCATGGATAATGTTGTCGGGCCACCAGTGCCGCATACATAGCTCTGATCTGAGTCTTGTCAGAGTCAGGAGTTTGTTTGGATCAAAGTACTTCTTAGCCCTAAACAAATAGCCTAGCTTTCTCCTAGCAGCTGCGGCAACTAACGAGATGTGTTCGTGTCTAATCAACTTCTCGGTGATCTGGACCGAAGTGAATGGAGGTTTGGTAACACTCTGGCACCCATCTAAACCGCATGAGCTCGATGGCTGTGGATAGATACGGTACTATGTTTTGAAATCATGATACTATACCAGATTGTTGCGTCTCCAAGCAGTGATAACCCCAAGGTCTCTCACCAAAGAGAAAGTCGCTGCTAGTCTTCTTGTCTCCAGCTCACTGGCAGAAATCGGCTTGGCACTTTGAATACCTGCATGTAGAGTGCTGTCATCGACAAAGCTGTGGATCGAATTGATCGTACAGGAAAGGAGGTTGTTGATATGTAACATGAACAGTGTAGGAGACAAGACCAATTCCTGGGGAATACCCGCACTGACATTGTGGGATGAAGAGCCTGTCAATTACGTCGGACATCTTGTGGCCAGCGAGGATCTCAGCCACTCATCTGCAAAGTTTCTCTGGGAGGCTATATGATGGAAGAGTGCATCGAACGTTTTCATGATATCAAAAGCAAGGACATGAGCCTCAGAAATACAAGCATTTCATCTTCCTTGTTCTACTACACAATTTTATAGTCTATTCTACATTTTTTCAATGTTTCATTGGTGTAATATTTTCGTCTTTACAGAGTGCTATAGCATCTGGTGCGTTTTCTGTAAAGCAATATCTTCGTGTACCCATGACTATAGACGCCATAAGAGACAATCCTGAGAAGTATGCTAACGTGGAACATCTAGGGGCAATATACAACTCCACAAATCAATTATATGCCGTGTTGCTACTAGTAGTTTTCTTGAAGGTTTTCAAATATCTGAAGTTTAATAAAACAATGGGTCAGCTGAGCAGTACTCTGAAACGGGTAATTGTTGATAATAGGGAGGCTACGGGCTTAAAAAATTGTGAACAGTCTGAGATTCTATGTACCAAGAATTGTCTATCACATAAGTATGTTACAATTGTTCTTGTATTTCTACGTAGCTACAATATCGACCAAAGTCTGCTGCTTGATTAAATCGAATTCATATATTACGAACTAGACTACATGTGTTAGTAGTGCCTATAAGTCGTGTTCATGGTAAGTCTGCGCGAACAATGTACATTACCATTGTAATAAAAGACACTCATTTTTTTGGCTGGAATATCCGTCAAAATGATGTCACAATTACATCAATTTTACAAACTTTCAATAAACAATTGAGGGACTTCGCCCCGCAGGGGTATTACGTAACTTGAAAAGAGACGTTATGCCGATTTTTTTACACTATATAGGTTTTTTATGAAATTATGTAGGTTTTCCAACAAGACGTCAACTTGGAACTAGATGTCGTTCACTTACTACTCACTTTTGTAGCAAGCACGGAATGAACCATTTTTGCACACTAGCCTACTTACGCGGTACATGGAATCCAGGACTATTAAATGGACTACATTCCAACGTTATAATTTTTTGAAAAATCTTTTTTTAGTGCTCAAAAGACATATCATACTTCCTCCTGATGTTTTTCATCGTGTTCATTGCCTTCGGCGAAGTTGGTTGCCTCCTTTTCGGGAGTTCAGTATACAACTACAAAAATTTGGACATCGCAATGTTTACGCTGTTGAGAACCACTCTTGGCAACTTTGAGTATGAAGAAATCGGAAATATCCATAAAGTGTTAGCTCCTATATACTTCTTGACATTCATTTTCCTGGTAATCTTCGTATTATTGGTAAGAGAAATTTATAATACGAGGGAATTGTCAAAAGTAAGGTCACCTGGTTTTTAAAAAGAAATCGATTACAAAAAATTAGTATGAAGAGGAAATACGAGTACATTCTGTGAAAATGAGAAGTCTGTTTATGCCGCATTCCAAATATTCCAATTCAATTTCTAATATTTAAATATTACACATCATTGTAACAAAATATACCACAAACTGTAAAAAAATATATAACATTGGATGAATAAATGAATAAGCCACAAAGGCTAATACTTGAGCTATGAAAAAATAAAAAAATCACAGTTGTGGAATACCCCATAGAAGTAACACGACGTAAATTGAAAAAAAAATAATTTTATGCACTTTTCTATGATTCTAAATAGCAGAAAAATAATAAATTTATCGAAATACTATTTTAACAAATGACATTTGTCATAAATAACATTTTATATTTCCTATAGGTAACCTTAATCCATAATGATTGCACACTCTGTAACTCGGAGACTGTCGGTGCTAAGACCACACGCCTTCAGAAATATTTCAACAGAAGAGAATAACATGCTACATTTCAGAACTTTTGACCGAGAACAATGTGGCCCTATCTTTTCAGAATATGTTTCTGGCTATAATCAACGATACGTACGACGACGTGAAAATAGAAGCACCTCCAGATGAGCTGCAGATGAGTCAGTATTTGCAAAACAGGTTTTACAAATTTCTTCGCATAATAGGGATCAAGAAGAATTTTGGTGCCGATGAACAGAAAAACGCAGTTAATACTAACATGGAACTGCTCGGACAAAAGTTGGAAAAGTAAGATCTCTGCATAGATTGCCTAAGCACAGCATATCTATAGTAACGGAGCAGCATGAGTTCAGTGCTGTCATAAGATGCAACTTCAAGGTCATTTCAAAATAAACATTTATTTTATTCACACCAGCAATCCAAGCAACAGATAGTTCCAAGTTTGAATATGTATTAAATTAAAATCTAGAGGTCAAACGTATGTCAAAGAAAGTCCAGGTCAAATTCCTAGGAGTGAAGCAGGATTATCGATGACAGAAAATCAAGGTCAGTTTTTTAATAATTTTTAAAAAAGGTTTCAATATTAGCCTCCTACAAGGTCATAATAGTATATGAGAATGTATAAGACCGTAAAATTTTCTAATGCTGCTACCAAAAATGTTGTCAAGTAAGTCATCAGTTCATACAGGAATAGTTTCGGTACAAATTGACCCTCTGAGAAAAAATTTTGTTACAAACATGTGTAACAGAGAAATCAAACGGATCAAGTCATTATTTTCTACTCTACTGGTAGTACCGTCCATCTGGCAACGTCGCCCTACCCCATACCTGATCGCAGGACGTGTCCGGCACGACAGCGCGTTACCGCGGCAGTAATGACAAGATACTCAACGGCACCGGTACGCCTGCCGTTGAATCCAGCAGCAGAAGCAGATACGGATATCGAAAACATTTAGCAGTATAAGTTTTGAGGAAAATACACTGAGAAATCTATGATATGTGAACCATGTCTAAGATGCGTAGAATTACCGAAGTTGAGAGCGTGAAAATATACTAACATCAAAAAATTGGAATATATTCTCCCCCACCCCTCAGCCTCCAAGTCTAAACCCCGACAAAGGTTTTTCCGAAAATGATCAGAATCCTCTGAATAAACGTCAGAAGATAAAGTTTGAGCGATATATCTTTTCGCCAGTGGCGTAGGAAACAAAAGGGGGATTCGAAGTCTAAAAAAGTTGACCTTGCAATGACCTACAAGGTGAGCACCAAGGTGATCATCAAACTCCTTGTTAAAAGTTTCTGAAGTCCGGTCCTTAATATTTTGCTCCATCAAAAGCTTAGCGTGTTCTCCTTGATGATTCTATATTTTAATACATAAATGTTCGTAGAATGTTCCATTTTTTCGGCTCCCGGTGTTAAAAAGAGGGATTTCCATATAAAAACTGAAGTTGAACGTGGAATAACCTTGAAGATGAGTCCAACATCGTCATTGAACTTTTTATTCAAAGTTAGTAAAGGCCTAAAAGTAAGCTTTTTTTAAATGTAGGTAGTAGAAAAATGCAAAGCCATTTCGACACTTTTGTTACACCCGGTATAACATGCATTATATGTGGATTGCAGAATAGGTCAAGTTTAATAATTTACACAAACAGCTGCATATTTTATCTTCCAGACGTGGTTTTAATCATTTCGAAATTGATATGTTCTTCGAACGATATCGCATCAACCCAGAAGCTACTATAAAAACGGATGAACTTGATGATTCTGCAGAGGGTAAGTTTTACACTTGAGTTTGAAATTTTTGAAGAAGGAAAGTTCCCTAAGCCCGCCCCCCTTCCGTTTCAAGTTCAGAATGGATAAAGCGGTAAAGTAATAAAAGGAAATGCAGTATTATTATACATTGGCGCGCCCACAGGGTATATTGGCGGTACCAGAATTCATGTTCAGCATTGTCTTCAATTTAATAAAAAAATCAACCTGGAAATTCCTATTTCACGAACCACAGCTTAAACGGCTTGATGGGTTTGTCAGCTGGTAGAAGATCAATTACGGATGAGCTAAGGAGTCAAGGTAAAACAAAGTGAACTCTCGGGCACAAAACAGAACTCGATGGCGCTTTTCGCTGGCGCTCTATGTTCCACTTAGGGGTTTAAGAACCTGATATGTAGATTCGTCTTGATAGCACAATTGATTCTTCATTCTTTTCAGTTACCACAGTGGGATTATTATTATTATTTTAATGTGAATGTATCTTTCTTTATAGGCCTAAGCATCTGGAGGGGGGGCACATCTCTATAATTCAGAATTATACTCGGGAACTGAAAAGGAAGAGCACAACGAAAGACATCGCACGCCCATGCTAACGCGACAAAGCCAGTGCGCGGGTTTCTGTTTACCCCGCAAGCTGAAATTCGGGGTAATTAAATTGATGCATGAATACTGAAAATTTCAAGGTGGCGGCTGGGGTAATGAGGAAATCATGTGGTACCTTATTTTGAAGCCCCTTACTACTTTAGAATTCTAGAATATAAAATCACCATATCTGAAAATAGCGAACAATCAATCATTAAAATGCTACATTATGTTACATAAATCTTCTTCTCTTGGAAGGGTCTGTTCGAATATGTTATAAAATATGGAATATTCCATTTACAAAAGGTGTCAAAATCTGACGATGTTTTTTAAACTGAATATCTCAGATTTTATTGCATATTCAGATAGATGCGATGGCATCTTGATAGTCTGACATTTAATTTTATTTTAAAATATAGAGTATTCGTACATCAATTTCTTTATCACAAATTTCAACTTGCAGTTAGCAATTTATGACCAGATCAAAAAATAAATAGGATGGGACCTTTCTGCAAAGCACTGTGCATAAGGTTTCTCGTAAATTGTTTTCCTTAATAATAATATTCCTCTACAATTTTTGAACTTCCCAAGTAGATGATGCTTAACATCACATAGTAAACGTTGTACGCTTTTGAAACGGATTGTGATATTTATAACAATCAGTTTTGTTGAAATAATCATGTTCCCCCAAACGTAAGTGAACATGATCAACAAATGCAATTCAATCGAATACAAAATATTAGGATATCACGTATTTTAAAGGCAAATGTCACAAAGAAGCCGCGATAGAGTAGGTACTCCCAATTGGATTTGATGTAGCGTTGACATTTTTGTTTACATTAATATGCATTTCAGATTCTACACGCCGCTCTAAACGACTAGACACGATTGATAAGTAAGTTTCATTTAGAATAATTTTGAATGAATTCCAAACATCATTTTTGACGTTTTTCAACTTTAGGGCGTACCTGCCATAAAAATTTTAGTCATCTTAGGAATTTTGAAAAGAACATGCGTCATATATTTCAAACTACACTAATAAAAACGTGTGCCTAAATTTTGGATATCTTTATGTTAATGCGATAAGCTCTGTAAAACTCTTCTTGTTTACATTTTTATGAAAAGGTGGTTTCTCTTTTACCCATAAATCATTGATTTTTTTACTAACAGTGCCAGCAAGAAGCTTGAAGAAATAGACGAAACTATCGGATTGCTTTTTAACCAAGTGAAATCGTTGCATAAACGTCTCGACGATATTGAAACCAAAAAGAAGAAACTGAAGAGACCTTAGAAGTATATTCTAGTACTATTTTGCTTATTGTTCTTTGTAGAACGTTGACAATAAAAATTACAATTATGAATCTTGACAAGATAAAAACGTTTACAGGTGTAGCTGAACCTTCACAAAACAAAAGAAATCCATGTCTTTTTCCTCAGTAGTTGTGACTTTTAATGTGAATGTAAATAGTTACCAACTTGGCTAAATCTAAGTGTTAAATTTGTATCAGAAAGAAAATCATCAGACTTCCAACATTACTTAAAGTTTTCCTAATGACGTTTCGAATCAAAAAGTAGATGTGGTGCAGTTTTTTAAAACACCAAGACAAAGGTAACTGGACTAAAATCGCCAGATCTACTGAAATTTCGGTCGATATGTCAACACTGCTTCCAAATCGAAAAACTATATCTTCTGAAATTTTATTAAGCCTGGCAACTCTACCTGACTAAACATGAGCTTAGGTTTCGATAAAACATTGTGAGATTTATTACTCATCCTTAATACACCTTGCTAGTGTTCTTTTCATGAGATGACGCCTCAGGCGGTAAACGCTGTCATTGTGTCGATTCGTAACTTGTTCTATGATTCGGTTTTTAAATTCGAAAATTCAAGTAAATCCTAAAATGTGGCTCCTATCCATGAAGACTAGAGATAGGAGGTTAAGCCCATAGAGTGGGGGTGGAGCCAAACATGTCTACAACGAAGTGAGTTGGTACACTGGTTCACTATTCTGGTTCATTTTTTTCACATAATCTTAATCAAAAAGGACTCCTATTAACGAATCTGCATATTGACAGGCCCAAAATTGCGTCAAAATTGTTTTGACACAGTCATGATGAAGATAGCAACAGAAAGATATGCCTTATGTGCAGCACACGAAATTCATTTTATACATAGTGTACTAATTCACTTCATCATCGATACATCGACATGTTTGGCTTCATCCCCACTGCATGAGCTAATTCCCCTATATCTAGTCTTCATGGTTTATCCATAATCATATTGCTTCTCTTGTTGTCCAAGAGATGGAGCCACAGAAAAAGCAAATTTGTCATTCGGTTGTTTCTCAATTGAGTGTTCCATGATTCCGTTTTTAAATTCGAAAAATCAAGTAGCTTCTATCGTCTACCTTGGAGCATACTTGAAGCTACGGATTCTCAACGGATTTGTATTGATACTGGTAACTTTGTAGGTAAGTATTACATTGTTGTCTCTAGCGATTGAATATATGATATATAACTAGGCACATATTTTATTCATATCTCCCACACTTGGCAGCTGTTTTTACCTCAACCCCCAACAGCAACCGAACAAATTGAGAGCGGTTTCAGATACGAATATTTTTGTATGGTACAATTCAAGTCATATTGATGCGGAAAAGAAGCGAGTTTACTGTGGGTCCGTGGACGCCCGCAAGAATTTTTCTCATGGGGGTCGATCAACCGCCCCAAAACTTTTTGAAGAGCTGTGGGTGCAAAATTTCCCAGGAACAAATCTGAAGCAGTACTTTGCTTTTGGGAAACTGAGAGCGGACGAAGGGGAATACTTACTCATAGGACCAAGATCGGCACGGGTATCACGTAACTTGAAAAGTGACATTATGCCGACTTTTTTTGACATTATGCTGGTTTTTTGACATTATGTAGGTTTTTCTACAAGATATTAACTCAGCACTTAGTTGGCTCTGATGTGATGTAAAATCTGATTCTGAGATGGCATTACTTGAGGTCTAAGCTAAGCTGTAAGTTGTGTGTTGATAATTACATTGGGTTCTTGTCTCAAATACACTTAATTGAGATTCAAAGCGCATTCACTTTTTGTTATCCATTGTGGAAATTACATATACAAACTTGCTGAATTTCAAAAATGAGAGAGATAACAAATAATTATATTCATTGTACACTGTCGAATTACAAGCAATATACATGCTAACAGTAATTACACACAACGCGGGCGCGGTGATGATTTCCCGCAATTTTCCTGTTTTTCGTAATTTATAACTTTGAACATAACCTCTCTTCAGAAAGCACAACATAAAAATAACTCGTCGGCCACAGCCAATAGATATACTTCATTGGCAGCATATTCAGTAATGATTTTCTCACACAGCAAATATCACTGATTTTATACACATGCAGACCAATACACATAATCCAGATGCGATCTTGCTATTCAACCAACTTTCTTCTCAGAAATAAAAGCTACAGACAAGAACCATTTGGTCTCACAAAACATATGCAACCAATAATGCGTTTAGTTTAGTTGAATGATTCCTCCTTAGATGGACGTTCACAACTATCCTAGTGAGCAAACGTGGAATAACTGTTTGCGCCCTAAAAACTACCTAGTTTGCAAGATGACGTCATAGGTTTTTTTGTCGTTTTATAGACGTTTTACATAATACCCATGCGAATACCTTAGCTCACGAAATCCACTTTTGGTTCCGAATACATTTTTAAAAAAATCTAGTTGATTACCCGACCCTCCATTATACAAAAATTAAAACAAAAATATAATAGAAAAGTATAAATAAATTATTTCTGGAAAAAATCTTACCTTGAATTTTTTTGCTTAGGCTTCATCATGGAGTATGGAAATGAAGAATGTTATTCATCTGAACAACCGATTATGCAGCAACAACTCATTTTCCAGCAAAGCCCTCACCTAGAGCCTTATCAGGCGTTTAGAGAAAACGAACCGGAATATCAAGAGCAGCTTCAGGTATAAATTATTTTTGAGTAATTATAATATTATAGAACCCGTAAAACTGCATTTTTTATTAGTGTAAACAGAAGTAAAAATCTCTTTTTCACTTCGTTAGCCAACCTTGAACGTTTTATTCAGCAACAGACAGAAGAAACTGATGCTTTTCAATGCCTGTTAAAAACTTCTTTTGTAAGAATTCAAGCAAGAATTACGTTCAGTCCCACTCAGCCGCTAAGAGTTGGCGCTGCATGACCGGCAAGGTCATTTGAAGAACAAATAAAACTTTAATAGGAAACCCATTTTTAATTCATGAAATGCAAATTGCCGACAGTTTCAAGTTCAATAATATCCTTGTCAATGAACCTCACCAAGACCTTCAAGGTCGTTTTAAAATCAGATATGTTTTCAAGTAAACTATATTTTTATCGCAGATATAAAGAAGTGAAACATTGAAATTAATTAATTTATTGTTGCATGAAGATGTTCATTGCCAAAGTGACTATTTGCCTTACTTTGGATATTCTATTTCATTCTCCGGTACCAATCTACTTCACACTAATACAACACGAATGACCAATACTTGTACGTGAGCGGAGCCGCGGGTTTAGTCTAGTTTTCTTTAAATATAAGTAAGGGTTTGTTTATCACTTCTAAGCGAATTGCTGCGATCCTACTTGGCAACACGTCTGTGATGATGTAAATTTTATACGAACGTCCAAATACAGCATATGGTTGTACCCCTTGGAGAGTACGTTGATCCGTGATTCGATAGATTAAGTGCGTATTCTGGGACAGTGTACATAGATTAATAAGTTTCCTCTTCAATGTGCCCAGGTGAACAGCACATGTCTCGAACAACTTGCATCTAATCAAAAAGAAATGGAAAAGCAACAGGAGTCTGTTGAAGAGACTGAAATTGGAGAAAAAAATATGACTGTACATGGAACTGGCAAGTTAGAATATCAAGATGTGGACGATGTGCTTAGAGGAGAAATGAAGATGTTTTCGATGGTTGGCGTAAGTATCAAAATGATATTTTAGTATGCAATTACCGGGGTCCAAGTCTAGCGAATACGATGTATAACACAGACCAACCAGATTTTTACCCAGAAACTAGAGTATAGCATCCCGAGGGCTTTGATGCGCTGAATCCGGATCCGTGGTCCACATCCCTCAATTGGCTCTAGTTTCCCAGATATCCTTATCTAAAGGTGAAGAAATAGCGATTTTTGTATATATTTGATGTTATGTAGCATGGCGAATTTTCTTTAAAAAAACCATAGGCATTATGTCAAAGTACAAGCCCTTTCAGATGCCATTGAGTTTGCAGAAGTATCTTTTTTTTTCGCTGAGATATGACATTGACATTGAAGTTCTCATTTGCTGAGTTTCACTCTATTTGATATTCTACACGTTATTATTTCGTGTGCATCAAAGTTGTGGTTTGGATTATAACAACAATGTAATAAGTATTTTTATGGAATAAGAGCTGCCAGATAAAAAACCCATAAATATTAACATTTGTTTGTTTGTTTCAGATTTATTTAGCATGATTGCTACAATTGCATTCTTCTTAAAAATTAAACAATTACATAACATACAGATGTTTAGAAAACAAAAATTTGCATCTCTAAGGATTTTCACTGTCCATGAAATATTCCTTTAATTTTATTTTAAACATCTTCAAATTACAAGTATACTTTACATCATTATTTAGTTTATTAAATTCAAGTAGTCCTTTCTGAAATATTGATTTGTTAGTTATCTATTGCAATTTTGTTAATGAAAATCTATATTTGCTCTTGTATCATAAATGTGGAATAAGTAGTCAATTCTGTGTAGTCTTCTAAATGCTGTGGCAAAAGATGATTTTTTATTTTAAATATAGAAATAAGAACCAATTATCATATGGAATTTTTTATATTCAACCACTGCAATTCTTGTAACATAGATTTTAGTTTGGCGTACTTATTTTTATTCAATACGAGGGATACATAGTAGGCCGCGCGGATCGAACGTCAGTACTCAATCTTAACCTCACTCTTTAGTAAACTTAAATTCAAAGTTTCACAACAATACGTGCAGTGTTCTCACTACAGTGAATTTTTAAGTGTCACCAAGTCATTAGAAAAATGGAACTCAACCGAGAACATTTTCGCGCCATAATTTATTACAACATTCAGAAACAATTATCGCAACAAGAATGCCTTGCTGAGTTACTGTCTGTTTTCGGCAACGAAGCGCCACATCAGTCGACAATTTCCCGTTGGTATGGAGAATTCAAACGTGGACGGGTGAATCTTAGCTACGATCCCAGGGTGGGTGCACCAAAAACGGCAGTCACCCAGGAATACGTCGATGCTGTGCGCAAACTCATCATTGAAGATAGACATGTGACATATCGCGAGATTGAGGCGTCCTTGAAGATCTCAAAGACCCCAATTCAAAACATTTCACATGAAAAATTAGGAATAAGAAAATTAGTTTCTCGTTGACTGAAGAGCAGAAAGCAGCCAGGGTTAATTGGTGTCAAAAAACGCTTGACCGTTTCAATTCCGGAAACTCAAAAAATGTGTACAGCATTGTTAGTGGTGATGAATCGTGGATTTACTGTTATGAACCAGAAAATAAGCGACAGTCGGCTGTTTGGGTGTTCCAAGGTGAAGAAAAGTCAACAAAAGTCATCCATTCTCGAAGTGTTTCGAAAAAGATGGTCGCGCAATTTGTGTCAAAAGCGAGTCATATTGCAACAATACCTCTTAATGAGCAAAGAACTGTTACTGTGGATTGGTATACCACCATTTGTTTGCCAAAAGTCATCACCGAGCTTCGAAAAATCAACCCCGAAAGAAAAATCATCCTCCACCAAGACAATGCAAGCTCGCACACAACCCAAAAAACAAGGCAGTATTTAACGGAAGAAAACGTGGAATTATTGGACCATCCTCCATATAGTCCCGATCTAAGTCCTAGCGATTTCTTTACTTTCCCGAAAGTTAAAAACAGACTGCGTGGTGTCAAAGGTTCCAGTCACCAGAAGAAGCAGTTGACGCATTCAAAAATGCCGTTTTGGATCTGCCAGCAAACGAGTGGAATAAGTGCTTCGAAAATTGGTTCGAGCGCATGCAGATGTGTATTAATCCTCGTGGAGAATACTTCGAAGAACAATAAAGTCATTTAAAACTACCTTGCGTGTTGTTTCATTTCCATATGCAAAACTTAAAAGACGTATTATTCTCATAGCTTTGTTTTGCAGGACTTGTAATTTTCAGAATACAGCCTCATTGCCAGTGAACAAGGCAGTTAAACAATACAGTAAATGCGGTAGAATAATTGTATTATACCTACTATTTTTCTTGGAATATGTACCAAGACTATAAGAAGCCCTATAAAAGTAATTTGTTTTCTGACAATTTTTGAAATAATGTATTCATAGTGATCCTCAAACTTTAGTTTGCTAATATATATGTATGTATGTATGTATTCAACATTTTCAATTATTTTACCATTTATCCTAAATGTGATAGTACATATTTTCTATTTAGGTATTTCCCTATTAGCATACATTTTATTTTAGAAGTATTCAATTTTAGTTTATTTAAATTTAACCAATTTATGATTTTTGCCAAGTCAGAATTTAGCATTTTTAAAGCAGTATCTATATTTTCATCTGATGTATATTAATGTATCATCTGCAAATATCTGAATTTTACAATAATCTAAAATATCACAAATGTCATTGATGTATAAAATAAATAGTAGTGGACCCAGTTTACTACCTTGTGGTATACCAACAGAAATATTTTTTGATCTTGATAGTGTAAATCCAATTTTGGTTTTTTAACTTCTGTCAATTAAATAATCCATAAAATATCTAAAACCTACCAAAACCACAAGCCCACAACCCATCCTATCCTATCGGGACCTAATTTAACGTTCTTACATTCGATTAAACTCTTTTTAACATAAAAAATTACTTTCTTCTTATCAGATCAGAACCGATGAAGGCCACCCAATTTTTATAGAAACTTCTTGACTTTTTTAGGCAAAGCAGTTAGCTAAGTTAACAGTCGTCGAACAAACATACAAAGACATATCAGGAGAAAATAGCCATTGCAAAGAAATCGTAAATCAACTAAAAGAAAGGGAGAGGCAATTGAACGAAATGATTCAACAATCGGAAGGCGAAGTTGGAAACATGTATCAAACAGTTGAACGTCAGGAGAAAATCATTCAGCAACTTAAAGAGTATGTGGCAATCATCGAAAAGGCAAAAGAAAGAATTACCTTACATACAAACGAATACTATGATAGGGCAAAGAAGTTCGAAAAAGATGTGCAGGATTGGAAAAGTGTGACCATGGCGAAAATACGTGATCTGAGGAGCAAAATCGAGGCTAAAAAGCAGAGTACTGCAGCACTAAGTGATCATGATGAGACTGAAACTAATAAAAAGTGAGTAATCAATGATCTGGGTCATTCTTACGTCCATACAAAAAATTGCTTCAAGCAAACAAAATCGGAATTTGTAATTTACTTTTGCAAGTAATTATGCAGTATAAAAAATATGACTACTCTCCAGAAAATTATTAATATAAAAGATAAATTACATCAAATATAAAGAAATAAACTTATTGTCTGGGCTCTCATTTCTAGGTATGATTTCACATTTATTGACGTTTCTGGTATTAACAACGACTTTCTTATTTATTTTGTAATCTTTTGTTGATCCATACATGCTGTGAAAGTTGTAACAGGTTTTTATGTCACGACCATGGCTCATATTGTGGTTACTTAGAAAATCAGTAATTTTATTGACTTTGGCAACACTAGCTCTTGGATTAGGTCTACTAACACTATCTTAAGTCAAACAGTTTACCAAAATTGTGGGTAAACCTGCTTTGTTTATGCATTTCTTCGATTTGGTCGAGCATTCCACGTCACGACTGTTGTTACAATATTTGAGGTAATTGTTTACTTTCACTTTTGAGATACATGATGGTGCAGTCTTCAATATAGAAAGTCAGTGGCAGCCATGGACTTTTCTTAAAATAAAAAAATCTGAAATCTGTATTCATTTATGAGCAGATTTGACCTCTTGAATTTTTCAATTCGTGGCACGGTTTGCACCTAAAAAATAAAGGCTATTTCTCAGCATGGAGATATTGATATAATCATGATGAAACTTGCTTAGAAATGATTGGGGATTTCAAGAATAATGTTTATTCCAGAAGAAATCAGTGGCATACCATGTGTCTGCCAAAACAGACAGGTGAAATTCCGTACGAACGCCACTGGTGGAAATGAAAAAAATGTATATCAAAAATTCCTCTTGATACATAGTACATGTATGCCAAATTTTGTTAAAATATCTAACGTGGTATTCACAGATATTAATAAAAAAAATATACATTTTTGAAAACTTTACCACCCGTATATCAGAAATTAAGTCGTTTAGGGCATACGTTTATATGAAGTTTTCTTCTTAAAATAGACCCAAAAATAGCATCCTTAAATATTGTCATTTAGTTGGGAAGCACCCTATATGCAGTGTATTAGGAGAGTTATCCTGTTTTGCCATAGCGTTATTTGAACAATGTTCATATTTTGTCCGAGGTAGCGTAAAAACTTACAACACCTTGTCTGTTTTTGAAAATTTTAAGGACAAAAATATTTATCTAGCCTTTGTGATATCTGTCGCTTGAAAAATATAATCAAGACTAAACATTATTTGGATTAGTAACTTTCTTTAGCCACCTCACATTTTTTTCTACGCTCTAAAATTGCGAAAAGTTTTAAAACATAACTCCTCTGCCAGTATACCGATCTTTTAAAAATATGCAAAACAATTTTGCGTCAGAATTTCGTCTAAACAAAAGTGATACTTTTCGAGTTACTGAAGGGTTGTCCACATACAGGGTGAGTTTTTATTGCGGACTCGGTCGATAACTCCATTATTACGCATGGTATCTAAAGAAGTTAATTAAAAAATTGTAGCTCCTTGGAAATACTGTGATCTCTACAGGGTGATTTATAATTACGTAATGAGCCAAACATTTTAAATCAAAGACCTTACATCTTAATGCAGGTTTGGACAGGTTCTTTTAAACAATTTGTTATAAACATACTATCTGGTTTTAATTTCTGTTTAGAAATTGGAAAATCTATCAAAAAATTAACTTAACAATTCTCACGTCCTCAAATTTTATAGTTGGAGTACTGAATTTTTTGTCACAAATATTTTATAATCCCATATTATGCACCTGTCCACTTTTTCAGTTTTTTTTATAGTGTATACAGGTGGTCAAGAATGCTAAATGAACGATTTCTCAAAACTTTCTAATAAAACATTTTCACAATCATTGATTCCCCTTTTCACAAGCTTTCTTGAAATATAAGAATTATGGTGATTTGTTTGACTGGTTTTTGAGTTACAGCTAACCATCTTGTAAATCAGTTGTCAAGTTAAATGAAAAATATTAAGTCAAGGTTGTCTCTGTATATTTAGAGCATGGTCGGTAGGCACAACTAGTCTTACAAACCCCCATAAATATTATATCAAAAGAGAGCTTGTGAAAAATATATGGAGTGTTTCATCTAAAAACATTGAGAAGTAGTTCATTTTGCGTTTTTGACCACCCTGTATAAACCATAAAAAGACTTAAAAAATAACTAGATTGGCAGAACATATGGGATCAAATATTTTTCTTACAAAAAATTCAGTACTGCAGTTGAAGGTGAGTGTTTTTGCGACAGATTATCTAATACTTCAACAATTTGAAAATAAAACCCTATAGTAATTCATATTAAATTGCCTCGTTTGAAAGAGTCAATCCGAATTTGCAGTAAAGCTTTCAATTTATAAAATGTATGTTGGGTCACCACGTAGAGATAAAAATATTTTGCAAGTAAACAGCATATTGTTTACTACATTTTTGTATTTACCTTTTTTTAGATACCACGCTAAAAGCAGCCTGTATGTTAATCTCATGTTTTGACATATTTAAACAAGATTTGTGCTTTTATAATAAATAATGTTTCTAGGGTTGCCGAAATACGTGAAAGAAATGCTGGTTTGGAAGCACGTTACCAAGAGTTACTCGGACATCTAGCAGAGAAAAAAGAAAAAGTGAACGAACTGCGGGCTCGACATGCTGAAATCATTGAAAAGACAAAGCTTTTGGAAGTTGAGATTTGTAATTTAGAAGATCCCACCGAACGCTTAGATGAAGCTAAGAAGAGGAAAATTGTGGCCGAAAAAAATAAACAGATAATGCTTGATGTAAGTTTCACGGTTTCATTTTTTAAAGCTTGTGATTTTCTGTATTAATAAAAAATTTTGAGGAGTCAAGGTTAACTATACAATGTTCCTGATGTTACAGGTATAGACCACAAATATCATTTTGATTGGTCCATATAGTAGAGTGCAGCAAGATGTAAAAACACGAAAACCCCGGAACTAAGGTCGATTGAATGATTTTTGAGATTTTAAGTTAAAATGTTTACCTATTAAACTTGTGTAAATTCCCGGTTAAAATTTGATAGCTCCGCCTGGAATATTTAGTTGGATAAAATAAATTTCGTCAATACTCAAGTATTTACGTGAAATTAAAAATATTGAAATCAAAAGAAGTGAATTTGAAGTTGTATACTAGTTGTTCGACTTAGTGAGATCTATCAGCTGGAATATTATACACATAAATAACCGCAAGTATAAATGAAATTTTAGAAAATTAAAAATCAAAAGCGCACAAAATTTTAATACACAGTGTTTCAAACGCATTTGACCAGGAATCTCAAAAATCCTTTCAGTAGATCCGAGTTCCTTAGTTTAAATATCTGGATGTTACTTCAAATAGGTGTATGACTCAATTGTTTGTCCCCTAAATTGCAGAAAAGATGGCTTTAGTTTTGACCTCAAGTTTATATTTTTTATAGAAACTACAAAATATGCGCGAAGATTACATTGCAAAAATCGAAGAAAAAAACAAATTAATAACTAGAAAATACGAAATGGATAAACGTGAATCAAAATTATCAAGTATTCGAGTTTTGGACGAAAAAATCGAAATACAGAAGCAGAAAATCGAAGAACTAGATAAAAAAATTGCAGCGCCTGAACAAAATGAAAAGTTGGATAAAGTATCGAAGGAGAAAGCATATTTGGAGGCTAGCAAAATATACCTAGAACAAAAGTATGATACAGCTAAAACCGAAGCTGACAATCTGTCAAATAGAGTAGAAGGCTTACGAAAGGAAGGAAACGATATCAAAGAGAAGATAGCAGGAAAGCAGAAGGAATTGTCTAAAATAAAAACGGTTCTAGAGATGTCAAACAACAACGTCGGTAAGTGTTTTTATTTTCTTGAATCGCATATAAAATTCTCATCTATTCTACTTAAGAGGTAATTTTTTTCACTTTGGCCAATTATTTATAAAATTGTGTACGCATCTCGTGCATAATAAGCGTCTATGTCCTTCTGCGTGTTAGGGCTATAAATGACCTCTTTATTCTCTAGAAACGTAAATAGCTATTTGAAACTTGACATCTACAACTTATCTATTTTGAATCATGGTCCTTAAGAGATTTTTCGGTCCTGAACTTAAATTTAAATTTGAACGCATCTATGAAATTTTTGCATTTACATATTTGAAAACATATTTTGTATTATAAACTTTCATCGACAGCTTTCTTTTTATTTAAGGGCCGTATCGTCTGCCGTTCCTACAATTGTAAGACGCCTTTATGACCCCGTTGATTTTCATAGTCTCTTTTTACGAGTTCGCAATTTGGACATTTTTGTAAAATTCATTGATTTTCGAATATTCCGCTTAATTTTTTTATGATCATATGGTTGCAACACTTCCTACTTCAACTCTATAATGATACACTCGAAGACACGAAACATACAGGGTGTCCCACGAAGAACTGCAGCAATCGATTACTCGAAAAGTTAACATTGGGATCATGGTCTGATGTGAGAAATTCGGGTAAAATATGTTCAAAATGGTGGCGCATTCGGCTGTACCAGGAGGAAATTGAACTGTGAAAAATGACAAAAGTCAATTTTGCAAATGGAAACCCTCTGTTTTTAAAATCTCATACTAAGCAATAAAAATAAGGATCGTTTTTGTATAATATTATCCACTTTGCAAACAAGTAGCTTGCAAATACTAGTTTTTATCCCTTTTAGTCCATACAAAATAGTATGTTGGTTATTTTAGAATGAGAGAACTGTGAACAAAAATGCTAAAATTGCGAACTTTGTGTGTTAAAGAACAATCAAATACTATGAGTAAAATAAAATGAAAATTGTTCAAGACAGTTTAAAGTACATTGCTCTGATATATTTAAATTCAAAAAGGATCAGGTTCTAACAGCGGTTTTTGGCCCTGAAAATAATTCAAATTTCACGATGATCGCATCTATGAAATTCGTGCATTTAGATATTTTTGAACACATGTATGTTAAAATTTAATCAATATTTTTCTTTTCATGTTAGTTGTTTGATTGATCTTTAAAAACCCAATTTCGTAATTTTGGCACTTTTGTCCAAAATTCTGCCATTTATAATGAGACTTCAGCTTTTGTTTTTAATGGGAGAGCTGTCTAGCAACACTTGCATTCATAAATGTTGAATGTCTTGACTTGTTTTATCATATATTTAAAGTCGAAAATTTGAGGGATTTTGTATAAGAATGCCAAAACCATGAACTTTAGGCTTTTAAAGAATAACTAAATACTAAAATAAAAAAAATATTAATGAGAATTTAAAATACATTGTTCTAAAATTTCATATATGCGATTAACATGAAATTTGAGTTATTTTCAGGGGCGAAAATTCCGCCTATAAACCCTGATCCTTTATTTTCGAATCTTCCTGTTCCGGTCTTTGGTACTTATGCGTTTTTAAATATAGTTTTTCAATTGTCATCTCACAAGATAATAACTTTATTATTGAGCCAAGCTGTAAAGAACCGGGTGGATACGTCCTGCTGAATACCCATTTTTATGAATTTATTTATTGAAATTGTATATTTTTATTATGTAGTTCAGCAGAAGCCTAGACTGAATTACGGTATCTTGAAACCGACCCAACGTCCCAAGTCTCCTGTGTCCCCCAAAAAAGTAACATTCACAGGTGTTTCATCATCAGAATCTAGCCAAGGCGAGGCAAACATCCAACCACCAGCCCAGGTAAAAATATATGATGATTTAAAATTTTCCAACTCGATTTTTAAAATAAATTTAATTTAATTGGGTTTTCCCCATACGGTTTTTCAGATCATTGTGAACAGAAATGGTCGTTGTTAACTTTTCTCTAAATATGCGATTTAAAGTCTGCAATATCATGCTCAAAAGCTCGGTTCAAAATTATTTTCGAGGTTATAAGCGTCTAAATTAATGCAGGAACTTCCCTTACAATATCTCTTACAGTATTTTGGGTTTAGTTTATTTTATTGTTATATACATAGTCGTGCCATAAGTTCTGTCCCATGATAATCTCATGATAAAAATGAAACAAGATAAGATATATTTATATGAAAGATATTATTTATTCGACAACATTTTTAGAATTCATAATCAAACAGTTTTATTCAAAATGTCCCCCCTTGGCCTTCACACACTGCTTCAATCTCGCGGGCCACTCATCTATCACTGCACGCACAGCTTCCAAAGGAATAGCTGCCGCTGATCGGATCAAATCCGCTTTCAGGGACTCGATATTACGGTGGGCTTTGGAGCAGGCCAACTGCTCTAGCAGGTCCCACAACTTGTAGTCTAAAGGATTGAGGTCCGGACTCCCTGAGGGCCAATCTTCCGCAGCAATGAACTCTGGCACATTGCTTTCCAGCCAGCGCTGCGTACTCTTAGCCTTGTGAGCGGGGGCGGAATCCTGCTGGTAGACCCAGTGTTGGTTGGCAAACAATATACCACTTAAAGGCTTGACGATAGGATCCAGTATGTCGCTCTGATAGTTTGCCGCTTTTGTTTTCACGCCCTGTTTACAGAAATGGAGCTGAGTGACCCCTTCGTAGGACACCCCCCACCAAACCATGACTGACGCAGGGTGGTGGCCTCTCTCAACTCTCGGAATGATCTCCGAAGCTTCCTGTGAACTCCTTGCATACACTTTGTCATTTTGTCGGTTGAATTTTTCTTCTATGGTGAAGATTTTCTCATCCGTGAACAAAATCTTTCGGAATCCCCCAGCTGCGTACCTCTCCAAGAGCTTCTTGGATCGTGTCGCCCTGATGTGTCGCAAGGTGGCCGTAAGTCGCTGGCCCGTACGTCTCCGGTAAGCCCCTAGCCCTAGGTCTTGTTTAATGATGCGCGACATCGTCCGGACAGGAATCTTCATTTCCCTGGATAGGATCTTCTGCTTCCGGAGTGGATTCCTTTGAATCCTGGCTTTTACGGCTTTGATGGCTGCTGGAGTCCTTACTTGACGAGGTCTTCCGCTTCTTGGCCTGTCATCAACAGAGGACGTCTCATTGTACCGCTGAATGGTCCTAGACACAAATTTACGCGATATTTGAAGGCCGCGTAAGAGTTCAAAAATCTGACTAGCACGGTGATTACACTTATGTAAAGCTATCACTGCAATACGGTTCTCTGCCTTGCCCCACTCCATCGTTATGCTTCGAGAGATCAATACAAACTGAGGTATATGTAATTACCCGAAAAGCGCTTAATCAACTGACACCACAATGTAAACAATCGGACAAGTATTAACAGGTCTACACTTGTTTGAAAACGAGGGACAGAACTTATGGCATGACTATGTAGTTAGGGTAGTATCTTCACATCGAATGGAAAAATATTCTGATTCGGATTTTTTACATCGGATTATTAAAAAAGGGTCCATTTTAAGAGATGTTCATCATAATTTTTTCTAACAAATTCAAAAAAACATTGTTTTGTTCCGGTCAGAATGTTTTTAGGTTTTATGCGATATTATGAACACAAATGTGCTTTAGAACTTTTCTCTTCAGTTAACAGTTTTCGAAATATACGCGATATTATATTCGATAAAGTACGAAATATGCCGTTTTCGGCCATAAACATATGAAGACATAATGTTGCCAAACTTCCTAAATATTCTTTGAACATCTATGAGCCCCTTCCCACTTCAGTTGGCCCAACTATTGAAATCTTAGTTTTTTTCTTATCAAACACAAATAATAAAAATGTAGCAGGGTGTTATAGGTTTAAAATATTAACAATGAACATTTTGATAATATATATTAGAAAACACCAACTTTATCACTCCCTAATCAAATTTGCAGCATAAAAATAACACATGTTGCAATTACAGCATATCAACCTATTTTCATTTCAATGCAAAATAAGTCTATAACGCATAGGCGGCTGTGAAAAATAAAAGCCATGACAATTGTTTTTATTAATCACAGCTGCCAGAATACGTTTAACATAGTTTTGGGTAGTTAAGGTTTTCAAAATGGGTAGAGGAAAGATTATTAGTGAGAAAATTCGGTTACTGATAATTAAATTTTTTAATTCTGGGAAATCAAACTCAGAAATTGCAACTTTGTTATACTTATCGCGGTACAGTGTGAGAAATATTGTTAGAAGATATAACGCAACAACAGTTCAGTTAATACTAAGCCACGATATGTGAAAAAAAGTTATATCACAAATGCCGACCGAAGAGCATTAAGAAGAATAATCGTGAAAAACAGGCGTGCCAATTATTTACAATTAAGTGCTCTGTGGAGTGACGCTGTTGGAAGGAGAATTTCGAGGTCCACAACTCCTAGAGAGGCCCACAAACTGGGATTTAGCACTTGCAAGGTAAGTTTTCTTATAAAAAAAAGTGAAGTAAAAACCCTAAAGTTGCACAACTTGTTTATAGGCCAAAGAAAAGCCACTCATAACTCCACTGCAAAAAAAAATCGGCTTAGATGGGCTAAAGAACATAAACAATGGACACCTCAACAATGGTGTGCAATACAATGGAGTGATGAGGCCCGATTCGAAGTTTGTGTTGGTGACAGTCGCAGTAGAGTTATTCGCAAAAAAATTAAGCATTCCATGTTGACTGTCTGAAGAGAAAAGTGAAATTTCCAGCATCCATTATGGTCTGGGGCAGTATGTCATCAAAAGGAGTAGGAAAACTTCATTTTATTGATGGAAATGTGGATGCAAACAAATATTTGGCAATTTTAGGAGAATCGCTTTTACCAGTGATGGAAGAATGTTTGACATCCGGCCAAGATTTTGTGTTTCTGCAAGATGGTGCAGCGTGCCATACCTCAAAAAAGGCTATAAACTGGATGGGAGAAAATAATGTAACACTTTTGAAATGGGTTTTTCTAGCAGTCCAGATCTGTCACCTACTGAAACTTTGTGGCACGAGATGAAAAAGGTTCTACGACAACACCCTGCTCGTACAATCACCGAACTGAGACAAAAGCTTCAAGAAATATGGGACTGTTTTACACCAAATTTTTGCCAAAACTTGGTTAATACTATGCCCCAAAGAATTTCAGCCGTAATAAAAAATAAAGGTGATGTTACCCAATGGTAATCTTCCAATTGTTGCTTTGTTAACTTCGCGCATTTATTCGCACATTGTTTATTTGTTCAGATGTTCTATTAGTTATAGGTCTAAGTGATTTCAAATATGTATTTTTTACGACTAGAGTGTATCTAAAATGTTTTTGAGAAAATAAATTGTTTTAGGAGTAAATAGTTTCATGTTTAGTTTATAAAGGCATATTTTGGTACAAATGTTGAACTGGGCCAACTGATGCGGGAAGGGGCTCGTATTCTCATAATTCCAAAGAATTTCAGTGGGTATTGTTATATTATATTTATACCAAAGCAGCCGCGCAAGGAGAATCCTAAATGCCAGGATACCGCGGCTGCTATGAGGATCCCAAAGAAACTTTGCTAATCCGATGTTTAAAATAGACACCGAAGGGACAAAGGAGCGATCGTATCGGCGAGCTCATGATGTACGAAGTTCGACACGGTAAAGATGGTTGGCCGAAGTCAGGCGGGTCTGTCTGGCAAGCACATCGCGATTTTAATATTGTTAATGAAGCTTGCGGTCACTGTATATTCTGCATTAGTGTGAGAGAGATCCGCGGCTCGCCGCCGACCCCTACGTTATATGTCTATCGGGCTCATATAGAATATACATTCAGGGCAAGATTGATTAACAATTCAAAAAAAGGCTTAGAATAACAATTTTCCCTAAGATGGTTTGGAATTTTGTTAACATATGTGCAAAGAATATTTAGGATGTTCAGTAACATTAACATTTTGTTTTTCTGATATTGTTTTTCGGTGTCGAAAATGGCATATTTTGCACTTCTTCAAATATTAAGTTAAAAAGTATATTTTTTGTTGATAATGCCATAAAAAAACTAAAAACAAGCAAACACATTTTTGAAATTTGTTTAAGAAAACTTGTTCAGAAACTTTTTGACACAAGTTTGGGCTTGGCAACATGCAGATTCATTAAAATGGATTCTTTTTGATTCAGATTATGCAAACAATTCTAATCATAATATTTTTCCAATCAGATGCGAAGACACTACCTGACTAATCACTTTTGCACACCACTATTAATTTTAGAATAGCTGGGAAAAACATTAAGAAATACTTCCATGTTTCTTCATGAAATATTCAATGACTTATAACTTTGATTTCAGGGAAGCGTATTTGATACCCTACTGGCAGATTATAACAAGTAAATTTCCAACATTGAAATCCTATATTTTTAAAATGTGTTTATTTTTCAACACTCCACAGAAATCGTTACACCATAATATTCATTATTAGTTTTATTTTGAAAAATACGTTCGTCCTAGAATAACATGTCACTGTCTTGCATGAACATGAACAAAAAAATAGCACCTCAAGTTCATATAAAAAATATACTCCCATACGATGAAATAGGCCCATAAAGGGCGCTAATGGAAAATAGTTTTTCTCAAATAAACTTTAAATGACACTATATAAAATGGCCCATTTTGGCCAATTTGCAATAGCAGAAATGTTCGACAGCACTGTTGTAAGGTTTGTGGGGATCACCAAAAGGTGACCTCGACCATGACCATCAAGGCCAAGCCAAAATTTCCAAAGGAAATCTCCATATTTACCCTCGAAACAGAAAAGGCAGGAAATTGAACGTCAAAATGTGACCTTGAACTCAAAGTCAAGGTCGTGTCAAGCTCAAATAGTATTTGAGGTAAAGGTCATATTTGGATGTAAAATTTCCATTTTACATTTTCATTATGAAAATGAGCGGTTTCTTTTGGGACTTTTGACGAACCTGTTATATGAATTACTACATCCAGAGCCAAATTAATAGGGCTGTATTAAAACAAAAGTTCTTTTCAAAAAAAAGTCCATTTCATTGATATCGAACAAAACTACATCTGTTTAGCTCAAAGATCGGGCATTCCAAAAATGTTATGTTTGGATCATTATCTTCCAGGGTGCGACTATTGCGTTGGGGTTAACCAACCCCGACGATCTATTGTACCTCACATACACTATTTTGTGAGGCCCCAACTTGTTACTAAGCTAACAAAACTTCGTTGAATTCTACAGTGTCATTCAAAAAGGAAAACAGATGCCTAGTAGCGCCCTTTAGATACACGCATCTCCCCACAGGACATTTTTTCATATGAACTTGTGGCATTATTTTGTGTGTTCTGCATATGAAAGATTGACATGTTATTCTGAAAGACCCTGTACACCTCTATAGCCTTCATGATTTTATGTAGTGATAATGTGGGGTGTGTACTTTTTTCTCGTTAGTTTATCCCCTGTTTTATACAGGGTCGTGTGATCTTGTTCATGGTTAAATTGAAATAATGTGTTTTATATGTGTAAGCTCAATTTATTAAATTATTGAAACTTTCAGCCTTATGTAAGTTCCGAACCATTTAATAAATAGTATTTTGTACAATATGTAGAAAATTATTTTTTTCTCTTTATAACAGGTGAACAATTTTATTTCAAACTAAAAATGTTGTTTCTGCACACATGATTATGTTTGTAGAATATGTAGAAAATTGCATATTGCTATCCATCATAACTAGCAGTGTGAAGTTAACATTCACACAAAAAAATAACAAATCAATGTAAAAAGATGCTTAACACATAAGTATTATCAACAGAAAATTACAATAAAAATGTATTCCTAAAAAATGTACAATACAATTAAATCCTATCACATAACAATCTTAACATATATGAACACATTTGATAGTTCACTACCTTTTTTTAAAAAGGGCTTTCGCCCGTTCTGTAAGCTTCCGCACCCTACCTCTACTACTCACACTAAGGAACCCACTGCCTTTAGGATCTTCACAATCGGACTCACTATTTGTAAGTGGATCCCTTTCCCTGCAAGAGAAAAACAATGGTGAGTTTTTCCTGTGATAAAGGTGCCAAAAATCTAATGGGATTTTCAATAAAGTTGGGTCGATGTTTAAAAAGAAATAAAATCCTTACTAATATTCTAAATCCCTACTGATATTACAAAATGAGAAAGTGTTGATATTTGTTAATTACGCCAAAATGGCTGCACGGATATGGATGAAATTTGGTAAAGATATAGATTATAATCTGGAATAGCACATCAGAAACTATTGCTTTAATTTGAATATTCTTTCTTTGCATTAATGCAAAACGAATGAACTAAACTTTTTATTACCTCGAAGCGGGAGGAACCGCGGATTTAGGCTAAAGTCTATCTATCTAAGAAGGGACATTAAACCAAAACATAACCAGCGCGTGTTCATTGTGTGATCAGCACGTTGGTATATTCCAAGAAACGGGGAGCATAACTGTTACTGGCCAGAATCGATCGAGCCCATATGCATGATTAATGCTAAATCAGGAAGGTGGTGTGGGAGACGACACCGCGGTGCATCCAACCTCGCCGGCCACCGGGTTTAGTTTCTTCAATAGATGGACTAGTGATACAGGGCATTGGCGTATCCAGAAAAAAGTTCTGGAAGAGGCTAAGCAGGGTATCCACGGACTAATGTTTACTCATAATTTTGGCGGCTACTCGTTTTTATTGATTTTTTTCCTGAACTACTCAATGGGGAAGCTCCAAAATCCAGTGCCCCTCTGAACGCAGAGGGGGCTCCAATAAATAATATATTAGATATTTAGTGTATCGTGGGAGATGGAATCAGTCTCTCTCTCTCTTCTCTTTCTCACCCTCTCCTTCCATTTGTGATGAAGCCATTTGTTTTCAGAAGTTCTGTTTAAGAATATACCTCCCCTTCTCCTCCTGCTCTTCAATTTTCAGAGAAAAGCCTCCAAACTACTCATCTTTTACTCATTTTTTCCTTCCAAAATACGGATTTTTGACTAATTTTTCCTTCCAAAGCACTTATTTTTCTCACTTTTTTGAGGTTCCTGCCTGTGGACCTCCTGGGCTCAGATTTTAAAAAAAATTATAAGATTGATGATTTGCACGTAATGGCAACCAGAACACAAAAAACTTGCCTCAAAAAATCGGAAACAAAGGATGCCAACAACCCGATTTGAAAATGAATGCTCCGATTAAACGTCGATCATGCTTCTTTTCTGTTACTAAAGAGACATGCCGTTCAAAACGCGGCTACGTTGCGATATAGAGTAGAGCTAGAGTTTTTATTTTATAACTTCTAATGTAAATTATTTCAAGTTAATTTAGCACAAAAGGTAAATCTAAATCGCAAGCCCATGACAAGTAACTTTTCAGAGACTAACAATCAGATATAGAAGGCTGGAAATGTCTCGCACAGAGAGACATTACATATGTACATATGTGTGAGGGAAGTAGATATGTGAAAGTGTCATTGTGACACGGCAAAATCCGTAAAAAGCAACTGAGCTACAGCAGGCTCTAGACTAGGCTCTAGACTGAATCTGATCATAATCTTACCTTCTGGTCCCTTTCCTCTTATCATTATCACTATCTGAACTTTCGTACAACAAAGTCTTCTTTTTCGGCCTCCTCCTCAAGTTCGCTTTTCTACTCGTCCTACTATCTTCGCTAGTACAGGAAACCTCCTCCTCATCTGACGTTGATATGTCTCTTTGGTTCCTCCTTCGAGTTGAATAGCCCACACCAGGATTGTACTCATCGTCTTCAGACTCTGTATTTCGTGCTCTCCTCTGTCGAGTCGACGACGCTATTTTGTCTGTGCTTTGGCTTGTATCTTCCACTAAAATCGGAATATCATCAATCAAAAATTAGCATTGATGGGCGTATTCTACCTGGAGACAGCCAACTGTTAGATAGTAGCAGTACAAAATTGAAATTACAAATCTACTTTCAAAAGAGTAAGTTTTTGGTTCTGCTGCTGGCTAGCGCTAGGATCTTTAATCCCATTTTGACGCCTCTCTAATGCCAATTACAATTGGAATCTACAAATACTGATCCAAATATTCCACCTGAATATACCCAATTGAAATACGTATTATAGATGCGCCAAAAAGAATTGAACATCCTAGCGTCTTCTACGAAACGTTATAAGGTCTTCGTTGTAGGGTCTAATATAAAGTTTTTCATGCAATTTGTATTTTATATACAAGGTATCTCAGAAGAGTGCTAAAGTTGGAACATCCTGTATATTTTTAGTCAAAATGATACTCGCTTTTTTTCGGATTCTAAATATATATGGTTCATTATGCTTATTTTCATTACTTTAGTCAAAAACTCAATTTATATGTGTCATATTATCAGACAACGGAGTCCTATATGTATCCAGCCCTATACCAAATTGCACAGGCAGATAGATCTAAACTGTTTTGAACTCGGATACACATCAATTACTGGCACACAAAATTTAAATTTTTGACCAGGCAAATGAACATAAGTACCACCATATGAAAATACAAAAGCCAATAGCACGTTTCTGAGAAAACGTATATTACATTCTACAACTTTGTATCAAACATTTTTTTCTAATTTTTTTCCTAATTGGCTATACAAAAAAGTTAGAGGGCGTCAATTATGCAATGCAATGCAATGCTTTAATGTGGTTTGTTACGTTACTTACTTCCCATATTTTATTGTCAAGATTTCCAGTCAGTGAAAATGGGTATGTGAAAACAAATTTTTATCAGTATTACCAACAGCACAGACTTAAAACAGAGATGCCACTTGCCCATAAGCTATTTACCTCAATAGATTATATTAAGTATTGTGAAAAGTAGATTGAATTATTATAGAAAATTTTTTGATAAGCAAGTTCACTTACAGTCAGACTCTGTCGTATTCGTTTTACTTCTAAACACAGTCAAAGGTACATCATCATCACTATCGCTATTTTCCTCAGTCACTATTGCTTCTCCCTCCTCTGCCTCTAATTTGTCTACATCAACTTGCTCGCCGCTCGATTGAGACTGCTCCGAAGACATGTCACTACCGGCTGATGATGTCAATCGCCTTCTTGCGTTCCTTTGTCGCCTGAAATTTAATAATGGATTATAAATATTTACATCTGAAACTCAACCTGTGCTTTTCATTCTGATCGAGCTATATGTTTCGCTTGCCAAATGAAACCACTTATATTGAAATCACTCAATACTAACGTTTTGATGAGCTCGGCGGCCTGTTTCAAAGTCTAGATTAATGATAATGGCAATATCACTTGCATGATCCATTAGCAAAAAGCGAAAAATAGTTACCGATGACATCACCATGATCCATTAAGCCAAAATTTGCAAGGCATTAAAAGAAGAAATTGAGAAGATCTAGTACAGAGAACAGGCTGGTTCCATAATCAATTATTAACTATTACTTATAAAAAAAAACCTATTTTGTTTTCTTCACCTCTTATACAAATAATTTACCGCTATGTAACCAGTTAGCTATGAAGAAAACAAATCTGCAAAATGCATATACAATGTGTTTGGTCACGACATGCTGATATTTAAGAGGGGTATTTTTCAGCTATTTTTATCGACAAATCCACTTCCCTACAATGTCCTACCTCATCGCCCATTCTTATTTTTACGTTACGATTACGGTAGTGCTTGTGTAAAAGTTGTAATAACTGAGTACGTACGTGTCACCCAATGATAAATTTGGTGTCATTTGAACGATAACATGATGTCCTAGCGATTATTAAAAAACTTGTTTTGATACTAACCGTCAAACATACTTAAAAACAGACAATAACAGAAGAAAATATGAAGAAAATTGATTGTTTTGTGCATTTCCGCACACCATTCAAAAACTAGTCTGTGAAGTTGTAATTTTTTTGTGCTAATTCTGCAGCTTTTGGTATTGTAAGTATTCTAGGTTAAGCAATAAATGCTATCTAACATGGGTCACAATGGGTGTAATAAAATGCAAATTGTTTTCAAACTTCCTATACATAAAAATGACAAATCAATGTTTCTTAAAGAGAGTTTGGACATGTTTAATGTTACAGAAGCTGTTCAAAATGTCCTCCATTATTGGATATACACATTATTGTTCTTAAAACAATGTGTCGTGATGAGCGGCAGACCATATCCATGTGAGCCCTAATTTCATTCGCAGCGGTATGGATACAGTTCAAGGGGGGTGATTTAGGACATTGTAGGGGGTGGATTTGTTGATAAAAATAACTGAAAAATTTCCCCCTCAAATATCGGTATGTCGTGACCAAACACATTGTATATCGCGAAAACTAATCGTAAATATCTTGGAATTGTTTTAGACTCCCATCTTCGTTAGGATGAACATATTCAATATATTACAAAAACACTTAGATTTGTTATATAAATTCAGATATTACAGACATATTCTCAACAAAGCTCAATTAAAAATCTTGTATCAAATACTAGTTTAATGCCACATAACTTGTTGAATTATTCTCTGGATATCCACGAATAACAATCATCTAAATTCTTTACTAATAATACAAACATTGTTCATAAGAACATTTATAATACCCCGCCAAATCTCTACTTATTGGATGAAAACTTTTGAGTATAAAAAATATATTGGTGTATCATAATTTCATGAAAACAGTCAGCCATTTATTAAAACTATGAATATGATACTAGAAATAAAAATAACCAAATAATTATTTCAACATCAAAAACGGAAATAATGTTGATTTTATTTATATAGTTAGGTCCAAAATTATGCTAATATACTCGTACTAACAAATATAAGAAAAACCGGAAAATCATTAAAAAAAGATGTACATGAGTGGCTACTGTATACAGACATGATGTAATTTATGAAAACTCTGGCATAAATATTATCCTTTCCGCACTGATGGTCTACAACACAAAGCATATATTTTATCGATTTCTTATATCCTTGTCAGTCCCATGTACCATTTATTGTTATTATGTGTGGAAATAATAACCACTCACAAGGATATTTTTCTTTAGTGGTATATCGATTTACTCACACTTTATAATTAGTGTGAATAAATATTATTGTATATTATAATATTGTAATTAGAATAATTATCATTTTCATTGAATTGTATTTTGAAAAAAGCCACCGACTGGCAGAAATCTTAGTAAAAAGTAATTTCAACATGTGGTTTCCCTAGGCCAGAGAAACATTGGAGTTCTAAAGATATAGTTACCTGAGTGCTTCCCAATTTTCGATAATCTTTTGGGCGTGCTCTTCAAAAATGGCGGACAGACGAACAGTCATTACATATATCTGCAATAACAAAAATATTTAGAATTATGGAAATAATGTCGTAAGATCTTTGTTACTCACCCTAGATCGTTTTTTGGTATTGTATAACCTAGAGTTCTGGAAAATCAGTCTCATATCTTTACAAAACTCTTGAGGAACAGCATACATATCCCTAGACAAGTTCATTTTTACAGTTCCAAGATCCATAGGATTTTTCACTACAGCATGGTAGTCTAAAAAATAATAAACGTTGATTAAAAAACATCTGACTCGATAACAAAACAAGTACTTTATGCCTATATTCAAACGTAGGCTATGAAAATAAGAGATTTATCGAAGAATTTCTTTCGAAAAAGGGATTATGCAGTATATCTTTGGCATACAACTATTTTTGAAAACAATACAAAGTTTTATACTCAAAATTTGAATCCAATTTGGTTTAAAAAAACGCATGCTTCAAATATAAATTAATTCATATAAGGCGATTCGAAAAACAGTGGCAGTGTTTTTAGGGCATAAAGTAGATAAAAAAAAGCTCACATAAACACGCATGCTAAAATGCCGTCTTACCTAGATACAGACTGTTATAGAAGTTATAATTTTTAAATCGAAAAGAAATGGAGTCGGCTAAGATATCCAAAGTTTGTACATTTAGTTTTCACATCAAATGCAATACATACAAAATTATTCGTGGTATTGCAGTTTACATGATGTGCCGCCTATCTTCAGAAATTTTTATCAAATTCTTATTGGTAAAAAATTGGTTGGAATATTTGTGGTAAAACAGAAACCTTCAACGCATCTTATTTTGAAAATACGCCGAAGTTAGTGAAGTTTGACATTGTATGAAGTGCATTTTACTATAGCATTATTTGAAGAATATTTATATTCGCCCTGTATTGTGGTACTGGGAGATATTAAGACATATGTTTATAAAACCTGTTTATGTTATTTTTAGATGTACTTTCTGCTCTAGAAATAATTGGTATTGTTTTCTGAATCGCCGCATATTTTAATTGAATGAAATCTATTCAAATTAACATACCTGGATACTTCACTGAATTCACAGGCGCTCTGAAAGGAATGGAATCCTCACAGTCCCACAAGGCATCAATCAGATTTCCAGCTTGCACCTTCCAGTCGCTGGCATCTCTCAAATTTCGACACGACAGATTTCTCAGCTTTCTGCTAGTCGCAGGTACTATTTCTACTTCTTCGTCTGTCTCAGAGGAATGGTAGCCATCTACCAGTTGATGGTACATGCTACGGACATCTACATAATCCGCAGAATTCCTGTGAGAAAAATATGGTAGTTCAAATGATGGAACTGTGAATGAAGGGGTTGTCCCATAACTGTAATCACTGACTAAGGAATTCCATCTTAAACGAAAGTAATATTTTGCCAAAAAATTTAAAACATTACATAGAATTAAATAATCACTGCCACAATCATTATACAAGCGGTAATATAGATTTCCATTTACAAAATTGCGATAGTCATATAATTAGCAAATCGATATTTCAGAATTGAATTTAATAAACTAAATAATGATACAAAGTCGACAATTAAAAGGACATTTCATGAACAGTGAAAATTCTTAGACATGCAAGTTTTCTTTTTATAAATAATTATATGTCAAGTAATAAATTGTTGTGGTAATAAATCATAAACAAACAAACCAATAGTAATGGGAAGAAGAAAAATATGCGGGTGAATAATAAAAAAAAGATTTCTCCAAAAAAAGTTAGTTTTTGTTCGGTTCATGTGGTTGGCCAAATTGACATCATGTTGGATCTTCGGTACTTACTTGACTATCCTAAGGCATAATTCCGTCACAATACGAGCGTTTCTCACTATTACACTATGCCTTGCGTTAAACTTTTCCGCATTTGTAGACAAATACCGTATATCGAATTGAGCTGCAGTCAATCTCCTAAAAAACGTTATTTTATTTTGTTACTATTTTTGAATATGCATTCTATAAATTTAACTTACCTATAAAAATTACTTTCAAACCTGGTTTTGATTGTAGAGAGATCAATTGGGTATTCTATTATTTTCGCGTATGTTGGATATACATTGATATCTACCGGAACCAAAAATGGTTCAGCTATCGCCAATTCCATCACTTTGGTTAAGCCTGGAAACGAAAAACATTTAGAGTACTTCATATAATAAAGATGATACAGATATATACCTGCCAGTATGTGTTTTGTAACTAAATCTCGATCACCGTTTGGCCAATCGCTTGATACTGTTCTGTAAAGGATAGACGCCAGCTCACTCTCCAATACTGGCACCGATTGACTTTCGTCTTCTGGCATTCCTTCAAAACAAAAAAATAAAATTTACACAGGCCAGATTACTGCTATCATGAAAATGAAAAAATACTTATGTAGACAATATCTGGTAGCATTGGTAAAATCGAACCTCTTATGATAAAGTGTGAGGTGCTTCAAATGAAGAATATTGATACTGTGGTTGCTCTTGTAAATTGAAATAAGTGAAAAACATTGTAATTTTATAAGAAACATTTACACTTATTAGAAAAAAAAATCTTTTAATAATCCTTACGTTCTGGGTCTATAGGTTCCATATCCCATGGACTCATTCTCTCTTGCTCTCCATTATTCCAAGCTATTTCATAGCACATAAACGCCGAATCTGTGTACTGTTCACTAAATGGAGACTTGTTTGTTATATTACCTATCCACCATTCGTCGTCTATCATACACCTAAACCTAAAAAGATAAGAATGAGATGTTTTCCAAAAGTTTCAAATGATTTCTTCCAACACACGACGATACGAAAAAGGAAGATGAAGTACATCACCCTTAGAAATGCAATGTAAGCGATCTCTATCAGTTATTGAAAATGCAATTTTATCTAGCCAGAGATTATTTCAAATGCTGTACAACTTTATAATCCTACATTTAATACGATTGAAATACTCTGGTAAGTTATGTAACGATGGTTGGAACAGGTTATGAACGTTTCTGGATATATTTGAGGGTTGAATCCAGCTTAAACATATCTCCACCTATCTCTCAAAAGTCAGGATCAACCTAATCATATCTTTGTTGAAACTACATAAAAACACTTACTTGTCCCCAATTTGCCAATCCCTAGATATAGAATTTTCATACATCTGTTTCAGTATGATGAAATCTAAAACGTCTGGTATATCATGGTATTTTACAGTAAAAACCTTGCCAACCATTCTTCCTTCATCATCTAATAAGGCTAGTTTCAAGCAACACAACCTAGGTGGTTTAATTTCGTATTGAATACCTATAACTTTAGCAAATTCATGGTCCTGAAAAAGAGGTCAGAGAAATGTGTCAGAAGCGGAGATAATAAAAACAGCTTTGTTGGCGATGTATACGATTGTCAGTTATCTACGCTATTTTTAACTTCCCACGCCATTGGTGACAAAGTATTCGAAAAAGGGATATTACGTTTATTGGATGTTACATGACATGCACACCACGAAATTACATGACACTCATTTCGGTCCGTCTGTCTGTCTGTCACAAAGTTACTACTATACTAAATACGAAACAGGATAGTTGGCCGTCTTAAAATATTTTTACTTGACGTTTCACCAACACGAGTGGTTGGCATCTTCAGAAGATGTTCACAGTTAGGAGTCCTGTGAGCTACCAGTAAAATAAAAATCGCTCAAACGTTTTTTGATGTTTGACGAGATCCTGATTATTTTCAGGCATTTTTGTTGGGGTTAAAAATTGGGGGTTGCAGGGAGTCGGAAAGGGTATGTCTCAATATTTTTAAAACACCAATACCAAATCCGACATCTTAAAGTAGATTACGCAGGATATAGGGTTTTGCAGAACGGTATCAGGACAATTTAGTAACGGAAAAATAAGAAAAAAGTTCATATAAACATAGATTCGCAATTGCTTCGGTTTCATAATACCGAGTCTTTAAACCTGTCTGTCTTTGATAGTTCATCTTATACTGATTCTACCCTGACCTCAAAATTTACTGTTAACATTCTGAAACATCCTGAATATAAACGAATGTTAACTTAGGATAGGCCAAAGGATAATAATTGTACAAGTCCACTTTTTAATGCAATTTAGGTCCGCCTCCTTCTCATCTCAACTAAGTACTCGTAGTTTGAAAGTATGATAAGAGCATCTGGATATTTAGGAAAAAATGTATTTAACTTCGGCGTAACATTTTGATTTCATCAAGAGTTGAATAGAGTTTCTCCAAGATGGCGATCGTTAGCAGCAACACAATGCCGGATCAATGATTAGGCAGACTAGGCAACCACCTAGAACTTCTAGCAGCTCCGTGCACGTACATATTAAAAATGGCGTCATGTACGTTGACTGCACTTCCCACATAATGCCATTATCAGTTCATAAAGGTTTGTGTACGTAAGACTCTCTGAGAAAAAAGTTACTTACGACCATGTAAAACAATCAGTAAAGCAGTCCGACACAATTAGTCAATAGACATTCTTTCCATGCCACACCAGTAGTCCTTCTGGCAACGTATAGACATACTAAAAAAAATGATATCCCTCCCCACCCCCTTACAAAAGCCACCCTCCACTATTTTACTCCAAGAAAATTAAAAAAAATATATCAGGATCATCTGAAACGCCAAAAAACAAAGTTTGGCCCAACTATTGAAATCTTAGTTTTTTTCTTATCAAACACAAATAATAAAAATGTAGCAGGGTGTTATAGGTGTAAAATATTAACAATGAATATTTTGATAACATATAGTAGTAGTAGAAAACACCAACTTTATCACTCCCTATCAAATTTGCAGCATAAAAATAACACATGTTGCAATTACAGCATATCAACCTATTTTCATTTCAATGCAAAATAAGTCTATAACGCAAAGGTGGCTGTGAAAAATAAAAGCCATGACAATTGTTTTTATTAATCACAGCTGTCAGAATACGTTTGAATGGGCTTAGTTTATTTTATTGTTATATAGTCAGGGTAGTATCTTCACATCAAATGGAAAAATATTCTGATTCGGATATATGAAAAAAAATATCAAAAATGCCGACCGAAGAGCATTAAGAAGAATAATCGTGAAAAACAGGCGTGTCAATTATTTACAATTAAGTGCTCTGTGGAGTGACGCTATTGGAAGAAGAATTTCGAGGTCCACAACTCATAGAGAGGCCCACAAACTGGGATTTATCACTTGCAATGTAAGTTTTCGGATAAAAAAAAGTGAAGTAAAAACCCTAAAGTTGCACAACTTGTTTATAGGCCAAAGAAAAGTTACTATTAACTCTACTGCAAAAGAAAAATCGGCTTAGATGGGCTAAAGAACATAGACAATGGACACCTCAACAATGGTGTGCAATACAATGGAGTGATGAGGCCCGATTCGAAGTTTGTGTTGGTGACAGTCGCAGTAGAGTTATTCGCAAAAAAATGAAGCATTCCATGTTGACTGTCTGAAGAGAAAAGTGAAATTTCCAGCATCCATTATGGTCTAGGGCAGTATGTCATCAAAAGGAGTAGGAAAACTTCATTTTATTGATGGAAATGTGGATACAAACAAATATTTGGCAATTTTAGAAGAATCGCTTTTACCAGTGATGGAAGAATGTTTGACATCCGGCCAAGATTTTGTGTTTCAGCAAGATGGTGCAGCGTGCCATACCTCAAAAAAGCCTATAAAATGGATGGAAGAAAATAATGTACCACTTTTGAAATGGGTGTCTAGCAGTCCAGATCTGTCACCTATTGAAACTTTGTGACACGAGATGAAAAAGGTTCTACGACAACATTCTGCTCGTACAATCACCGAACTGAGACAAGAGCTTCAGAAATATGGGATTGTTTTACACCAAATTTTTGCCAAAATTTGGTTAACACTATGCCCCAAAGAATTTCAGCCGTAATAAAAAATAAAAGTGATGTTACCCAATGGTAATCTTTCAATTGTTGCTTTGTTAACTTCGCGCATTTATTCGCACATTGTTTATTTGTTCAGATGTTCTATTAGTTATAGGTCTAAGTGATTTCAATTATGTATTTTTTACGACTAGAGTGTATCTAAAATATTTTTGAGAAAATAAATTGTTTTAGAAGTAAATAGTTTCGTCATGTTTAGTTTATAAAGGCATATTTTGGTACAAATCTTGAAGTGGGCCAACTGAAGTGGGAAGGGGTTCGTAGTAGTAGTTTTCATTATGAAGCATCATTATTATTTAGATTATAATGCCTTGAGATAGAAAAAAGTAAGAAAAGGATAAAGGAAATGGGCCTCGAGAATAGCATTGCTTAGGGGCCCTGACAGGGTTAATCAGATCCTGGTAACACACTGTGGGAGACGACTCCTAAAACTCTGAACAGGCCATCTACTCATATCGTGGGGAATAGCGTCTACTTCCTCAACAATCTGGTTTATTAGCTATAATAGGGTGTGAGAAGGATGCCTAAGTGCCCTTTTCCTTAGATATCCCAGACCAAGAAGTCACAGATACTCAAATCTGTTAACCGCGCAGGCCACTCCACTCCACCTTTTACCGAGACAGACGCCCTCTCAAAATATTCATTGAAATATTTTTCTCTGTAGATCCAGATGCCTTAGAAACTCTTTACTGGTTTTGCCGCACCTTATATAGAGTGTTGTTGCTTTGTTTTTGAAAGTTTTAAGCGATTCAATATCTACTATTAATAATACCTGCTTATTATTATAAAAATCCGAATTCACAAAAATTAAAAGAAACCATTCTTACCCTAATAATAATCTTATTCCACGGCAGATCATTCACGCTAACTTCGTATATCTTATTCCTCTCGACAGCGTCCAAATATAAATGATGTCCTTGGGGGAAGTACACCACTTCGTCCCCCATTTGCGGGTAGTAGGGGCTTTTGCGAGGCCTTGTCTCAGATAGCCACTCGCTAAGCCGATACGCTTCGGAACCTTTCTGCTTGGATGCACCACCTCTGGGGGCTGTACCGTTTTTGGATGAAGAGCCACCTGTCGTACCGCTGCTTGTCGAAGGCTGTGTGTGATTTGGGATGGACGGGGCGGGTTTTGGAACCGAAGATTGCTGCTTGGAAGACTGTTTAAAAAAAGTTATATAGTGCGTTGTAACAGGCGATTCATTCAGATGTACTTTTTTAAGAATATAATAATATGATTATATAATATATATAAAACACATGAAAACAATCAACTTTATCAAGCTCTCTCGAAGTTAAAAAGCATTTTTGATATTCAGTTTTGAACATAATTTTTTTCAGATGTGCGCATTCGAGTCTAAGTGGTGGCTATCATTGCTTCCACCAGGCAGTGCAGGGCTACTTATAGCACAGCCGAGGAACCTTGACTCTTCTGCGAGAACAGATAATTTCGGTTTCGCACCAATGAACTGGCAACCTAGATCGTCTGATCTCGCATCTCTAGAATTTTCCCTTTGAGACTATGTCTACATAAATTAGAAAGTACGAGTGAGGAATTAGATATCAGCATTACTCGAGCAACCTGCCAAATACCGCTCGAAATGCACAGATCCAACAAAAGCAAAAAATTCAGTATACTTTTTAAGACACATATCTCTGAATGACAAGGGTTGCGTTATTTCTAGTGTAGCTTATCCCATCCCTCCTTAACACCTCTAGTGTGACCATCGACCTTACAGTATAGCTTTTTCGAACAAGCTGCCTCCCAACAGAAAATCGCATTCGATTCATCTGTTGGGAAGCTATGATGCCACATACCGAAACACAGATTCACATATTGAGTTTATAAATTTGTTTGCGAGTATCATAGTTACGCTCACGTAATTCCTGAGCATTGGGGAAGTTTTCTAGTTCATCTTTAATAGTTTAACACAGTTTTTTGATAATAAAAGAAAGCTAACCTCTACAATCTCTGGTGGAATTTCTGGAATTTTCATTGAAACAAAGTGGAAATAGTTTCCAGTGGCGTACTTGTGTTGATTTAGAAAACAAACATTTGCACACAAAATTCAGAATTATGCCAGCTAGAGTCCCTTGCAGCTGCTGTAATCAACAGTGTGAGCCTCATCAAATTGTTACGTGCTGTGCTTGTAAGCAGAAATACAAGCATTCCTGTGTGGAAATCAGCGCAAATGAGGTTCGTACTTTAAATTCGAGCAAGGGGTACGATTGGACCTGTAAGGACTGCAGATCCATAGGTAAAGACATTAATGACTTGAAGGCACTAATCATCGATTTGCGTAATCAAATCAAGGATTTGAAAGCTGATAACACCAAAAATGCAGATTCAAGTTTTTCCATCATATCTGAGATTTCAGAGCGTGAAAGACGTAGAAACAACGTAATAGTCTTTAATGTCACTGAGCCTGATCAAAATAAAGCCAGAAGTGAGCAAAATGAATCTGATAAAACAGTTGTCGTCAACTTGTTACGTGAAGCTGTCCCTGATGTGAGGCTAACCAACATCAAAGTAATGAGATTAGGAATGTTTTGCGGCACAAAAGTTAGACCCATCAAAGTAATACTTGACAACTATGACTCAGCATTGCAAGTTCTGGTGAATGCGAAAAAGCTTAAATCAAGTAATACCTTCAAGCATGTAAACATCGTACAGGATCGCACCAAAAGCAAATGGAGCATTATAAAAATATCAGAACTGAGTTAGCCAGGCGTCATGAAGCAGGAGATAATAACTGTAGGATCAAGTTCATCAACAATGTACCAAGGATTGTTCCTTTAAACTAGGTCGGCCCAATAGTGGATGTAGTGATTTTTTGACCGTGTACTATCAGAATGTTAGAGGGATAAACAGCAAAATTAACAAATTCTATCCTGTTGTGAGTGACTGTGAGTATAATGTATTTGCTTTAAGCGAAACGTGGCTAAAGCCCGAAGTAAACTCTCTCGAATTATTTCCAAATTCTTTTGACGTTCATTGTAAGGACATAAAACATAATCAATTGAACCTGTCAATGGGTGGTGGTGTACTACTGGCATTTGAATCGGCTCTTAACTCTGTTGTAGTAGATACTACGCAGTTTGATACAAGTTTCACAGAAATAGATTTTTTGGTATGCAAATGCATTGTATCTCATCAGAATCTTTATTTCGCTTTCATATATGCTGCACCACATGTTTCTGTTGATATATTTGAAGCTTTTTTTGAAATGTTAGAAAACTGGGAAATCATGCATTCCAAACGTGTTGTCTTTCTGGGTGATTTCAATTCTCCAAACTTTGTGGAAAATAATTTAAATGACGCAAAGACCCGCTACATTGTTAATTGGCTCAACTTCTGGAACATGAAACAGTATAATAATATTCATAACCAATATGATAGAATCCTGGACTTAGTAATAAGTAACATTGATTGTATTGTTTATAGAGATTTAGCTCCATTAGTGGATGAAGACGTGTATCATACTTCTTTGTCTGTAACATTAATAACTGTCTGCAAAAAGATTGAATACGTCACAGTCAGTACTGACCAAAAAAGATATAATTTTAGACGTGCTAACTTTTTTTCGCTGTATAATTCTTTGTTATTGGTTAATTGGGATTTCTTGGATAACACTAGTGACACAAATGATGCAATAAATGCATTTTATACCAAACTTTACGAATTATTTGATGCACACGTTCCACAATATAAAAATTTCAGGCATAAATGTCCCTCTTGGTACACCAGTGAAATTATAAAACTAGTTAAACAAAAAGACAAAGCGCACAAAAAAATTAAAAGGTCTGGTGCTAACGAAGATTACCAAGAATTCGGCAAAATCAGGAAAATATTTAAGCTTAAAACCAAAGAGGCATATAATATCTATCTTCAAACCATTCAAAATCAGCTAAATGATGACCCTAAGTCTTTCTGGTCTTTCGTACATAGTAAAAACAACACTTCTAGGATTCCCAATAGAATGTTGTATGGAAACGAGTCATTTGGTGATCCTCAAAGTATAGTCAACACCTTCGCTGATTTTTTCTCGAGCGTTTACTCAACTGCTAATGTCGATACTGAGTTGAACTTTGATTTCAGTCATAGTGGACTCGTCGACATTAGTTGTGAGCCAATATCAGATGAGAAAATTTTAGTGGCCTGTAGAAAGCTTAAAAGTAAATTGACTGCTGGACCTGATCAAATCCCATCTTTTATTGTTAGAGATTGTATCAGGAAATTAGTTCATCCTTTACGGGTTATCTTCAATTTAATCCTAACAACGACTTTTTTCCCCGATAAATGGAAAATTGCCAAAGTTTGCCCAATTCCAAAGTCAAAAAATTATCACTGTATCAGTGAATATAGGGCTATATCTATACTCAATAATTTTGCAAAACTCTTGGAGATCGTACTGTACAACCGCATTTACCTGTCCACTAAAAATAATATTTCCATTGACCAACATGGTTTTATAAGGCAGCGTTCAACACTAACAAACTTAATGGTATTTAGCCAATACTTGTGCGATAGATTAGACAATAGAGGACAGGTAGATGTGGTGTACACTGATTTCTCCAAGGCCTTCGATAGGGTCAGCCACAGTATTTTGCTCCGAAAGCTTGAGTACCTGGGCTTCAACAACATTTACTTAGCGCTCTTAACATCATATCTGTTTAAAAGGAAACAGTATGTTTTTTATAATGGCTACATATCACATGTTTATGTCTCAACCAGTGGCGTACCACAGGGTTCGAATTTAGGACCACTGTTGTTCATATTGTTTGTGAATGATTTGTGTGAATCTTTGGCTTGTTTTAAGTTAATGTTCGCAGACGACCTAAAATTTTATTCATCTGTTTCATGCTTGGAAGACTGTGCATTTGTTCAAGGTCAAATAAATAAATTGCAAAGCTGGTGTGCCAAGAATCAAGTTTATCTTAATATAAGTAAGTGTAAAGTAGTAACTTTTTCAAGGAAAACCAACCCCATGGTATATAATTTTACAATGATCGAACATGTTCTTGAGCGCAGTGAAACTGTGAAAGACTTAGGTATCTACTTTGATCAATATCTAACCTTTAATGAGCATATCAATCAAGTCATTTCAAGCGCTTACCAAACCTATGGCTTCGTTATCAGGAATTGTAAATCTTTTGACGTTTTGACTTTGCAGACATTATACTTTAGCTTGGTTAGGTCTAAGCTTGAATATTGATCTTTGATATGGAGTCCGATTTACAAGCAGTATATTGATGTTGTTGATAAACTTCAAAGGAAATTTTTAAAATTTTCATGTTTTAAGATCGATGGCATATATCCTACTAGAGGTACAGAATACAACATCCTTCTTCATAAATTTGGCATTCAATCCTTAGAACAACGGCGTAAGCAATCAGCAGTTATAGTTTTATATAAATTACTGCATAATCTAATAGACTGCCCTACAATACTTTCACAAATACAGTTTCTGGTACAACGACTAACATCAAGGTATAATGTTCCTTTTTTATGTCAAAGAGCTCAAACAAACTTATTGTCGAAAGCGCCTGTCAACATGATGTGTGTGAATGCGAATAAAATAGCCGATGTATGTGACATATTCTTATGTGGCATAGGTGAATTGAAGTGCAAATTGCGTGCTCACTTTTGATTTATCTTACGTTTCTTAGTTTAAGCTGTAGCTATATTAGCTATGTTATTGATACATGAATTATTATTTTTTTTTCTTCACAAGCTACCTCATGGTGATTTTGTTTTTTTTTATAGTAGTTTGCTCTGTAAATGGTGTTAAACTGTTGGGCAATAAACGCTTATTATTAACACACATCTTGTGCAGTTGAGGGTAAAAACTATGATAAACTTACCCTAGTGCTACTACTGCTACAACTAGGACTTTCAATTGCAGACGTCGTAGCATTATTTCTTCTACTTGTCCCTTCTCCAGCTGAGGCGTTTCTCCTGACATCTCTCTTTTTCCTTTTCGACTTTGATTCTTTACTACTATTAGATCTCTCCAATACTAACTGTGTGATCACATAAGTAAAAACATATTATAAGTCAAGCTTTAGCTATCAACTTTAAAACAATCAAGAATTGATATAAAAAATCGAGGTACATTTTTCTGATGTCTTTCCGTAGGCGCTTGCCTCTTCTCGTGCCGAAATGACAGTATTTGAAAGCGATTGCAATATTACCAACGTCTTTTTTATTAGACAATCCAGGCCTGTTTTAGAGGCACGCTGAAATGCGTGTGTTAAGACAACTTGAGAAAAAAAACGCAAATATAATTAAAGACCAAAGAGAACTGAAACTAAATGAATAAAGATTCCTAACCTCATCATCACTCGTAGTTTCGTTCTCATCCGTATCATCGTCATCTTCATCGTCGTCAGTCTCTGCGCGTCTGGTTTTTGTCCTCTGCCGTCTCTTACTGCTACGTTTTGATGGTTTTTCGATACCTTCCTCTTCCATCCAATCTGAATAGCCCGAGGACTCCGACATTTCTTTACCTGAAGACTCCGGTTCCGGTTCGTCTTCCTAAAATTGTAACATACGATAATATGAAAAGGTATCTGGCACTATGTAGAGACCTCAAGTGGGCTGAACAAATCGAATGAAAAGTCAAATCCATTTTTTCGAGTGGCATCTATGAGTCTAATACTTAGGACATAGCATACGTTTTTGTCCTATGACAAGTAACTGCAACGCAAATTTTTATAAGTACCCGCTTTGGCTAGCCCAAATAAAAATTGCAAACTTTCAGCTGTTAATGCGAATACATTAATGGTTTTTTAAACTGTTGGTATGGACCGATCCCGACTGTTGCTTGCCGTGTCATTACTTTCCATAATTTTAAAAATGTGACATCGAAATGAAAACAGTATTTGGTAAAAACAAGGCGTCCTTGAAAATCATCGAGAGATCGTATTTAAGTTTCAAACGTAGTTTATTTGATCTGGAAGATGATAATGTTCAGGGCAACTTTACGAAGCCGTAACAGGAAAGAACGTAGAACGAAGGAAGCTATAATGATCGGCAAGTGAATCTAATATAGATAGCAGAAACCCTGAATATTTCTTAAAGAAAGTATTAGTGGAATTATATACAATCATTCAAGAGTTAGAAAAGTGTGCGATAGTACATAAATTTAATCATCCCAGGTGACAACAGTTGACTATAATTGTTTGATATTCCAACCACAGGACAAGGACGGGCATCGATTTTCCAAAATGAAGACCACCCGATTCAAATCAAAAAGTTGCGGCCGTTTGAAAACAGAATGGTCGGGTCTTTAAACTAGAATCCAAGTGTTGGATCATCCACTGTATAGCTGACGAAATGCGAATTTGGCTTTTTTCCGTTTCCGAAGGCACTGAGAAAATAGCGTAGGTTTGCATCCAAATATGAACTAGGGGACGTTGTGTGATTCTATTTAGGAGCAATGGAAGCGCTGATTTTATGATTGGGACTGGTATAAGATGAAGTGAATTCAAAATATTATGGAACATATTTTGCAAAAAAAAATTATGGATCCTTATCGCTAAGAAACCATAGAGAATTAGGTTCACAGTGAATCTCTGGAATAGATAAATAGCCAATAAAGATGACACACGGAATAACAACAATCTTATAGCCTAAGGCCCACATCTTTAATCGCCCCTTGAAGGCAAAGAGGAGATTGGGGGTTGATGAACCCTTGGATTTTAAACGAACAATAAAAAGCCCTGTAACAGTCGATATCACAAATTTTCAAAAATTTGTAAGCTTTCAAAACGCTACGTTCTACCATTAAATGTAAACGTTATTTCTCGACTTGAGGGTTACTCAAGAACATGTTAATGATCATTTAAAATCCAAGGGTCGATCTACCCTCGGTTAGCACTCGGCCCTCAAGAGCCGGCTAAAAATGAGGGCTATATGAAAAGCTTTTGGTAATAAACTCGTTTGCGTTTGAGTCGAGATACCGTTTAGAAATAGCACAAAGATTTTATACCCAAGCAGCCGCGCAGGCAGAAGGCTAAATGCCGGAACACCCCGGCTGCTGATGATCCCAAAGAAATTTTGTTAATACGATTGCCTAAGGTTAGCAGAACGGGGAAAAGCTTCCTCTTGTAGATCGTTCCACAATCTCGACACCTTCGGGACAAAGGAGCCGTCGTATCGGCCAGTATGTGGATGTACGAAGTTCGACACGGTTAGGATGGGACGCCAAAGTCAGGCGGGTCTGTCTGGCAGGCAAATCGCGCGGCGGCATCATGGAAGAGAGCTCTGAGGAGCAAAGTCCGTTAGTGTAGCGGTAGAAAAGAGCTAGATCGCCGACGGCCCGCCGGTGGGAAAGGGACCCGAGACTGTCTGTTAGAGAAGAGTCATCGATCAGTCAGACCGCCCTCCTCTAGACAGCATCAAACGTAAATACTGCCCTCATAAGCTAAACCCCCGTATTCGGAAATATTGGAAAGTGGCGCAATATCAATTTGAAGTTTCTTTTTGTTTGTAGCTTTAACGGACGTCCATGGTATTAATAATTGATGTCCATATTGAGTAATAAGGGCTCTAAAATTATGTGGTCTACATAAACAACCTTGTTTGATTGTTTTTACAAGTATAAATTGCCATACGAGGATTTTTTTTAGTTCTGTTACACCAATTTCCTATGCAATAACCCCGTATTTGGCGAATACGGGCATTTGTTCTAGGACATTATCAAATTTATATTTGTCATAATAATCGTATTTTTGATATCAGTCGTTGGGAATTGAGGTACTTGGTAGATGAAAATGAATTTAGTAACACACCAGCTTTTAATTACTTTATTTTATGGTGAACACATTAAATATAATAAAAGAACACTTACTAGATAACTTTTTCTGGAAGTTTCTCCCAAAATTCTTTCCTGTTACCTGGCATAATGGAACCAACCGCTTTAAGCAGGTTTTCAACTTTTTGACGCTCAAAGCCATTTGGTGCCGTTTTTATTGGGGCTGTTGGCATTTCACCAATATGTTTTTTTAGCAAAAAATCTAGTTTCTTCCATTCTTCCTCAAAATTGCGTTTGTAGTACATCACAAATTCAGTCCTCTTTACCATTAATTCCGTTATTTTACTCATAGTAAAACTGGGATCCTGTTTCTTAATTTTACTAACTGAATGGAGACTTTTCCACAATTGAAAATCATTCAGTTTCATGGATTTGATTTGTACCTTTCCCTTATTGCTGGACTGTACTGCCTTCTCAAAGTCTGCAAAATCATATGTTTTGACTTGACGCTTTAGTGATTCTTCTACTTGGTGGTGGAACGAATCCGCCGACATAAAGGTATGACCTGGTTCAAAATAGTTCAAGTGAATGGTCTCAGCGGATATACTTGTTGAGTTCACAATATAAACAAGAAAGGAGAATAATGCCCAGTTTTTATTCTGGCTAGAACAATTGTCCAACCATAGAGTGATATTGCGGACATCCCTGTGGTGAAGAAGAAATGCGTTGAAGGCACTAATAATATCTTCTTGGTGTCGTCCGCTGATGCCTTCATGCCACAATACGGCAAATGAAGGAAAATCTCTAATTTTACCAACTGGCACAAAACTTTCATTGTAAACTATTAGGCGAGAAGCAAAGATCGCTTTTTTAAACATTTCAAGTCTAGGCAACATTATTACTTTTTGAAGATCAACAGAAAAGCACAAATTTCCTTTGTCTTTGTTGCAGTTTTCCTTATTTAGTGAGTATCTCTCACGAGATTCTTTTGCTTTCATAATGTGATCCTTCCAGCTGCAGCATACCTCGCAATCATCACTTAAGGACTCAGCTTTATGTTCGGAATTATGCATATGGTACGACTCACAGAGTTCACATTCCTCATTTCCTAATTTTGCGAACGATATATTTTTCGCCTTGAGGATTTTTCTATATTTTTCATAGGAGCAAATGTAATCGGGATATCTTTTTTTAAAGTCTTCAAACATAAGGGTGACATTCAAGTCACTCGGCAAATATAGACGATTAGGAGCATGGACTCTTCTATAGTGAGATACAGATGGATTAAATGAGTCAATATGGCTTTCTATAATCTTATTAGACAACTTGTTTGGAGGAGGATGCCTACCTCGGCGGTCTAAATCATTTTGTAACTGATTTTTGCTATTAGCATTTGCCTACACCGAATGGATTATCCAGTCATTCGTTTTTTTATATCCCAATGTTGTTAGGAAAAATATTTTACAGACACGTCTTGTTGTACCACTAGAATCCTTCAGAAAATATGTGAATGTCTTGTTTTTCTTTGAACCTTCTACTTTTCTCTTTGGTGTTCTATTCTCTGTCGAGTTCATCACAAATGTTCGTTTTCCCTTCCAGTCCAACTTCCAAAATTCGTGGTTTGTGGTGTTTCTCTCCTCCTCGGTAAAGAATGTCCGACATTTGAGCTTACAGTTTATACAGCCTTCTCTGACCTTATGAAGCGAGATTACCTTGTTTTTCTTAGTTTCAGCTATCACTTCCTTGGACAGTTTGTATTTTTTTCTTTTTCTTTCTTCGCCTTTTTTTGTGTGGCCTTCAACTGTTTCATATGGATCTGAAATTATACCTTACAGGTGCAATAATGCTTGCTGTAGTAGTAGATAGTACACGCTTACCAGCTTCCTCATACCCTTTAGTTTCATTCTCCTCTTCTACAATCTCTGTTTCTTCTATTATTTGATTTGCATCATTTTTCATAGGTTCCCTTCTATTCTCATCCCCACGACTATCGTCTTCCATATTTTAAATATTTTTTTCTTCCACTTCCACATTTGCCTGACCATCCACTAAAAAGTAGAAAAAAAGCTATCACTCTCAAAAGGACGGTCTATCGAACAGTAGTTGCTGGTATTTTTAATAACTAGTATGCTGTGCTCACCGTAACTTAAAATATCTCTGAGATTCCAAGATTCCTTGTCAATCACATTGTTAGATATATCTTGCAAGCAGTATCCTTTATTTGTGGAATGATGTTCTGGATCTGAAAATGAGCTATTTTGAATCAGGTCCTATCTTTATGTCGGTGGATTCGTTCTATCACCAAAGTATAACAATTACTATAACATCAGATCAAAACATATGGTTTTGCCGATTTTGAAAAGGCAATTGCCCAGTAACAAGGTAAAAGTACAGATTACATCTATGCATGGTAGTTATTTTCAATTATGGAAGGATTTCTATTCGGTCAGTGGAATTAAAATATGCACTAGCGTAGCCAAATTTTTGTTTTACTCACCAACAGTATCAGCTGAATCCATGTATCGAATAGTCATCGATCCATTATCAATTACGCAACTCTTGGTAATTGGTATGAATTCTTCCATCTGTACATCCTGTAGTACATCTTCATCACAATAATAATTCTGAGCGCTTAAGCAAGGCTCTTCCTCTGAATTCACTGTATTAACTTTAGAAATAGTAGCCAGGGAAACTAACTTTTTTCCTCTGCTTCCGCTACTCCATGAGCACATTGTTCTAGATTTTATAAAATCGTTGTGGTCGAAATTGAGATCCTAGGGTAAAGCCACGCCACGTGCCACTTGGAGGTTACCAGCAAACTGATATTAATCAAACCGCCTGCGCCTGCACGCGTTGCGTACGACAGGTGGCGACAGGTCGACTTGCTAGGCTTAAACCACGTATTTGGAAGTTCCTAGACAAAAACCCCGTATCCAGTTAAAAATACGAGGAAAGCTCTTAGTAAACCACAAATACGGGGTTCGGCATTAGTATTTTTTAATTTTTTTGCGAATACGGGCTTAGCATTACTTGATTTCATACATTTCCGCTTCAGATACGGTTTTTTAACATAGAAAAAACGAAAATTCACGACATTTTAGTACAGTAGAGCCAAAAATCTCGTTTTCGATTTTTTTTCAAATACGGGGGTTTGGCTTAGGAGGGCAGAATAATGTAGTCGGGGCGGCAGCACCCCAAACGTGTGAGCAATACTCGAGGCTAGGCCTAATCTGTGCCTTGTATAGAATGAAAAGGTCAGGCGGAGAAAAGTACTTCGTAGCCCTAAACAAATAGCCTAGCTTTTTCACAGCAACTGCCGCTATTGACGAGATGTGTTCTTGCCAGATCAGATCCTCGATGATCTGGACTCCGACCAGCCGAAATGAATGGCTCCTTGGCAGAACTCGGCCGTCCATCGAAACCGCTTGAGCGCTAGGACGCTTTTTGTTCGTCAAATTAAAGTAAAGTGTTTTTGAAGCATTAAACTGTACATGATTGTTGCGTCCCGAAGCAGTGATAACCTCCAGGTCTCGCGTCAGTCGTCGCTAGTCTTATTCTTTCCAGCTCAGCGGCAAGAGATCGGCTTGTCACTCTGAATTCCTGCATGTAGAGTGCTGTGATCACCGAAGCTGTAGATTGGGTTGATCGTACAGGAAAGGAGGTCGTTGACATGTAAGAAGATGAAGAGGAGAACCCGTCAATTACGACGGATATCTTGCGGCCAGAGATAAAGTCAGCCACCCATCTGCAAAGCTTTTCTGGGAGGCCATAGAATGGAAGTTTGCTTAAGAGTGCAGCAAGCCACAGCTGATCGAACGCTTTCGTGATGTCAAGAGCAACGACATGAGCCTCACTATAAGACTGGATGAGTTTACTCCTCAACTGCGTGACGTAAGCTAGGAGGGCCCCTGTGGATCGCTGGCGCCGGAAACCATACTGCCTGTCGCTAATGAAGCTGTGACGTACAAGGTAGTCCAGAAGTTCGCGATTTATGCACCTCTCCATCACCTTACTTATAACGGAAAGAAGAGATATAAGCCTGTAGTTGTATGGGTCGGTCTTAGATACTTTTTGTGGGATGGGTTGAACATGAGCAAATTTCCAGTTTTCTGAGAAGGTGCCGCATTTATAAGATATCTGGAAGAGACGCGAAAGAACAGGAGCAAGCTCCGCTGCACACCTCTTCAGTACAATGGCAGGAATCAAGTCCGGACCAGAAGCTTTGTTGAAGTCGAGCGACAAGAGCACTCGTCTTACGGTCTGATGCCTGAATGTTACCTCCCACATAGTGTAGGGAACCCTTTGAATTGACGGCACTTGGACGTTGGGGGGAATGTCCATGGCGGAGTTGGCAGCAAGGATCTTGGCAAGCACTTCCGCCTTGACCTTTGAGTCGGATACAATCGTTCCATCCTGACACGTAAGTGGTGGAAGGCTACTGTGTGAGAAGTTCTTTGCAATCTGCTTGGCCAGCGTCCAGAAAGACCGACTGTCATTGCGCTGCGACATTACCCTGTGCCTAACTTTTATATCGTGCTGGTTTTTGGCATTGCTAACCGATACAAGAATACTACCTTGTACTCATATCGCGGCTTCTTGGCTCTTGTACTAGTACCATTGCGAGGTTTCTTCCGTTTGTCCTTCTCATCACGTTTCTTTATGTTGCTGGAAGTATTGATGCTAATCATATGTGGTCTCTGCCTCAGCTGCTTTTGATACTCCTCCATTTCTGCATCTTTGAATGCTTCCCTGTAATATACAAGAAATAAGTGCCTAGTATATTTTATTTAGTATTAGTATTTTCAAAAATGAATTTATTTTAGGAGAACGCGTAAATATAATCTAAATTTAAGCTTGATATTAACCTCAGCTCGCTGTTTTTATCTAAGATACATTTCTTCAGAGGTGGTACCAAAATACTCCTCTTCCACTCAATGGTTGGATCCGTTTGCCAATCTCCAGTACTATGTCTTATCCGCTCTGTGTTCCTACTGAAAAAAAAAATAGCAAAACTAATCATCTACCAGACCACAATGTGCTTCGAGAAAGCACTTCGGAACCCTAATAAGAATGAAAACTGGAATTTAGTCTAGGCACAACTGGGAGATATGGTAGAGTTAGAAACTTTTTACGCCACTGATAGATTTTTTTACATTAGGAAAAGAAAAATTAAGAAAATTTACCTTCGTCCAACCCTGATCGAAGGCCCTGCAGTTCGAATATCTCCATTTAATTGTTGCTCTAGTACGACGACATGCTCTGGTCCTACATCTTGGATAACCTCTTGAGTACCTTGAAAAATAACAAAGAAATATCATGTATATGTACAAAGTTACAAAAATAAAAGGTGCAAAAAGCTGAAGACATTTGTTATTGCCTTTACAGTTTGGCTGAACAAGAGCATTGAGAAATTACATCATTAAAGCAATATCGAGTAAATTAAACAACATTAATTATTGTTGCTTACCTTCTACTCATTGGTGTGCATGAAAAATATACGATATCATTCGAGTATAAAGGGTGACTGTAATAACAATGGCAATATTTCTAGGAAAGAAAGTGGATCCAAAAATAATACGAGAAATACCCCCTTACCAAGACACCAGTGGCGTAAAAAAGGGGGAAATTGTCGCCCTTATAGAAAAAATATCATTTATTCGACACAATTAGCTTTTTTAAACACTATTGCATTTTTGAATAGGGTATTCAAGTATTCAATTTTACATGCATCGTCTCGAGAATTGTTCTTGTTTTATTGGTCGTATCCACTGTAATAGTATTTCATATTAGTTACTTATCTTAAACGGTAGACGACGTTTCACGAAGAACTAACAAAAAATCTATCCATGCTCACTATTTCCGCACGCTCAAGATTGAAAACATTATTTTTTCAACGTAAAATTTTGAAGAACACAAATACCAGGCTCGCCGTTCAGGGCGATAACGAGAAGAAAATCAAGGAATTACCGAATAAAATATCTGTATAAATAACGATTTCTAATGAGAAAATACGCTGAAACTTTGATTAACGTATTCTGCCTCAATGTAGTCAACGTAATGCTTATATTCCATCATCAAAAATCGTATCCGAGGTAAAATGAGATACCGTAGCGTCATCTAAAAGAATTTGTGACGGCTACTTCTCTATTTCCTACTACATTGAAAAGATTAGTGTCTCATAGATGGCGCTGTAGCAACCTGTATGCTTGTATATGTTCATATCAAGTAATTCAGACTAGATAGAAGGAGCCAGTCAAGAAACTGTTTGTCACATAATTCTCATTGTCTATAGTGAGTACCAAAGTGCACTTGACGTAAGTAAATTTTTTGACAGTTATGTCATTGCAATTTCTATTGTTGGTGTTATTTTTTAAAAATGCGAGTATTTGCAGATAATTGTGGTGTTAGACGATTTCAAAACGTGCTACTTAGTACATAATTTGCAGAGAACTGCACAAGCCTAACCAAGGAAGCTTGTTGACACAACGCTTTCACTCTGGTAGGGATTTACAGACAACCGAATCAAAAATATGCACCAAGGCTACGCAGTTTTGGCGACAAACAATGCAATGTAAACATATAGACTTGGCCCCTTGTAAGATATTCGAATTTGCTGGCTCATAGGCAGCGCTATCTACAAGACACTAGCCTTTTCAAAGTATATATAGTGAATAGCTGTGACAAATTCTCATAGATGACGCTGCGGTATCTCATTTTAACTCTGATAATTTTTTTGATGCTGGAAAATAAAGTTGTAATATTATGGCTATCTTCATATAGAATATGTTAATCAGTGACTGAAGTGAGTCATGTTTGATATTGAAAACCATATGTAATCTACGACTCTACCATAGCGCTAGTTGAGCAATATTGATGTTTTGTCCTCATTCAGTCTCATCAGTGACGTAGAAACTTACAACAATCAGTATGTTAGTAATGATATATTTTCAAACACACATTTATAAAAACTTATGTTATTTTTGGATATACATTTTTCATTAAAAATATTGCCATTAGTTGTTGGATCTATATACCAAGTATTAATTGAAATGTCAGCTTTCTTTCATACCTCAATATTATAAATTTCGCACAGACTACACTGCCAAAAACTGTTATAAAGGTAAACGTTAAAACTACAAGTCCCTAATTTGATTGAAGTAAATGAAAACGTGAGATTCTGGGCCTCTTGAATTACTCTTAAAAACATCAGTATTAATATGAACGAGGTATATGTTCCTTACCTTCATTTCCTATGACAACATTCGGCACAAGTTGTTCTACATTGCACATCTCTCTACCAGGCACCATACGCTGCAAATAGGGTGGATAAGGGTTGCCCTCTACGTCGACCAGGAATGGGGGCGGCATTAAATGGGGCGGCACTTGCGTCTGCTCATCCAATACACGATGTGCGGAATCACGCATTAGCGGTCGGTAATCTGTGTGAAAGAACAGTTCTTTGGGGAGCTGAAAAACAAAAAAAAACATTGAGAGAAACAATGAGACTTTTGAGTATTTTTTGGTTGTACTTGAACGTCACTCGATTGGTTTAAATGTATCAAAATAATCGATCTCAAATTGTAAGAATATCAATATATACTTCAAATAAATTAAATGTAATTTCAGGGGTACCTCAAGGATCGGTACTAGGTCCGATCCTATTTTTAGTTTATATTAACGAGTTAATAAACTTAAACATACATGGTAAATTCATAGCTTTGCGGATAATACCACAATACTTTGGCATGGCAAGACAAATATATGAATGAAATTACGTCAAAAATTGGCAGTGGTATACAATCAAATAAAGGCGTGGCAACAATTACTTAACAATGTTAATAAGACAAGGTTTAAGATATTTAAATGCTCCCTTGATTTTAGAAACAGCAACACTTATTTTTAAATATAAATCTAAATACAAGTTACGATATTAGACGAAAACGAGGTCTTAAATTAGTAATACCCAAGTCAACACTTGTGAAAGACTCAATGATTTATAATTGTCTGAAAATATACACGTGCTTCCCTGATGCTATCAAAAGAATTAACAGTTTAAAGAGATTGCTCCCTGAACTTGAAAACTTTCTGATATGAAAACCATATTATACCACGTGTGAGTTATACAATTCATTTATTTAAAATCTACATATGTAATTAAGTGTAGCCTTAAGTTAGCTTTGTCATCAAGATTGACTGTAAAGCATATATTTCTATCTAACAATATGATCCATGAACAGAAATATGTTATTTTTATATGTAAGAACCGTAGTTCGGACCAAAAAAATACAAGAAATCAACATACATGAATATATATTTCAATCTTTTTTATTTTAGTAAATATTGATGGCGTGCCACTGATTTATTTTTGAAAACCTCACCTCCCCGTATCTCAAAAATCAAGACATTTAAGACATACGGTCATATGAAGTTTTCTTTTTAAAACAGACCCAAGGTCGCCCCCTTGAATATTTATGCAAAGCGATTGGCGACACCAAGGTAAGTATGCAAGTATGCCTATTTTCGCGCCGGTACGGCTTTCGATTAGATATCTTCTGGGGAAAATGCTAACTAATGCTACTATGCCGTATTCTATTTAAGTCGTATTGAAAGTAGCGTGATTTTGCTAGTGGTGCCACTCCCAGTCCATGACAAACAACGTCGACACAATGCGGTACAACCGCTTGGTTTAGGATGATTGAAGAAACATTGTTTTTTCGGGGATAAGAGGAGAAGTAGGATCAACCTAAACATACGGGGGATACGGAGAAAAGGGGGAACGTGACACGGACTCTAGCGTCTCTCTGCTATGTAACATGCACACAAACTGGCTCCCCACATTAGAAGTCCGGCGGATGGTACCTCCACGGTTTGAGACCGTCTACCACCTACGGACAATCACAACATCCATAGCCAAGAGAAAAATTCTCTTGGGGAGGAATCCGAACTCGAGAATGATTAGTAGCCTGCCTGAATGTTAATTTCCATCAAATATTTGATAGCACCGCTTTAAACTAATAAAAGCATAAAAACTATAAAGGAAATGTATCTGTATACAGAGGCATATTAGATCTCTTACCTGTTCATATAAAGGACTTCCATCTCCAAATCCAAATGTAAGCAGATGTCCAAGAGAATCTGCTGCTGCAATTGTATTTCCATCTGGACTCCACTTAACATCAAAAAGGGCACCAAAGCCTTGACCTTCTACCGTGTTCAGAAACCTGAGAAAAAATTCAAACTTTCAATTCAATCCGTTTTATTTCCTAACTACTCAACTGTATATACTCGACCAACTAAACGGTATCCCAATACGTAATTCGGGATTTTGTTATAAAATAAAACTAACAACTTTGGAAAATATCTTGCTAGTTTACATTATCAGAATGTAAAAGTACGTAAGTTATGTTTTATAATTAACTAGTCTACACCCGCGGCTCTGCTGATGTGGAAGTAGTGTAAAGTATAGGTCAATATTGTCTTGCAATAGTTTGAAGGAGATTAATTTCGGAGAAGTAAATGCAATATTTAAAGCAACGCAACAGTTACTTTGGTAATAAGTATTTTTTCAAAGTTATTTCCCGGGATCCAAAGTAGCCTGTATGCTATGCCACACTATAGTCTATCTCTGTACCAAAATTCATCCAGATCCGTTCAGCCATTTAGGCGTGATTAAGTAACAAGCATCTACACTTTCGCATTGATAATATGGATAATCTCCGAATGCCCCTCCACCCATATCTTCAACACAATGAGATTCATTGCTATAACGATCAGATCAATTGAAACACATTTCTAACCGAATCTTGAAAACAAAGATGATAGGTATACTCACTTGTAGACAATTTCCCCCTTGACGATATCCCACACAAATAGCTGTCCATCGTGTCCAGCCGACAAAATGATATTATTGTCATGAGGATGCGCTTCCAAAACATAAACTTCATCTGAATGACCAGGCAATACTTTGACCAGCTGCCCACCTACAGTCCAAAGCTTCAAAGTATAATCGCTGACAGCCACTATTACCAAAGTATCGTTTCTGTTCCAACATACCATGGTTACTTTTAGTTTCTTAGAGTTGTCTGGAGGGTCTGGAGCATTATTCGACCTGAAAAATATCAATACGACACTATGAAGGATTAAACCACTTTACCCAATGCGTCTAGTACTATTTGGCAGTACTGGTACGATTGTTATTATCTGGCCAGCAAAATAATGCAAGAGCGGAAATGTTGCAAAAACCGGTAGGTATGGTCTGAGAAGATGTTGTAGCTGTCAGATCCTTTTTCCAAGTAGATGGTGATTTTCATGTGTTAGGTATATAATACCACCCACTGACTGCCTTTTCACAGGCATATAATTCCTATGTAAAGCATGAATTCGTAGTTCTCGCATAATTCATTTGGGTGTTCGCGTTGCTACCTCTCGGACTCACGTTGAAAAAATTCTGAGAATGTTTGAAATCAAAAAATTTGACGAAGTGCGGCGGCACCTAGAGTGGCATCACCTTCGCCATGTTGCCGAGTTGCGATGTTTGGACCTTCACACTTCTCCCTTTTTTGCTAACTGCAAGAGAATGGGAACTGAAGACACGTCCCCTGACTGACTCGGAAACGCACATCTTGCTACAATTCTCAAGGTCGGGCTGGGTACTGGAGACATTTAACGATTCAGTTAGCGTTTACCCTGCAGCGTTGTCAAATGACACAGCTTCAAAGTTCTTTCGAGACCTTCAGCTTGTTCATGACTTACATAATGCATAGCTACTGATTAAAATAAAAAAATATGCATTGACTGAATGAGTATTTGTCGCGTAGAGAATGCTTTTCGTGCGTTTGGTAATGTCTTCAATGAGTATATTTAAATTTACAGCACAAGAACTATTGCATACATTATGTCAACATCACTATTTCTCGTCCACATATTCTGATGATTTGAATATGAAAATGAAAACCAAGTAGGCTATGAAATTTTTGATATTTAGGCCCGTATCGTCAATCGTCCCTACAATTGTAGGGTGCGTTTACGGCCTCCTTGATTGTCATACTCTTTTCTCTCCTTCAAACATTTCTAGATTACACTCGTCCCGTGTCAGCGTCAGCGCTCTCCTATTGTTAAGATATGTTTTCCTTTTAAATTGTAGGAAATTTCAGGCTGATAAAACATGATATAACTCAAAAGCAAGCACAATTTGATGCAAATAGATGTTTGTGACATAACCTCAAAATAGAGCTCTGACCCGGAGAAGTAGAAAACTATGACAATCAAGGAGGCCATAAACGCGCCCTACAATTGTAGGGACGACTGACGATACGGGCCTTAACCATTGTAGTTCTTTCAGCATAAAATTTATTCTAGTATATATTTATATTATTTTTATTTAAGATGATTGGGACAGAACTTTGAAAATTATATAATATTTTTACCCAGGTAACTTCGTAGCCATATCCAGGTAGGTGCTTCGCCATTGTTGCCTTTCAAACCACCATACGATAGCCATGCCATCCTTACTTCCTGTAAGGAACCTCAAGCCTGAATGTGCCCACTGAACTGAATCAACCCTGTCAGAATGTGCCTCTGCTTCCAACACCCTAGAATCATGTTTAGAAATGGATAGTGATCAGTTAAGCCTGAGTATCCACAAAAACTACCAAAATGCCACTACATAAATCTGAAATTTAGTGAGGTTTAAGAACATATAAAATTGGAAAAAATACATTTATTTTTTTCAGATATAATATGTTTACCAGTATTCAATCAAGCGACAAGTGTGATTGCAACATTGTATAGGCATTTTTTGTAGATACAAGTTATTCTGATTCTGTTATTCAACAGTAGTTTTTTGATGCTCAAATGATGAACTTTTAATTAACTTCAAATTCTAAACTGAATACATAAATTGACTATATTTTGTGATATGAATTACCTATGAGGGGCTGCTTCGTCACCACGCATATAATATACCCTCACATGGTGGTCTGCAGAACCACAAGCAAGAAATGAACCACCTGGCGAAAAAGAAGAACAAATCATCTGTGCTTGACCAGGGCGCATTTTCTCCTGGAATACTATGGGACTATTCCTATAAAAAAAACATGAACTATGTTGGTAATACTGACAGAAGATAAAAAAAGATTGTATGTTGACTCACTATTCTTTATTTCTTCAAGAAGTTGTCTATAACTTGAATTTCTTAGCATATGCAAATATATCTTTTTTAAATCAAAAATATATTTGAGGATTTGAATTATTCTTATATGAAAAACTATGAATCTCCCTGAACAAATTCATGAATCTGTTCAAATTTCAATTAGTTGAAATAATGAAGTAAGCCACCCATCTACAAAGCTTCTACCTAAATTCCACTTTGCTTCCAGGATCATAGGTATAAGTCCAAAATCCAACAGAACCATCTGTACTGGTACTGATCAAGTATCTTACACCCCAACATGGTGTTGGACAAAAATTAACAGATGTGATCATCCCAGTGTGACCTGTCAAAACTGCCACTGGTGCTCCTGTCTGAAGACTCCACACCCTCAAAATTCTGAAAAAAAGATTTATTTGTAAGACATTGCATCTAGCTTTGCTGATTGAATATAAGTTGACATGAAAAAAAGTAAGTCTGAATTTTAGAAGCACATTTAGGTTTTGTAACATATCCAAAAGTTCTTATCTAAATCTAACAGTCCATCTGTTAAGCATGGTTGGTCAAAGTTATGGATCCACATTTAATAGCATGAATGTGTTTCCTCCAAGATATCACAATTACAAAATACACAGAATTTCAAGATTCACAAAACTTAGCCAGTATTTTTTTTTATTATTTCTAAGCAATTCTATCATTGTTTCCTTGTATCTGTACCATACAGAGTTTCATAATATAAAAAATGTGCTTCTGGTCATTTCACTAGACTAACCTATCAATAGATCCAGCTGCCAAAAGGGTATTCTCAGAGTTTATAGCAATATCAGTAAGTTCTGAAGATGGTCCACGAAATGAAGCAATTAGTCGACCAGTATAAGTTGACCACAGTTTAATCAGGAAATCATCTGCACCCTGAAATGCAATGGCAATATTAAAAAAAGTTTAAAGAAGAAAACTGAAAACTTACAGTCATTATAAATTTTCCAGAATGGTCAAACAATAGGCAATAGACAGCAGATAAATGACCAATGGTTATCCTTTGCATGCGCATTGAATTATATATGGTTGGTGTGATTGCCTTTTGTCTTGAACATGGTCCTGATACTTCTCTTCCTCTAATAGAATTAACTAAAATAGATTTATTTAGTTTATATAAGCATGCATAAACTGTCTTAAACAATAGCTAATTGCAAAACTAAATCATATATAATATATATATATATATATATATATACTCTCTCAATATAAAAGAGCAATGCCAGCATATATCAAGTCCACCTTAAAAGAAGTAAGAAATGATGATTTACCTTGCCAAAGAATTAACAGACAAGTTGAAAAATCAAATATTCCATTGCATGATTTAACAACAGCACTAGGTTGAGAAGGAAGAAGTTACTTGAGGGAGAAGTCTATTGTATTGGAATAAAATATTCGGTACACTATGAAAGAACTAGAATAAAATGATGTGGCATTCCAAGCTTTGCCTAAACAGGTAAAAAACTAAACTTAAAACTTTTGGCTTTCCTAATTGACAACAAGTAATTTATGGACAAGCTTTACAATAGGGAAACTTACTATATCATTAATTATAATTAATAAAGAAACGACTATATGTATGAAGGTATAATATAGGCATTATTGTATTATTATATTGGTTGGTGTAGCTTGTGAAACTTATCCTGTGGTTTTCATGTTCATAAGACTCCATTGTCTGGCTAAATGATATGGTGTTTCGATTCAGCCAGACAATGGAATCCTATAGATATCAGCTAGAGCCACTGTCTGTTCTTATCACTAGAAAAATGTAACTTTTAAAATTATACAACTAATATATCATACATATAGATGGATCATTCTTTATCAAGCTTAATAACCCTATTTGTATACAAACTTACCGAGATTGAAACGACAATTACTTTGTTGAATTGGTGCCCCATGGTACCTAATGAGGTAGCTTAAGAATTGTCTGAAATTTGTTAATACATTGTTTGCAGTATACTTGTTTGGTTTAAAGCTCAGGAATGAAAGATTTTGATTACTGCTTGAAGTGCTGGCAGTAGCTTTATAGCATAAGTGCATCAGGTAATCTGGACGAATATTTGAAAATTGTCTTATCATATCCTCCACAGTCCGTTCATGTTCCTTTCCTTCCCAGTCAACTCTTTTTGGCAAAATCTGAAAGAATTGGCTGTTACCATTGATGCAATTATAAGAAGCATAGTACTTACTCTATTCTCCTCAAGTTCCTCATTGAAGACCTGTGAAAAATTAATTAGTGTTTTACAAACCTATACTCAAACAAAATCAAACTTATGTTTACCTGCAAAGTCCGCTTGAGTACCCCAGCAGACAAAAATCGCTGGATGAGGAAATACACATCTAAAAAACAAAAGTTATGTTTAATGCAACGAACTTTAAATCATGAATAAAGTTTACCTGATGTTAGCGCCGAATGATTTGTATCATTTGCCATGCTTCCTCTTTGATGTTATAAACTAATAAAATTTATCAACAATCAAAGCTTTTTATTTATCCCTTTCTGCCATATTTTATTTAGGTTAGTTCACTCTAATCTCTAATTATCTTTCTGTGTTCCGTGCCTGAAAACTTGTTGACATTCGCACAGAATGCATAGTTTAAGTTTTATTAACTAGAGTCGATAATAGTATCAATAGAACGCCATTTTCGTATATATGGGCTGATGGATTCTGTGTATGCCGACGAATACGAATACGAATAGGTTAAAAGAAATCAAGTTTAGTTGTTTATTTTGAATTTTAGTGCATACTTTTGACTCGTTTGTCAACCAATATAATTTTTCAGAAAATAAAAAGGTTTGATCGCATCGTTGTGTTTAATAGCGAAAATGGAAAATATGAATACTTCTTTTCTGAGTAATAATTCCATCAATTCTCTGACATATATGTCAATTGTCATATACATCAATGAGTTTCTTGTCATTCTTGTCCAAAACGAATTTCATTTTTGGTTTTCTCATTTTTCCAGTTTGGATGTGATGTGATTTGTATAAATTTGTATGTCGTTTTTCTTAACTAGGATTTGTGAATGGTATGGTAATAATTTCCTAATAAAGTGATCAATTTAATCATTGCTTTCTGTATACTGTAGAATTGGGAAAAGTTTTACATTTTTCACAATAGAGAAGGTGAAACTAGCTCTGACCCAATATTTCGTTTGAAAATTTTCAGAAAAAGGGAGGATAATCATCATGAGTCGCCCTAGAACTAATCCTGGTCCAATACCACCCAGGTGGCTACATTGCCCCAGGAAGTCAGACAGCCTGATAATTGGAAAATTCATGGCACTCAAGACACCGCTAAGCTCAAATTTTGATGAACAGGTTCCGCCAGGATGCAGGTTTCCGCCAAAAATGATATTCGACTACTCTAAGTTTAAGAAGGTGAGAAGGCTATATAATTTTTCTGATCATTTAATCATTTTATGAATTATTGTAGATAAAGTTTGGCTTATGGATAGATCTGACAAACACCACAAGATTCTATGATAAAGAAGAAATAGAAAGTTATGGCTGCCAATACATAAAACTACAATGCAGGGGCCATGGAGAGACACCATCTAAGGAACAGACAAGTTCATTTATTGAAATTGTGCATGACTTCATAGCAAATAACCCTTTAGAGTGCATTGCTGTGCATTGTACTCATGGGTTTAATAGAACTGGTTTCCTTATTGTTTCTTATTTGATTGAGAAAATGGATTTCAGCCTGGATGTTGCTATAGATATCTTTGCTAAGGCCAGGTAAAGGCATTATCTCATATGAATATAAAAAATATCTTTATTTTAATACCACAATGCCTGGTATAATATCTGAAACTTATGGTTTTTCATGCTGGTAATCCCACATGTTTGTCTGGCCAAATAAAACCACATATATGATAGAGTTCCTCTTTATTGTATAACATGTTGGGCCCAACAGTGTCCTTTCTCAAGTACAATTGTACTGTACTGTAATAAACTGGAATTTTATACATATATATGTGGTTTGAATCAGTCAGACAACCAGGGGGTTATACCTGGTACATTCACTAGTATCTATTTATATTTACTCTAACAAAGTGTGATGGATACTCGTGAAATAATGTCTAGGTGAGGCATTTGGCTCTATGTTGAGATTATCGCAGGCTTCCATATAAACTGTGAAACTTAATTATTGGGTCATTTTTCTAATCACTTATTTTAGCACTACTGCTTGTCTAATTACAATGTGGTTTTGTGGCCTCAAACTTCCTCTACATGATGCTTTAAAGCACATCATAATCGAAACACTTAGAGTGCTGAGATGTCCCAAAAGTTGCAGAGATCTTGACGAGAATTTTCCCCCACAATTCAATGTGCATAGCAAAACTCAATCATTATTTGATGATATTCTGGCATTATAATGTTCCCTCTAATCAATCATATGAGCAGAATGACATATCTGACATCTGTGTCACCACTGAATGACCCCCTGTGGGCCCATATGTCATGAAACTACACCTGAGGTAGTAGAAGTGTTAGGCCCCCCACTGTTGATGACATAAAGCAGAGCTATCCACATAAGTTTGGAAACATTGCTCTAGCTCCAAGTCACATCTATATCACACTATCTATGGCCAAATTCATTCATAATTGAAAAACCATCAAGAGGTTAAGGCTGATGCAGTGGATTCCCACACGGATTTTCAGTAAGTTGTGACTCTGTGTACACATTCACAACATGCTGTTTGCTGGTTCATCCTTTGAAACACAAATGTGTAATAAAAGGGGCACAACAGGGACCCAGACATCAGATATGTCGTTCTGGCCATATAATCAGTTAGAGGAAGCATTATAATACAAGAATATATAATGATGAAAGTTTTGCTTAGCATGTTGAATTGTAGAGGAACATTCACGTGAAGATCTCTGCAACTTTTGGCTTTGGATATCTTGGCTCTCGAAAGTGCCTCGTGTAGGCACCCTTCATTCGATTATGATGAGCTTTAAAGCATCATGTAGAGGGAGGTTGGAGCTTTATTTGCTTCAAAACCGCATTGTATTTCGACAAACGGTAGTGCTGAAATAAGTGATCACAAAATGACCCGCCAATTAAGTTGCACTGTTGGGAGAAATTTTGCAGTTCGAGTGTCTTCTAATCATGTTTGTAGGATTTCTCTTAAAATGAATCATGTGGATGTAGGGCAATAACCTGGCGTAAATTTGTTTAAAGAACTAATGTCAAATTGCTTTTTTGTTCAGTTGTTTTAGATTTTTTGAATTGTTCTAACCAAAAATGCTCTTAGTAAATTTTTTCTAACATTAACTGTATTCGACTCATCAGCAATTTGTCAAAAAAATCCTTAAAATAGTCATTTTCATTGCTAAAAATATCAGTTATGTTATTATTTGTGAGTTTTCCAAATATCTAAATTTAATCCCAAACCTATTAGCTTGTAGGATATTCCATGTACTAGAGGGATGTACATGTGGCCCATAGTGCTTTATTAACAAATAATGATGTAAACTCAACTTGGGCAAAAATACCCTTCTAGGTCTTGTAGGGGAAGGTTTGAACTTCAATTTAGATACACAGTAACTTCAAAAATCACTATTTTAACTGATTTTTTGGAGCATTGAAACTGCTCATTTTAAAGTTCTTCCGACTTTAAATCACCTATAACTCAAGAAAAGCCAAATTCAGAGATATGTTACTATAGGTCTTTTTTGTTCAGAATGTTAAAAAATAAACAAAAAAAAATTTGTTCAGAATCTTCCAAATAACTAGATTTTTATATTCCATTTAAAAACAGTTGTTTAAAAATTGCACTGTGTTAATGTCTGGTAACCTCTAGGTTCTTGGAGTACCCAACAAAGATTATGAAAAAAATTGAGTTGGAATATTTCTCCCATTTATACAAGGTTTTCATCTCATTAAATAAAGCAAAAAAAAATATCTATCATCTTTTACCATTTTAGGCCTGTTGGAATTTATAAAGAAGATTATATAGTAGAATTATATAGAAGGTATGATGACGAGGAAGATGCACCTCCTCCTCCAAATTTGCCAGACTGGTGCTTAGAAAGTGATGATTCTCAAGACACAAATGGTGTAGATTATGATGATCCTTCTGAGTTGACAGCATCTACGTCAAAGTATGTAATTAAGTGTGAACTTATACTTCCTACGTCAACCTACTTGACAGCATTTTTTTTACTTCACACACCTACTGGTGGGAAGTATTGTAATTTCGAAAATTTTCTAAAATGAGATTGTTCTTTGGATGTTAGTTAAAATGCACATCATGGAAACCATGTCACTCATTTCCATCTGGCTAAACCTAAAACCGCCTATAACTTGAAAAGTAGCACTCGGATTTTGAAGAAATGTTTGTTACTATTATGCCAAGGACGAATAAGCTTTGTAGTTTTTGGAAATAGAGATAAAATATTTGGGGGTGAGGCCCTATCTTGGGAATCCTACACACCTAGTAGACATGTTTTGCACATCATAGATTTCCCCTTTCATTATCCCTTACAACTCGACCCCATTTTTTGTACTTCCATACTATGTCAAACTTCAATCAGGACATATTTTCAGTTCAAATAACAACACCACAAAACCAAGGAACAACAGGAAAAGAGGCACCGCTAAATTTATGGAAGGTGTCAGAGGTGTTGAAGTATTTGATGAACAACCTAAAGCACATCATTTGCAAAAGAAAGTACAGACCATGTGCGAGTGGAAGGGTAAAGGATTTCCTGGATCTCAACCTGTATCTATGGATATGCAAAATATACGTCTTTTGCATCAAAAGCCTTACAGGTATATATCTCATACCTTTTTCAAATGTCATCTTTCTACAAACCTAGTTTATACAACAATTAAATAAGGAAATTCTCTGTATACAATTTTACAAATATCATTTACAAAACACAAGTCTACTGTGGTGCTAACCATTTATATATCAAAAAACACAATAATACAGCTTTTAAGTCACATTGTACTTTTTAAAACCAAAGTCAAGATTTTGTGTAATCATTCTCATTTTCTGAAATCGGAAAGCTTCATATTCTTTATATACCTTCTAATTGTTGAAAAATAAAGATACATTTTTCAAAGCTAGGAGCAGTTCCAATATTTTTCCCAGTTTCCTTTTTAGAGATAGAAATGCATGGAAATGTGCTATTTTTTAGAGACATTTGTATATAACTTTAATCAGCTATATTTGATTTTTCTTTCATTTGTCTAAATAGTTGTTTTCAATAGGGTATCATGGAAAGCAGATGGTAATAGATACATGATGTTGATAGATGGCAAAGATGAAGTTTATTTCTTTGACAGAGATCACAATGTATTCAAAGTTAAAGGACTCAAGTTTGTCCATAGGAAAGATATGCGCAGACATCTAAAAGACACATTATTAGATGGGGTAAATATGCTCTATATATTTGAATATGAGCACCATGATTTGTTTGTTTCATTTTAAGGAAATGGTGATAGACAAAGTGAATGGAGAGGATATACCTAGATATCTCGCCTATGATATCATTAAATTTGAGGGGCAAGATGTTGGTAAAATGCCTTTTTATCCAGTTCGACTCCAGTGTTTAGAAAATGAAATCATCAAACCAAGGTGAGACTAGTTTATCTAGCAAATCAAACAGCCAAGCTTCAGTGGTGTATATAGAACCACCTGAGTTCAGGGGGACCCCAAAAAATTGTGTGGGTGGAATGTCCGACTTTTTTAAAGTCGTAAATGGTTAATATAACTTCAAATTGCTTCAAGGATATCGAAGTGGTGGGTTACAAATAATATTGGAATGAATGTGATTTTGTGCCTAAAGAAACAGCAACTTGCTTTTTTGTGCCTATCTGACAGAATTTACGTAATATTATATTTTCAACTTGTAGAGTGGAAAGAGTGCAAAATATTGTTCGCCTCTTGAAGAGCATGAATATAATATAAGCATGCTTTTCCGGAGATTTTGCATAAAAGTTTTTACTTTTGCAGCTGGAAAAACAGTATTAATCAGTAGTTTTGAAGGGTCGCGTCGTAATTTTAAATTTTGGAGGCGCAATTCTGATGCGTAGGAAAATTGCGCCAAAGTTTACTGCCGAAGTACCTATTGTGACGTCCTTATTGTCTTTTTTAATTTTTTTAACTTAATTTTTGTATTAACCTCAGGCACGCAGCAATAGAACACGGTCTTATAAATAAGACAACAGAACCATTTAGTGTGAGGAAAAAAGACTTTTGGCATATTACGCAGGCAGCTAGCTTATTGGGTGAAAAATTCGCAAAGACGTTGTCGCATGAACCTGATGGTTTGATCTTCCAGCCTTCAAAAGAGGTGATTATAATTTATAATTTTCCGCGACATTTTTCTAACATTGTATTTTTTATAGCCTTATGTAGCAGGTAGTTGTGATTCCGTGTTAAAATGGAAACCTTTGGATCTGAACTCAGTCGACTTTAGGTTGAAAATCGCCAAAGAAAGCGGTGTAGGGTAAGTTAATATGTTGATTACCGGGCTGGTTGCAACTTTGATGAACATTTTTTTTCATCTTGCCACAAAAAATAACACAAACCTGTTTATTGTTAAATGATCTTATGAAAGATTAATTATTCGAAATAAAATATTATAATTTCTGTTTTTGAGATATAAGAATTTTTGCTATAACAAAAGTAACTGTGATAATACTTTGAGGTCAATATTAATTAATAATTTCTTTTAGTATTGTGACCAAAACAGTGGGGCTCCTGTATGTAGGACAACTAGATCAACCTTACGGGAGGATGAAATACACAAAAGCCTTGAAGGATCTCGATAATAAGATTATAGAATGTAAATATGAGGATAATCAATGGAAATTTATGAGAGAGCGGACGGACAAATCATTTCCGAACAGCTTTGATACTGCTAAAGGTAAATATATGGGATAAACATTACAAATCATACCATTAACACATTTTACCAGAAGATACCAAAGCCAGTTGTGATAAAGTAAGCATACATATCGTGGCGACACCAACCACTTATGCTTACAACTATATACCTGTCGACCACCGTCTTTAAGTGCCAGTGTAGCTACTTTCTGCTAAAAATAAACAATTTCTGTTTTTATTATTAAGTATTGGAATATTTGCATCTGGCAGTAATAGCAACACTGTTAAATGTCTTTAGCTCGACTGTCAGTCTTCAATTTCTTTGAAGACTCCACTGACTTTTACCGCCGAATGAGAATTTCGCGATCAGATTCATTTTTATGCAAGCATAAAATAAAAATACTGCAGTAACGCCAACTTCAGAATTAATAGAAATCTGACTGTCGGACCAATCAACTCATACGCATAGAAATTTTACAGTGTTGCCATCCTTCCAAAATCATTTCCGAAGTATTCCTGTCAACGTCAAGAAAGAAAATAATTTTGTATATTTACTAAATGTTTTCTTGTTTGTAGCTGTTTATGCAAGCATACAACAACCAATAACAAAAGACAAGTTGTTAGACTATATAGAACGGTACAGGTTCAATGACGATAGCGAAATGATGCCACCACCTACTAAAATGATAAGAAGATGATCATCATAGACAATTGATATTTTAATTTAATTCATTACTTATTTTTATATTCCTTAAGAGAATACCTATTTTAGGAAATTATTTATTACAGCCGTTGGTGATATGTTTTTTTTTTATTATTTGAAGTGTAATTTTATGTTAATACATTTTTCATCTTTATGACTCGTGTTATTTATCAAGCCTCATGGTTCCTGTCTACAATTTACGCTACGTCACCATTGCGTTATGTTCTGCAATTTTTATCGCGAAGGAATATCAATAATTTGCACTAAAAAATGAATGATTTCCACTTTTTTTCTTGTAACGTGGCATTGCACAATATAAATATTTTCTTCTGCAATTGTGAGAGTTTGACATGAAACGTATAGTTACTTTTATCGATATCCACAATGAATATTGAATCTCATTGGTTTTATTTCTTAGGCGTGAATTGCGGAGGATTTGAGGCGGGGTTTGTTGGGTATTTGATGTTGAGAAAATTTTTAATTTCAAACTGACAATTTGCGTAAAAGTCGCCAGCAAAGGCTATGATTTATAACTGTATGTACATATGTTATTTGTAACTCTTGTAAGTTAAGTTCTAGCTGTTTTGCTTTTACGGCGCTAAGTGGGAAATTGAAAGTGTTTCCCAACCTCTGTACCATGCGAACCCGCCGTAAATTGGTTCTATTCCAAAATATGGGAATCCTGTATGGTAGCACCCTTTTTATTGGAAGCATCAGAAAATCACAAGCAAAGCTTGAATCTTTACAACTTATTTGTTTCATAGGGTTATTAAAACTAAACACATCAACATTTAATTTGCCACTTTTTGTCAACAAGTTTAACACTTTCTTCCTTCAGAAGCTTCATTAAGTGGTGGTTTACATTTCTGCAGGCAGCAGCTATCAGCTTCGGCGATAGATCAGTATATATTTCTTCTACTAGGGTTTCTTCAGTGAACTGCTTCTTTGGATTTTGATTCAACACTTCCATAATCTGTTTTTCTCTCTCTAGCCGATGCTGTATATAAAATTGGATTTTTTCTTGGGGACTCTGAAATAAATGTAACCGTTGAATAACATATCCACTTACAACGATATACTTGTCGATCGCCGTCTTTAGGCGCTAGCATTCCCAAATCGCGGTCTGTTGCCATAGGTTAAGACCTTTCGTTTTCAGTCGCAGGGAAATTCTGAGAATACAAAAGCTTAAGGAATAATTAGGAGCGAGGCTTAATGTGTTCTGCTTGGAAGGTTTACGATAAGCAATTTCCTTTAAAAGAAAAATCAAGCGCGATTTTACTTGGCAACATGGCTGTGATGTGACTGGGCCTCTTTTTGAGGAATACGTTAATCAATACTAAAACGTAAAGGTCCGAACCTTGATGATGTTCCCATGCCCTGGATATATAATCTTGGGGTCCAATCCTAATATCAAATTGAGTGAATTCATATAGTCATAAAGGTCTTCAAACACGGCAGTCCCTTCCCCTAATATGCAATCTCCACTAAAAATGGCATCCTCCTCTTGAAGATGAAAAATTGCGTGATCGTCGGTGTGACCAGGAGCTAAGAGGACTTGCAATGTGGCGCCCTCTATCTCAAAAACTTGTTTATCTTCCAAAGAATGTAATGGTAGGTTGTCAGGAACGTTAGTTGCTTGAACTTTTTGGCTGGGAAACTTCCAAACCTTACATATACCTAAAGAAATTGAGACACTGAGGTATACAGTATATAACAGAAGATAGTATGAAAAATTAGAGTAAAGAGAACCTGTTCTTTCTGAAACTTGACTGAAGATATCAGAAACGCCATCTAGATGATCATGGTGCCAATGTGAGACCAAGATATGGTCTAAATGGATTTCTTCTTCATCAAGAACTGTCTTCAAGTAATGAATGTATTGTGGTACATCTGCATCACCTGTGTCAATCAATACTCTCCTGAAAAAATGGAGTTCATGGTAGGATTATGCAAAATTACAAACTGTTGAAACTTTAGCGAAAATACTTTCTAATGACACAAAATGTTCCGATTTATACATTTTTTTTTACTTAAACGAATTTCTGGATTCGCGCATACTTCGTTGTTACCGAACGAAATACTCAACGATCGAAGAGTTATGTAAAAAACAGGACACATGGCAACTCTGTGTACGATGAAAACACTTGTTACCGTTCCAATTTTAGTGGCTACGTTTTTAGTAAATTCCTATATCGACTGGGCTATAACGTTTGAAAATATGCGTCTTATCACGTTATGTAGTTTACTAGTTTGTATCGTATTCAGACTATAGAAAATTTGCAATACCTTTTTCCGGTACCTACAATGTATGTGTTTGTCCCTTGTAACGTCATCGGCCCTGGATTGCATCCTAAAACTCGAATAATCCTGCTTGATATTCTCGTCACAGCCGGGATAACAGCCGCCATTTTTATTTTTGATAACGTTTAACGTTTCCTTATTTCTCGGTCTTCATCGTTCTTGTTCGTACGTGAATATGCGTCGATCGGCCATAGACCTCATATTATGCTGACTAGACTTTTAAGTCATGATGAGGCTTCAAACCTCTGCGACTGATAAGAAATGCAAATAGTAAATAGATTTTATATAACATACGATAGGTAAATTTGACAAATGGATGGATGTCCTGATTTTTATTTCTAAATCTTCGATTCATAACCATACTATAAAGTTTTGTTGTTTGTTCTGAAATTGTGTTCTACGTATGGGCGAAAATAGGAACACAAATGCAATTTTGAAACTATACGTGCGCCGTATTAATTACAAGGGCGCATTTTTGAAGCAAATTTAAGAGAAAATCTCATATAAAAATATGTGTCCTAAAAAGTCCTGATTTTCAAGATACAGCGTGTAAAAAAAATGTTTCTTGTTAATATCTGAAACATCCTTGTGGCTATTGCCAACATGTTTTGTCAAGATTTATTTTATAATTTTAAAGTTGCTATCAACTAGAACTAGAATTACTGTTATTTTGTTTATTACTTGAGTAAGACACTATTATAAACTATAGGAAGTAGCTTTAGGGCTAAGAATAATAAACATTTCATTTCAACTTGAAACTTGAATTACTTTCATGGCCAAAACCCCTGCTATAGACGCCGATCCATATCTCCTAGGGATGTCCTATCCTTATTGTGAGCACTATTGATAATAACCTCCCAATTAACATCTTTCAAACAAGGCGACTGTTCAAATTATGAACAAAAGACGAATTATTAGAACGGAACGTTAATTAAAAAATGTATCATGCTTGTTTGTTGATATCTGTAAATTCAACCTTGTATTAAATAACATCCGCTAGAAAAACATGGGTATACAGAGTAATATATCTGTGTTATACCTAAATGATTTGTCTATATTAAACCGTCAAGGCATTCTTGTCCTAGATAGTACATAAAAACCTCACTATCAATGCCCCGTGAATCAACTTATATATATATACTGTAAAATTTTGAATGAATGAGAAAAAATGGCAGACTGATTGCACGTCCAAGGCTACGCTATCATCAGTTCATAAAATATTATATTCAAAACAAATTATCCCATCTGAGAATAAATTTAGCTACGGAATGTATATCAAAACATTAAATGGATGAAGTCAGTCAAACAGGCCCATACAATCATTAGTTCATAGTTCCCATGCATTTGACGACGTTACGGTCGAGAGATTTTTCTCCTGTCTACCGACGATCTGGCGCCAGTCGCCACTCAGGTAGTGGTCAGACCCTGACACGGGTCCATCGTTACGTTCGTTGCGTTATGTGCGACGCGTGGAAAAAATAGTTCACAATGGCTTTAATGCGAATGTACGGAGAAATTTATGATGTCTGAAATATGTCAAAATATGTGCTCGGTATTAACGGGGTTGGAAACGTATAAACACGGCAATGCCAGAAAATTGAGATATACCTTCTCCACCCTCTATAAACCCGCAATCCCCAAATTTCACACATTCTGAAAACCAAGATCAGGAGATTCTGAAACGTCAAAAACGGAGTTTACTTGATATTATTTTAAAATCTATTATTTGCATAAAGCTTTTTGGGCCTTAGCTTAAGAGCAACCTTGTATCCAAATTTCATCAGAATCCGACCAGTACCAGAAAACCTTATATCACATTTTCGAAATTTGTCGCGATTGCAATATGTAATTCTTCCTGGATAATTGGCATGTAAAGTTGTACAGGCAACAAAAGGGATATTCAAAATCATCAATAGACAAAATAATCTAGAGTAGTCCAAATACTCATCTCTTGAATGGTTGCCCAAAGTTTTAGAATAGGGATATACAAGCTGAATAAGGTCAAAAATGAATTGTGTCGCAGATAAAAATTCTGACACCATTTCTTATATAATGTGCCTAGGTGAGTAATGTAAGTATTTGAACTTTATTGCAGATAAGCATGACCTTACTCAATAGGAGTAATCCATTTGATTATTTAAGTATCCTGTTGGGTTTCGCTCTAGACTGATTGCTAAATTGCCATACCTAAAGCTGTTATGAACGTGAACCAGTAAGATTTAAACGACCGGTAAGACGTCAGAGTACAGTTACCATGGACCGGTAAAATTGTACAGAACATATCGAAACATTATGCCTTGTATCGTTCCGTAAATGTTAAGAGACGTACTTGATATTCCATGACATTGGTGCTTCCGTGAAAGTATTTGGACGTTTCTCAATATCTTTTCTTCAGATCAATTTACGGTCTGTCTGTCCGCTAATCCTTGACCCCTGGATAAGTTGGAAACCGCTCAAATATTAACGCAAGGTTTTACTACTATGCAAAGGACGTAAATGCTTTGTAGTTTAATAAAATTGGTTCAGTGACGGCGAAGCTAGATGTAAAAACAAGAAAGAAACAAAAAACTCAAACTTCGTTTTTTGACATTTCAGATTCTCCTTATGATTTTCAGAAAATATTTTATAGAGGTTAAAAATTGTTGGTTGTACTCTTTTGATGTCATTATATTTATACGCTCCTTTTCAATACGCGTGCTTTCTGTGTTCATCGGCGGGTATACCTATATGGATATCGGAAGTGGCAGCGTTGCCAGATGGACGGTACCACCAGAAGGGAAGAGAAAAAATGACCAACCAACTTTTTTCTGAGAGGGTTTAACTTGTGCTGAACTTAATCCATTATAAACTGATGACGACGTTGCGTGGGAAGTGCTGAGTCAACCTACTTGACGCCATTTTTTGCCTAAGATTGATGGAAGGCTTAGAGCATTTCCATTACTTTACTCCAAACAGGGCTTGCAGAGATTTTAACAATTTTTTATGGTCATATCCGTATTCAGCGTCCAAAATTACCTCAGTCTACAGAATTTCAATCTCTTGTAAGAAATCTAAATAAAGGCGGAAATTTATCACTGAGAGTAAAGGAGTGCTACAGAAAAAAATATTTAAAAATACTTGCATACCTGCAACCTGGATTGAAAACCATATAAGGAATCAGCGTTCCAGTTACAATAGAATAGGAATTTTGCAATGAGAAATGTTGTAGTTTAGAGAGAAGTTTTAAAAATTCTTGTCAGGGGCAGCTCCAGAGTCCTATGGCTCCTGAGACAGAGGATAAAATATTCACCCACCCCTCACATTAACTGGCCGGCCCTTACTCTTGTCCATCTGCAATCACGACCAAGATGCAAAGATCAGATCTTGGATAAATCGGGTGCACATATCTGCTGAAATCGTCCGGAGGCCTTAAAAGTCTGAATTGTATACCCTCAACATAGTTTCGGTACTCTTTAGCATTTTCTGATTTCCAAAGTTTAGCAAAGTAAGTCCGGTAATAGATGGCACTTTGGGTTGTCTTATTTTGATAGACCTCATACCTTGGATAGAGTACCTATAGTGGCTATGCTTTCGTTCATTGTTCCCGAGACGAAGCCTAGACTATGCTGCTGAGTTGGCAACAAGCACGAAACAACATGTACATGGTTGACTGTCTCTGGTCGGACGGAAATTAGCAGCATGTGTGATCAAAATTCAAATGTTAAAGGCATCCTATAGAAAATAATTTTGAAATGTCCATTCGTACGCGTACCTCCAATTTTAATAAAAAAATGGCGTCAAGTAAGTTGACTCTGTACTTCCCAAGAAACACTGTCATCAGTGTGTACAGGATTATGTTTAGCACAAGTCAGCACTTCTGAAAAAAAGTAGCTACGAATATTTATAAAACAAAAATTAAATGAGCTTCCACGTCCATCCGGGGACCACGTCGCACGTATCGAAAAGCGACTGTTGGAGATATTTCTAAGTTTTAAGGGTAAATGTAAGGGGATACCTATAATGAGTGAGATATGTCTAATAGTTGATTAGAATTACTTGGGTTGGAGGCGCACCGCCAAAATCAAAATATTGAGATGTAGCCTCTTTCACCCCCGCAACCCCTATCCCCAATTTTTAGCCCCTACAAACATTTTCCCAAAAATGATTAGGATCCTCTAAAATTCCAAGAAAGGCTTGAGCGTTTTTTTATTTTTTTGGTGTTTTTGCACCTATCCCTGCCACCACTAGACCGATTTTTAAATCTACAAAACATTTCGATCCTTGGCATAGTAGTAACCGTATGTGAAAATTTCATCAAAATCTGAGCAGTACTTCTCAAGATATAGGCGGTTACAAAATTAGCGGACAGAACGACGGAAATAAGTGAAATTGTTTTTTCGTGATGTACATGTCATATAACATCCAAAAAACATATCTCAATTTTGAAATTTTTCGCGATTACAATACTTCCTCTTCAGTTTTGGCATAGGAAGTAAAAACCACACTTCCATCTAAAAGCACCCGCGCGTAGGTGTTTATGTCAGGAGCTGATTTTTTGACAAATCGCTGATGCACGTCGGTATAATTTCTAGATGGCGATTTTGAAAAACAATAATATCCTACACATATTTACACCCAGAACGGAAATTACACGATGGTGAAAACAATGGATGTTTCATTGGTACGGGGGAAAATGTTAGTGCAGGTTTTAGTACAGATGATAGTACAGAAGACAGACTCTATCCTATAGCAAATCTGACAGTGACTCTGAGAGAGTATTGCAGGCGAACTAAATTTGTGGCTCATAGTTTTATCGTCGTTATACATGTGGCTTATGCTTTTGTTACGAAGGAAAGCTAATTTCTGTATTAGTTTCACAATACCACTAGATAATGATTTCAAACCATCTACTTATCAGTATATATCGTTATCATTATATAGAACGACTATCGTAGACCGCAAATAACTTTAATAAACTTAAAAACAGAACCTTTACGTATTTGGCTCCATATATGTCGCGAAAAAAACCTTCGACGTAGATAAGGAGTCCGTCGAATGTAATGAAGTATGCTGTTTCAAGTCTAACGATGAACACCCAAGCTATATGTTCACAAACAAACCATTTTTAAATTACCTCCAAGGTTATTCCAAAGTACAACTGGCACCAAGCCATAGTATTTTTAAAAATGCATTTATTTTACGGAAATGCGTTATATTTTTTCGATTCTGTTGTAAACCAAATTTTGGTTCCTCAAAATGTAGAGCTAACACTTCAATGTCAATTAAGCATAACTTTACATTTCTCAAAATAAAGTCAATGTGGCCTTATTGCCCCAGGCCCTTCATATACTACTTGGAACGTCTACCTCAGATTTGATGGTTTCATGAGTTTCTAAATGTATACAGGGTGACTTCGAAGTTGAGTCATTTATTTTAACAGTGTGTAGATCTGATCAAAAGAAATGTTTTTTTCCTTTACCATTTTTCTGGTAAAATTAAAGTAACAAAGTTATAGCCCTTTGGAAGTTTGAGTACCTCCCTGTCTCAATAATATCATGTGTTCGTGTTTGGCAACAACGGTTCATCGCATCGGAAACAAAAAAGCGAAAGAATTTGGAACGATGTTTTTACGATTACAATTCAGTTCAGTTATACATACAGTCAGTTTCAGTCGCGTGTGAATAGTGAAATAAAAAATGGCACATGTTTATGCGGATCGGTTTCCCAATCGAGTGCAACCAACCCCTCGTGCCTTTGTTAATGTAGTACAACGGGCTCGTGAATCAGGTGACTTAAGACCTCACAGGGGACCTCACAATCAAATACAGGTCCGCACTGAAATACTTGTCGGGAGGATACTTTATAAAACAAGGTAAAATTTTTTTTTATTTTTTTTTTATTTTTACACACATATTTTGGTTTATCTTCCTTCTACAATCATTATCTGAAAATTAATGACTCAACTTCAAAGTCACCCTGTATAAGCGTGACTAAATGTTCTTGAGGGATCATAATTTTAAAATTAGCGATGGCTCCAGATTGCACAATTTCTTAGGCGCCGATCTGGTTTTATATTTGTGGACCTTTTTCATTATACGATGTCGTCTATGATACTCAAGAAATTAAAAAAATAATAAATATGACATTTTTTTAGTGCTCTTAGTATCAATATTTTTAAAGTTCCCTTTGAACGTTGGCAAAATCATCTTGAGCCTAAAATTTTGCAAATACTTTATATGATTCCCAGACTATATTTTGCGTTGAGAAGAATAACCTTACCGATACGCACTGGTTCTAGCTGCCGTTGTACCATGGTGTGGGAAGCTCTCACACCTATGTTCGTATAAAAGAACTTTCGTAGCGGTCTTGCATCTCATACATCGGCGGGTTTCTAGGTGCTTGATTTTGATTTCCTCGTTTGCCTGTCAACATGAACTACTCAATTTTAGTGGTGTTCTTCGGTACGGTGATATCAGCTGCTTTGTGTGCTGATGATGTGAAACAGGTAAATCTAGAGATTAATTAACGCGCTTTATTTCCCTGATAAGCAACTATCTCATTATGCCGGTATGAATTTATTATAAGTAGTCCGTTGAGTTTTATTTAGTACAGTTCATTGACATTTGTTGTTTTTATTTTCTTACTATGGGTATAGTGTATAAAACTAGTATGTGTTGCTATACGAATTGCTAAGGTTTACTTGATTTGAGGTTTTTTCATTTTTACTTCCCACGCCTACTGGTGAGGAAGTATTGTAATCCTGAAAAATTTAGAAAATGAGATAGGTACTCTGTTTTTTGGATGAATTATGGCACGTAAATCACGAAAAACAATGTCACTCATTTTCGTCTGTTTGTCTGTCGGTCTGACTGCTAATCTTTGGAACGCATATAACTTGGAAAGTACTGCTCGGATTCGGATAAAATTTCCGCTCAAGGTTACTACTATGCCAAGGACAAAGGTTTTGTTTTCGATCCGGCAGAGCTAGAGGTACAAACACAAACAAAAAACAAAAATCACTCAAACTTCGTTTTTTGACGTTCCAGAGGCTCCTGATCATTTTTTTGTAGGGGTTGAAAATGGTAGCGGCTGGGTTTATCTCATTTTGTTGCAGGCAACAACCCCAGCAATTTAATCAGTACATATTTCACAAATTTAAGATTTCTCCTTACATTTGTCCTCATAACCTAGAGAAATATTTGTAGACGAGCCACGCGGGTTGTGGAGATGATGCAATACAGAAGCGACTTTCATATGCCGAACCCTGGATATTGTAGTATACTAACTGGCGCTTATGACGTGTTTGGCTGGTGTGGTCCAGCAGCGTTGCCAGATGGTCGATACTTAGGGCAGGGAAGAAACTAACGTTAGGGTTATCAAAAGGACTATGGAGCAAAATTTCATCAAAATCCGAGGGCTACTTCCCAAGTTATAGACGGGCCAAGGATTTGCAGACAGACGGACTGACAGACAGACCGACGGAAATGAGTGACTTTTTTGTGATATACATGTCATATAACATCCAAAAAAACAATATTTCATTTTCGGAATTGTTCACGGTAACAATACTTGGGTAGGAAGTAAAATCATCAAAAATTCCAATAAGCTTTGAGCAGTTACATTTAAAAATAATTAAATCATCACCAAGTATGTCAAACTGACAGACACTCTTAGCACTAAGACAAATGATGATTAAAATGCTGAAGATAGTAAAGGAGAGGCTGAATATTTTCCATCTCAATCTCTCAAGTTAGGGAGTAATAATTCCAAAATTCGATTTGGTTGAACCGGTGGACGTGATCTTGTATAATATCGAAATATTTGGGCTCTATCTTCAACATGCACCTCTTTGTAGAATCTGGCTAATTTTCAGCCCTTACTAAAATTAATCGCTGACTAGTTTTAGATATTACTCAAACCGTTTCTACCAAAATCGTCAGTTTCGCAAAATGATTATATTAACTATAATCCATAGTAATACTTGAAAGCATCTGTGATCAAAGCGGCACACTTTAGCTGAAAAACTAAAGTTGGAGTTTGGAGTAGAGTTTTAAACTAATGAGTTCCTAAATTAGATGTAAAGAATTGGAAATCAGCCTTGGCTTTCCCCGGCTGAACGAAATTTTGGCGGCCCACCTTTTTTCCGAAATCCTAGCGTCTGTTCATGGTTTCTTCTACCCGTATTCCAGAGTGCGTGAAGTTTTTCTGCCTGACCAATTCTCCCTATGATGTTTATAGGCATTAGCGCAGATTTTGGTTTAGATATTTTTGGCGCGTCATGCCTAGAGAAGGAGTTCTTGTTTTTATTGACGGAAAACCAAATGAGAATCCAATATTTTGATATTTGTTTTTTTATAACGTTTTTGACTTCCTCTAGCTATTGAAGATGATACCTTCGTACGTATAGATCAAGATCAATACATTTTGAATGCGTGACCCATGTTTATGGTGTTTTACTTGCAAGGTCTGTAAACACATAAAATGCATATATTTATTAAAGAAATTGACATTTATTGATGGACACTTTAGTTCACCTGTAATGCAGTGAAATAACATAGTTTATACAACTTGTGGAAGACGCTGCAATTTACTTTGAATGCTCCTCCATTTGCTTTCATATCGACTTATTTACGTATAATTTGCATATACATGTTTCCGCTGGAATTGAGTTAATTTTTTATAAACCGATTCTGAGCTAGCATTGGAAAATTAGATAATTATATTATTACAATACTTATAATACTTTTTTCATTGACATTTTTTGATGCTTTTCGGTTGTAGTTCGTGAGATAACGCTACTTTAAACACATTTGTAGGTATACACAAGTTTTTTGTTATAAAACGAAAAAAATCACATAACACGTTACGAATAAGTGCCTTATAGCCATTTTTGATGTGGTGCCTCATTCATCTCTTTTATCTGATAACATTCATATTCCGTAACTAGTAAAAAAACAGCTTATATCGCTATTCGAATTGAGGGGCTTCTTAGACAGAAAAAACATTAAATCTGTTTATCTTTAATTCCTTGCCTTCTCCACTTTTCTGTACTATTCATTGACTTCGCGAGGGCCTTCGACACTGTGATCCATACTCAAGTATGGAATTGCATGAGAGAAGTGGGAATCTCGCAGAAAATCATCAATATGGTGAAAGGGATACATACAGATCGCTCAACGGTCAAAAAGGCGAAAAAATCAGGATCAAGCGTAACGTTAAAGAGGGATATGTACCCTTTCTAATGCTGTTCAATGTAGTACCAGACTCCGTAATTAAAAAAGTATGTGAGGAACGAGGTGGTATCTGATGGGGATATACTATGCAAGCTACAAGGAAGAAGATTTCAAACTTTGAAAGAGAAACGTCCAAATTACTAATGAAAGTCAATGTGAATAAAAAAAAAATGAGGATAAATATATCCAACCAAGAACCTTTAATTTCTTACAACGAAGCAATATAAAAAGTCGACGGATGCGAATATTTATAGAGCATCGTTAACAGTATCGGAGGGACAGAACAAGATTTTCAGTAACTAAAGGTAAAGAAAGCGTTTGGTGCTCTGCACAAAGTTTAGCAATCGTCAGTGTACTTACCAGAACAAAAATGCGATTGTTCAACAGCAATGTAAAGTCGGTCCTACTATATGGATGTGAAAAATGGGCGAGCACGAAAGCCAATGAACACAAACTTCAAGTTTTTATCAATTGATGTCTACGTAGAGTTTTACGAATATTTTGATCGAGAACAGAACTGTAGAGAAAGTAGGGGATGGAAGAAATAGACACTGTGATAAGGAAACAGAAATGTAGCTGGATAGGCCACATACTACGAAGAGATATGGACGAAATAGTAGCTAAAATGGATCACGCAGGGAACAGATATTGTGGTAGACGAGGCAAGACAAATGTGAAAATCTTAGGGAGAGATCAAAACGCCTGCAAAGAACAGTCTAGAGTGGCGTCAGAATGTAGAGCCCCTATGTTCCTCAATGTAATAACGAGTGTTTCAAATTTGACTGTCACCAGATACGAAGACGCTTAAATGGGGGCAAAGTTGCGTATTCACACAACCAACGAAATTCTGCTTAGAAAGATTCGAAATTCAAAGTACTTCCGGAGAAATATGAATTTTGCCAAAATAGTTTTTGTTTTCTCCTAATTTTATTTGTAGTGGGATTTTAAAATGGATTGCACATTAAATTGCCGCTTTTACTCCTATAATCAGAATTTCAGTATGACGTTTCGTCTATTGTCCTCCAACATCAACTTTATTTTGCACAAGTTTTAATTCTGATTCCAAAAACGTGTAACATAACATACATGGACATTGCCAAATCTTAGTTATTAAAAACCGTAATTTCCTAGGTTGGTCTTGATGGTAATTTGTTTCGTACACCAGGTGTATCACAAAATTATTTTTCTTGTCTTTATTTGGGCTGAGATCACAAAATAAATTATACAAGGCCTCAAGGCGTAGTCAAATTTTCAAGTCGAAATTTCTTCTTTCCTATATTTTTTAATTACTTACTTTCATATTACTTTAATTGAACCTGTGAAGTTTATCGTATCATAATTAAATTTATTATATTCATAACTAAATTCAGAAAAAAAATTGCGTTCGATTGTGCAAAATTTCGATAAGAAAAAATAAAGTTGATGATGGAAGCCAAAAGCAGAAACGTCGAATTGATAATTTGACTACGTCCTCTTGTAGAGGAGAAATATACCAATGCTAATATGCAATTTATTTCAAAATGTTATTCCACATATACGAAAAAACGTAACAAATGACTATAAGATAATTTCAAGGCCTACCCAGAAAATTCTATTTTTTCAATAATCAACGATTGGCAATATCCATGTATGACATATATTATTGAAATCAGAATTAAAAAATCCATTCATCTGTGCAAAACTCCAATAGAAAAAATAAAGTTGGTGCTTGAGGAAGAAACATCATATTGAAACTCAAATTCGACCATTTTGTAGAGGCGAAAAGGTGGCAATGTGTGTGTAATTCATTTTGAAATCTCATTGCAAATAACGTCAGGAAAAAAATTAAAGCGATTTTGAGAAAATTTTGTTTTTTCTCCGCTCATTTTCACATGTCCTTGTCTTGTCAGGGATTTTGGTCCATTTATACACTCGTATTTTCAATTTGTCCGATTTCATATATCATCCAGTATATAACAAAAATATGTTATCGCATTCTCTTTATAAATTACCCCTACTAAAATTTATTTATATTCTCATGAGGTTCAGGTAACCTTATCATCAACCTCCTATCCATGGTCTTCCAACATTGCTTCCATAGATTCTGATTTTCAGTTGTTATTAAATTAGGACAGTCTTTACCCTATCACAGCGACGGGCGACCGCTATGTCAACAGGGTTTGCTCTTCAGACCTTTCCTCCGCGCTTTGAGCCTGCCAGACGGACCCATCCCAACTCTGTCAAACTTCGCACATCCAGAACTGGCCGATACAACCGCTCCTTCCTTCCTAGGGTATCGATTGTCTCTTTTTTCAACAGCTTGTCTGGAGGAGTATTCTTGATACTTTTCGTCTGATTGTTTCATGATGTGAATAGAGATGACTGAAAAACAATGTTCAATCAGTTTACTTTTTTGTCAAAAATGCATTTTTTGTGCATTTCTGATGCATTTTTATTCACTCGTAATAAATACCAAAATAAAATGTATGTGAATATTCCCCTTTTATTGAGCGGGTGATTAAGTTTTCCTTATCACTTTCTCTGTTCAAAAAATCTGTGCTTTTCTTGAATACTCAAGTTGTTGCTACAAAATGAGGTTTCAAGATAATTAATCAAGAAAAACAGTGATAAGAATAAAAGTAATCACCTGCTCAATTCTACTATAAAAGTGAAATTTTTACATATAATTTCAGAGCTGTACGCATATTTGTTAACAAATTACGATTGAAAGAAAAATGCACAATGAAATGCATGCAAAATTTTTAAATTGTTTCTTGGTCATCTCTATACTGAAATCAGATGCCAAACAGGCAGTTGAAAAAAGGGACATGTGACATTAGCTCCCTATAACAGTCGCGGTGTCCCTAGTGTTTCTAACTACGCGACTGCTTCAGAATTAACAAATAAATAAACAACAGCAAAATAAATATTGCATTCACCATACAACGACGAAAGGTTTGAGGTATGTATTTGATTGTTTACAGATCAGTCACAATCATTAATGATTTAAAGCGTCATTAAGGTATCATGTGTTCTGTAGCTGCATAATGAGCACATCTCGCTAATCTTTCAGTTGTTTTGATACCGAATTCACATACTTATATAGATGGAAAGTATACATCAAAATCCTATGCAACATGAAATGGTCTATATCAGTCACCTAAAAGAGTTTAAAATTGCTAACAGTAATAAAACATTGTTTAGCGTTACAGAATTAAGGGTCATCGTAGAAGTTGAAATTTTCCTTTTATTTTTTTTTCTTATCTACAGTTGTCACTATTATTATTTGTATTATCATCAAATAAATATAGGATTTGATAAGAATCGAAAATTTTAAATCTGCCAATTTAATTTTAACATTTTTGTCTTAAGCAGACCTTCATGATGAAACTTTAGCGTCATGATATAAACTTTACATTATAGTATAGTAAATAATAAAACAGCCACGAAGTTAAAATTCTGGATACCAATACATCAATTAATCGTATTTTGCACAGAAGAAGCTGCATGTATCTTTAAGCACGTATATCTCTCCAAACAATGAGTGTTTTTTGGTTTTATTCAAACAAGATAATAAAATTACAAAAAGACAAGAGGCCAAATGCATATTAAAGTTAACAAGAAAATTGCTACAATATTCAAGACACCACGAAGTCAACAGGATATGAAGACTTTAGAAACTGGTTCAAACCGAAGTTGTTAATCAAAATGTTTATTCCACTAGGTATAGAGTGTTGTAGGCGTATAAGCACATAAGCAGGCCTTGGTTAAACTACAAGAAATAATTATGTCTTCTTTTCACTAAGAAAAATTTCATCGCAACCCTGAGTTTACAGTTTATACCCAAACGTACGCACAATGACGATTTTAAATTTTAAGCTTTATTTTACATCGTGGTCGAAATAGAAACATGGAGACAAGGTTTCGATACTAGACAGAAGAAGAAAACGAATACATAAAATAGTACAATAAAAGTTTGTTATTATGGAATTGAATTACGATTCTTCTAACTATCCAGTATATGCTGGGACAGTGGAGAATTCATGCTTTGTTGAGGAATGAATGAATTCTGAATACATGCGACTTCTGATATTTTGAATGTGGGTATGCATACTTCTAGTCGTTGGCCCAGAATTGTCCAAACTTGAAAATCTATTCACCCTGTATGTGGGTTTTCATTGGAGTAATCTATTATTTTTTATATTTAATCAATAAAATGATTGCAAGCTTAACACTGTTTCAACAACAAAAAAGTAATAGTATGATATATCAACTATTCAGAATATAAGGTGTATCAAAATAAGACAATAGAAAGAGACATCGATTACCAGAATAGGCCATTATCGCATTGTCAGCCGGGTCACCACTGTGGCCGCTAGATGCCCTCGATTCTGGCGCTACCTCCGTCCGTCCATAGACGGCCAACCATGGTCAGATGAGCAATGTTTCGTGCTATTTGGCAACTCATCAGTATGTTTTAGGATTGGTATCAGGCTGTCAAATGCGGACTGCGATTCAGTTCCAGCAGAGAGTTTGCTGTTTCACTCTCGCAGCTGTCGATTCTGGTAGTAGATGGCGCTTTGTGCTATCGATAGACCTCATATCCTGGATAGAGCCTGATTACTCAGTTTTAGTTTGTTGTCCTATCTGAGACCAAGCCTAGACCATGCTGATGAGTTTCCAAAAAAGTACTAAGCAGTTGTCCAGGGGTTTGTGGTCGGACGGACGAAAACTATGTAATACTTTGTTCAATTGCGAGTAGACCATATCTACTAGCATCATCCACAGTGGTGACTCGGCTGTCAAATACGAAATGGGAAACTTGTTCCAACAGACAACTTGCTGTCTTATTTCAAATGAGACTAAATATCTCGACATTCAGCTGACCTCAATCAATTGTTCCAAATTATGTTATAAACTACCTAATCTCTACTATATCCACATTCTTTGAAAGGAAATGATATGAAATGTATTAACACCGATGGGGGACATCCAACAAGTAAGATAATTTCCGACACTACTCCAAAAGTTGACAGCTGAGCTCAGAGGCAAATATTGTAATTTCAGGCATTCACGAAGAACCAAATCAAACCAGACGTAGTGTCCGATGTACCTGAGAAGACGATTGAAGTCAAGTACAAGAATGGCAAGGATGTCAAGCTTGGCAACGAGTTGACTCCCACTCAGGTTAAAGATAAGCCTGATGTGAAGTACGAGGGGCAGGCAGATGCTTATTACACATTGATCATGACCGATCCCGATGCGCCAAGCAGGAAGAATCCAACTAGGAGGGAATGGCAACATTGGCTGGTGAGTAAATAAGGGACTAAATTGAGATTGAAGGGACCTTACGAAATCCTTACGAAAAATAGCTTGTAGATGCTTGTATGTTGCACTAGTATCTCTCAATATAAAGAACACTGGTCATTATGGATCCAAGTTTTCCACGTGCAGTTTTTCTAATTTCTGAGCCTTGAAGATGGGAGACCATATTCTTTGCAGTATGTGGTACACGGCCTATGACGTGTTTATGCCAAATTCGAGTTTTCTGGGCGCTTTATTGCCGATAAAGCCATGTCATTACAGTCTATTCTATCGTTAAGGTCTACCCAAAAATGTTTACTCTCGTTATTATTGAATATACCACTCAAATTTTGATGAAATTTTGATACAAGGAAGCTTTGTAGGTTCTGCAAACCAATCCAGCGGTGTCAGAATTATTATGGGAAAATATGAAAAAATCACTTATTTTTCGACAGTACCGTTTTCTGTAAATTTTTGGTAGAGATAAAAATTTCAGGTGGGAGGTTGCAGGAGGATTATTTTTGTTGATTATCATGATTCATCATTATGATCAATTTTGGCATAGGTATAAATTAAGGAATTGACATAGGGACTGAAAGTTACTATGGGGAAACTTTTATTCTTTAAGTTAGCGATACAATTATTTTATTTTTGAATCTTTGATATGATGTAAACGAGCACTGACAAAGAAATTCCGGAAACTCTACCTCAAAGGGGTGAAGTGGTGGCTTACACTTTTGAAGCTGAAGAACCTATAATAGTTCAAATTAGGCTAGTCCAGAAGTAGGACTATGTTTTGTCTATAATTTTATCTTTAAAAAATATTAACAGAAAATTCCAGAAATTATATCCTTGACATGGGGTTGAATATTTCTATGTGGAACCTTGTCCCATTTCAAGTTAAGTTAATAAATATTTGTCTCGAAAACTGTTTGACCTATGAACACGAAACTTAGCAGGGAAGTACTTTATGAACAGTAAATGTCAGCTATGAACGGATTTTGCGACACGCTTGGATTAAGGGGACTAAGAGTATTGTATATATAAAAGCAAAAAGATGCGCACCCATCAGTCATCAAATCTCGAAAACTCTTTGAACTATGAACATAACATTTTGAATGGAGGTGGTAGGCAGTAGGTGTTAGTTAAGAGCAGATTTTAAAACAGGACTGTATTCAGGGGTAAAATGGTATTCGCGTGTTTGTTTAGAATTCCTTGAAATGCTCTGATGATAGATTCGTATAACTAGCTAAAATGAGATTCTTTAGAGTGCACTCAAACGAATAATTGATTAAGTGACAAGGGCGAATATGAGTTTAAGGGCTATCAGAACTTTATAGATATTTACCTTTTCTATAAAATATTATAAAAATTTACCTTTACTAGCGAGACTAGGAAGGTAAAAATTACAAATTGAAGTTTGGTTTAATCTAATCAGTCAATTATAAAAGTTTGGTTATTTCAACAATTTTAAGCATGCGAAGTCGCGGGCAACAGCTATGTGATTATATAACCATATTCAATAGTTGCGAAGAGCGCGAATTGCCTTCAGGTTACTAAGGTTTGAATTAAATTTTGACTAAAAATTATTACTATAGCAAAGAGGTTTATCGACAATTTCCGCAAATTTTTCAACTCTAGGAAGTGCCTAGCCAATCTACTTGAGTCCATTTCATAGATACTGGTTAATTAATAATAAAAAAATCCGTTAATGGACGGAATTTCTTCAGTAGGCTTATTAGAGGCAAAATACTGGGAACACACGGAACATATCCCTGTGCTTCTCAGAAGCCTGGTTGCTCAACATTGAAGTTTACCCGTAAATTTATAAAAAAATTCTTACACGATTTTTTTTCAGGTTGTAAACATTCCGGGAACCAACGTCAATGCAGGTGAAACGATCAGCGAATATGTAGGATCTGCACCACCTAAAGGCAGTGGACTCCACCGTTACGTTTTTGTACTCTACAAACAACCAGGAAAGGTAATATCGAAAGCACTGGAATCATTGACATAGTGCTAGTACACTATTCACTAAGTAAAAATATTTTTGGTATCCTGTTGTATACCAGGATGCAGAGAACAATATACTATATAATGAGCCGTATTCATAAAATAAAGGATATCCTTGTACTTGCAAATTTTGAAGGAAATGCACCAGATGGTATTTATAATAATTTGAAGTAAATGCTTTTGCTTTTTGAGTATAAGGATATCCTTCAAAGCGGTGACATAAGTAAAAGGATAGGTATTCATAATCTTCATCTTATACTTGGCATAAGAAGCATATCCTTCAAAAATTCTGAGTGTGGTCAGTAGCAGACTCAACTTCGTAACGGAAAGTGGTCAAACAATGATGGCGGAAATTGTGGTTGTTAGGGATGTTAAAACGTACATCCTCATTTATCTTCACTTGGTCGTGACTTCAAAAAATTATATCGGTTCGACGAAGCAAATGTACAATGGCTTGCGGATAGATTTTTAGTTGAGAATGAGGAAGCTCGAGGAGGAGCACTTACATGTATTCGTAAAATGAAGATATGTCTACGCTATCTCGGTGACCCTGGATATCAACAAGGTATTGGTCAGGAACTTGGTGTTAGTCAAGCAACGGTATCTCGGACTGTGGATAGAGTTGTGAACAGCATAGTTGCACAGTCGAACGAATAGATCAAGTTTCCAACTACCAACCATGAACTGATGGAGGCAAAGCGGATATGGCAAAGCCTGTATAAATTTCCGACAGCAATTGGTGTAATTGATTGTACACATATAGGAGAATCCTGAAACCAAATCGCCATGGAGCTGAGTATATCAACCGAAAAGGGAAACCTACTTTAAATGTACAAGCCACTTGTGATGCCAGAGAGATGTTCGCAAGTGTTGATGTCAGTTGGCCTGGATCAGTGTATGATTCCAGAATATGGAGAAACAGCTAATACGGAAAGCAAATGTTTTACTACTTGATGACGGTTATGGAATTGAGCCCTGCCTTATGACTCCCTTCAGAAATCCTACTCCAGGTGCAGAAATAAATTATAATAAGCTTTGAAAACAATAAAGAGTTATAAATGAACGCTGTTTCGGCCAACTGAAACGCCGGTTTCCTATCCTCTAGTATGTTTGCCGCGTAAAGTTGGAAAATGTGCCGAAAATAATTATTGCTTGTATTGTTCTCCATAATGTTGCGAAGAGCTTGGGTGATCCTGACTTTGAGTTAGTTGAACAAGACTCAGATGAAGATGAAGGAAATCATGAGAATGACGAACTTCCTCTTCGCCAACTAGGTCATCAAAATAAGAAGAAACTTGAGTATTATAATAAATAGTTTTACTGATTAAAGTGTATTTATAAGTTATAATAAGTTTTATTTTCGTGAACATCGTAACAGGTGGCTTCTGACGCTGCATCATTTCTAATTTCGTTTCATAATACTCTTGTTGTAAAATACTTGTTTGGTGCTGCTGTAATAGCACTAGACGTTGCAGTTCTTTTGTGGTTAAGCCGTTGGTTTCCTCAGTCTCGTATTTCTCTATTGTTAAATTTCTTTCATGTGGCATTGTCTTCTGAATTGCTGGCGCTGTAATACTAACTGTTTGCTCACTGCGCTCGGTATATAGTTCACTTCCTTCTTCTTGAACACTACCAACCTGGGTGGCGCCTCTAATTTTCCCAATTGTAGGATTACAGTCGCCTTCCATAGCTTTCAGTAACTTTCTTTCCCAATCTAACAATGTAATTGCTTTATTACCAGTTTTTTTTAGATCTGTTTTTTCTTCAATCTTGATTTCATGTTGTTGATTTTTTTTAATAAGCCTTTAGTATCTAATGGTTTACCGAATGTTGATTCGTTTTTTCAATATCTTCTTCAAGGCATCGTCCTTTCTCATTTTTATTTTTGGAACTTGTGACTTTTGCAAAATAATGGGAGCAATGGCAATTTCATCATGAACTGCAGGTCGTTGCCATTATTTTCTATAGTTTCCTAATCATTTGAGGATGACCTGCTTATTAATTTGATAACAAACTGTATCCAGTAAAAATACCGAACGGTCTGTGTAAGCTCTGGAGTACAACTGTCAGTGATGCTGAGTGAACGAACTCCCACATCAACTACAAGCTGGAACAAATCAGGACATGTCGCTCAAGATACAAATACCACTCAACCTTTTACTTCTTCTTGGAGGATATCCTCGCGAGTATAAGGTAATCATTATGAATATGGAAACAAGGATATGCTTATACTTCTACCTTTTTCTCCGAAGTAAGACCTTATACTTTTACCTTATGCTTCCGAGGATATGCTTCTCTTTTATGAATACGGCTCATTAAGTTAAATATTTTCGAGAATGTTGACTGTTTCAAATCAGTGGGGTTGATAACTCAAGAACGAAGTGCAAACTGACCATAAATTTTAAGGTTTCAAATATCTCATGATAAATTTCCATTTTGACACAAAACTGAATTAAATTTTTGGGATCGGTCAATTTTGTTTTACAATTTCAAAGATATTCGTTCCTCTAACAGATTATCATCTGAAAATAAGTTGACAAATGAATTTTTCAAACAATTTTGGATATAATTTACATAAAGAGTGAAAAATAGAGAACCTAAAATGCTCTTTCCAAATCTACAAAAACTACATCTTCCTGATCGATATCCCTTTTCCATTCTCTAAATCAGGCTGTCCATTATTGCGCTCAAAATGTTTGTCAGTTCCACAACTCCATTGCGTACAAAAGATTGATAGGTCGCAGGTCCTCTTAGGATGGGCGGATTTAGGTACGGAAACTACTCAGCTTATCTTCGATGGAATTTTACTCGTTTGTAATGATGTATTAATGAGGTTTAGGAGTCCCTATTTGTTTTTTTTCCAACCTAGAATCTAATTTTTCCATTAGTAGATAACGAGGTGCGAAATATAACCTGCTGAACTGTCGCTGTTCACTGACGATTTTTTTGTTTTGTTGAAGGTTCAGTACAACGAGCCCAAACACAGTGCCACAGACGGAAACAGGGGTAACTTCAACACAAACAACTTCGCGAAGAAGTACAATCTTGGAAAGCCCATCGCAGGAAACTTCTTCCAGGCTCAATGGGACGACTATGTTCCTACAGCCCACAAAAAGTTGGGATTCTAAGCAGAAAGTTCGTTGAATGACATTCAATGTGAGGTGTAAGTGTCATTAATTTTGGATATTGTTATAATAATATGAAATATACCGATATAAACTGACGAATTGTGTCTCAATCAGAAATATGTAATATTGATCTGATTCGAGTTTGGAATATACGTTTTGTGTTAGTTATGTGAGGAAGGTTTCTGTATTTGAAATAAAATTGTCTGCTGATATTTTGTTGTATGCTTCAGTTTATAGTTACAAAATAAATAATTTTATCTATATGACGTTTTTTCTATTCTTGATCTCACAGTGTCAACGCGGGTGCTCTGAAGGAATAATTTTTTACTCCAGCACTGTTTCTGTTATTCCTTCTGCCAGATAACTTTCATCCACAGCTTTATGGATGTCAGGACCCTTTATACGTAGTTCCACAGGTCTACTAACTTAGCCCTCACCTTTTTATCGCAGTCGCGGTGCTTCCGTACTTAGGTTTTGGCATTCAAAGCTGCTTCAATATAAAATAAACCTTAGCAAGGAAACAAAATTCATTGCTGGTTGCAGGATAAAGAAACAACGCCAACATTACATATCGCCCTCTACAGAATAAATATTTTGAAAAAATGACGTCAAGTAGGTTGTCTCTGCACTTAGCTCATGTTCAACAACTCAGCTCTTCTGTGTAAAAGTTAGCTACGAGTATGTATAACAAAAAATGTCATCAAGTAGATTGACTCGATACTTCCTACGCGTGATTAGGTAGGTTCACGTAGGTATGATAAATCTTCGACCTCTGCATATGAAACCAAAGCAAATCTATCATATTTATTATGCCTGACAGTGCATAGTATCAGAAGTTTCTTAATAATAGAAGGTCGTTCACTGACACCAAATTTGCAACAACTTACAACCATTTACCGCATGCAGCTTTCAACCTACATTTTTTATCCCCTCTAACAGTCTGAAAATGAGCAGGAATCTCTGAAACGTTCTAACAATCTGAATCAATTTTCAAAATCTACGACTACCTAAACGATGGAAGTATCAAACTCGCGATAATATTCGAATTTCGGCTCACAACTTTACTGTTGCTCCTTTATTTCGGTTTGTCTGTTGTACAAATATCAATGTGTCATAGGTACTAAATCAAACTACTAGACGAAATATACTTAAAACAGTACAGTCAAAATAAGTAAGGGAAAAATATTTTATTATATCAAAATACTCAGAAAGACATGCCATTTTTTGAATAAAACAAAATTTACGTTCTAAAAACTATGTCGACCATATGGCGCCCTTGAGCCGAAACGCAGGAATCAATCCTCTCCCGAAATGAGCCCATTGCGTCGGCCAGCATCCGTGCAGGAATTTGGGTTACTTCTCTTCTTATTTCCTCCTCCAAATCGACGAGGGTCCGAGGCTTGCTTTGGTAAACTTTTGATTTCAGGTAGCCCCATAAAAAAAATCACACGTTGACAGGTCCGGGGAGCGAGGGGGGCATGGAATATCGCCATGGGCCTACTGCACACCAAACTGTAACTTTCGGGGTAAGCAGGAGGTGCTCATGCAACTGTTGGGGGTTCACTGGAGACCAATATCGACAATTTTGTTTACTGACGTATCCATGCAAATGAAAATGTGCTTCATCACTCATAAACAACGTCATGTCATTGTTATCCAACTGTTCAGTCATGAGCTGTGCAAAATTAACAAGTTGTGCATAATCTCCTGGCAACAATTGTTGACAAACTTGGATTTTGTAAGGATGCAACATTAAATCCTTCTTCAAGATGCCACGTGCAGAGGACCCGTGGATCCCTAGGGAACTGGTACGCAAACGGACGGAACGATTCGGGCTTGGCAGCGTGTCAACTCTCACTCTGTCTACGTTTTCGGGGGTTCTAACAGTACGGTTTCGCCCTGACGGTTTTTTCTTCATCACATGACCTGTTGTGTTGAATGCTTCCACCCACCTCAAAATGGTGTTATGGTCTGGTACTGTCCCACGACGTGGAACACGAAAGTGAACGCTAAACTCACGTACCGACGTACAGTGAACACACGATGCTCAACGTCCCAAGCCATCTTGCCAACTGAAACGGCACTTCGCCCAATATCCCACACGCTCTTCCCCACCGACACGGACAGTACAGTCGATGTAGTACTCATTTGTAAAACATGCGTTCTTTCTGACGGACCCTGTAGCAACCATGTCAGATGATTTCATTAAAATCCAAGCGGTACTTTCCAAGTTATAAAGGGGGCCAAGGATTAGCGGACAAAGGGACAGAAATTAGTGGCATGGTTTTTTATGATGTACATGCCATATACGAGGTCTGTTAATTACGTGTTGAGACTGGCAACGTAGCTTTCAATCTTGGAGGAGTGTATATGTTTTGTGAGTAAGAGTCTGAACTTGCTCGAGCCATTTGGCTGTCCGTATCAATTTTTTTTGTGAAACAGTTTTCCTATTGTGTCCTAAAAATAAATGACATCAATTTCGAGCAACGGTGTGCTATCAGGTTTTGCTTCAGATTTGGGCACAGTGCAACGGGAACTCTTGCTAGACTCCAGCAGTCCTACAGAGATACAGGGTGCGCCATCTTTTATGTCGGTATGTAAACATGAAATAACTTTGAAAACGAAAAACTGATTTCTATATATTGGGTATTTTTATTAAATATGGTCCTTTACAATTTATTGGGACTAGTTTTTGAACACATCCATCAAGTGGCCACTTTCACTGGCCAAAACAAAATGTGCCCGTTTTGCTGCGTTTTCCATTACTTTTTCGAGCATCTCTGGTGGTATAGCGGCGATTGCGGTACGAATGTTTACCTTGAGTTCTTCAGTGGTCTGGAGCTTGCTGGCGTACACTTGACTTTTCAAATAACCCCACAAGAAGAAGTCCGGTGGGGTCAAATCTGGAGACCTGGGTGGCCAGTCAATGTCACCTCTTTTTGACGTCAGACGTCCAGAAACTGGATTGTTGCATTTGCAGTGTGGCATGGCGCACCATCTTGTTGAAACTAGTAACCATCAAGACCTTTTTCACGCATTTGTGGGCAGACATAATGAGCCAACATCCACCGATATCGATTTCCATCGACTGTTTCGTTTTCGTTGAAGAAAAATGGTCCGATGATGGTTTTGGCGTAAACGCCGGCCCAAACAGTCACTTTCCGGTCATCCAACGGCATTTCGTCGATTTCATGTGGATTTTCCGTCTCCAAATGCGGTAGTTTTGCTTATTAACGCCGCCAGAGAGGGTGAAATGGGCCTCGTCGGTCATCACAATCAGGTTCAGCATCAACCATGTGAGCGGCTGTTTGGGCGTATTCCAAGCAACGTGGTCGGTCATTTGGCAATATTTCTTTTGTTAACTGCACCTTATAAGGAAACAAATGCAAATCATCCTTTCAAATGCGCGGTTCCACTGAGCGCGGTGACGATACGACACTTTTAGGTTCTGGGCAACGCTGTCTCTGACCGCTTCAACCCATTCATTGGAACGTCTTGGTCGTTGATGAACGGTATGTTGACGATCTTCCAATGTAGTGTCCCGTACTCAAGAAAATTCGAAACCAAACGACGGATAGTGTTGTCAGACGCGCGGTGCCTGTTTGCCACGATATTTTCGACGATATGCACGTTGCGTTAACACAACTGAACGACGATTTGATAATATAATTTTATTATATAATATAATTTTATTTAATTTGTAAGATTTCGGCGCGTTGTTTCGGTGTAAAGCGATTCATGACTAAAATTGTAGTAAATTGACGTTTCAGCATAACCAAATTACTCGGTTGGTAAATATCAAAGTCATTCGATGTTTCAATACCGACATAAAAGATGGCGCTCCCGGTAGTGTTTTATCAAGAGCCCAGGTTTTTGGGTGGTTTAAGGCATTTTCAGAAGGCAGAGAGTCGATTGAAGATGAACCACGAAGCGGAAGGCCTTCATCATCAAGAACCGACATAATCCGGGATCTTGTGCGTACAGATTGCCGGTTGACGGTTAGAATGATCAGAGAAGAGTTAAATTTGACTCACACCACCGTTCATCAGATCAGGAACAACAGAGTGTGGCATCACGATAATGCTCCTTGTCACACAGCAACGTCAATAAACGAGTTTCTGGCCAGTAAAAACATGCATGTGTCTCATCAGCCTCCTTATGCGCTTGACTTGAGTCCTTGTGACTTTTTTAACCTTCCTGATATTGGAAAATTACCTGAAGGGAACTCATTCTGAGACAGTCGAAAACATTTAAACGGCTATAACTGACCAGTTAGAGGCGATTCAAGTATCGCACATCGAGCACTGCTATGAGGAGCGGAAGGACCGTCTCCAGCGATGCGTGGCTTCAGCATAAAGTCGTATTGAGGGTGACAACATAAAATTGTAATTATATTTGAATAAAAACATAGCAATAGTACTTCCTGTGTCGTGCGAAGTAAAATGACTGAGCTTTAATGATTTTTATATTTTATTTGTCGCTAAAGCAACAATAAATAAAAATATAAGTACAAAAATGCACTATAACTTAACACAAAATGTTGTCCAACACACCGACATTCTACTTCTAGAATACACATATAAGTATCGATGCATGTCCAATACAATCATATAAAAAATCTTATCACAGTAACAATAAAATTCAATATGAACTATAAAATAAGCAGCCTTTTCACAGAATTACAAAATAGTTATTTATGTATCGAGGGCGTAAAGTGGCCGTAGAATTAACACGTCCTGATATAAATGCCTGTTACACCCAAGATACCTAAACATTTTCTCTCCGACCGGATTCCAGGTGAGTCAAAAATTCAGAATAGCCTTCAAGTGGATATAAAATAATTATTATCTGCAGCCGAGTCTTATGATTAATGATTATTGGTTGATTTAAAGATAGCGGGCTCTGAAGTTATTGCGGCGTAAAAATCCCGGGAGCTAAAAAGTAGGACTTATCGCACAGAAAGAACAGTTTACGGCCCGGTCGTAGACAAAATCACATTAATACTTAGTACGAAGCAACGAGTTGAATGGTGTCGTTGATCTGCCATTTTCCATTTGATTTTCTGACTCTGTCTTCTTTCAATAGTTTCAACAGGTGATGATTGATGCTGGTTAAAGCTGTTTTGACTTGTTTTTCCGGAAGGTTCTGGAAGACCAGTCTCACCAGATCTTCGTTATTGAACGATTGGGATTTGTTGTTGAGCAGAAACTCGATTATCATGCGTTCTCGTTGCATTTGATGTTGGATGTACATGTGGATTGCGTCCATTGGGTTCTGGAAAGAAAAAAATTCAAATTTTAAAGAAAGAATATCTAGGTCAAATTGATTCAGAAAGACTCAAGTCGAATAGAGACTTAACTACAGTGTATTTAAATCTCATTTACGCTATGTCAAAATAAAAGTCCGCGCTTGACGTTCACGCGCTTCTATTGGCCAGCGGGCCATAGATGCCTGGGCAGGCAACGACATGCGAGAAGAAGCTGACGATCGAATGCTGATGTTTGTTTTGACATAGAGTAAATGAGATTTCAATAGGTTATATAGATATTGTTATACAAGCACAAGACATCGCAAACCTTTACATTTTAAGTTATATAAATTAAATCTATAGTACTTGTGCTTCAATAGCCAATACATGGAAGCTATGTTTGATTATTACGTCTGTCTGGTAGTATTACTAGCAGGATCAGAAGCTTCTTAATAATATAACAGCTATTTAGAGCATCTAAAACATGGAAAAATGGCGTCAAGTAGGTTGACACTGCACTTCCTATGGAATGCTGTTATCAGTTCTTAAATGATTATGTTCGGGACGTGTTAGCCCGACTGAGAAAAAAGTTAGCTACGGACATGTTTAACAAAAAATTAAATGGATCAAGTTATTTAGACAGACTTATACAACTAAAATTTGCATATTTATTATGTTTTTTTTTTGTACAATTTTCGGGCACTTTAGAATTTGGTTCCCTGAGAAAATTTGCTCTCTCTGGTCCGTACTTTCCAAGTTATAGAGGGGTCAAGGATTAGCGGACAGACATACGTGATATGATGTAAATGTCATATAACACTCAAAAAACACTATATCAATTTCAAGACTTTTTCAACAACTATTTTGTACGAATTCCAAAATACTTTTGAATGACCAAATTATTTATCCAACAAAACTATACACTTACATGAATGATGTTTCCATGTCCAGGGTAAACCACAGAAGGGTTGAGGTTTGCAATCTCCCCCAAAGAATGCAACTGGTCAAACAAGTCTTCGCAAACTGCAATTCCGTCACCCATCAGACAGTCACCGCTGAAGACAGCGTTGTCTTCCAAAAGATGGAACGCTACGTGGTCATCAGTGTGACCTTGTGAACGCAAGATCTGGATTGTCGCTCCTTCGACAACGAACTCTTGGCCATCCTTTAGATGCTCTATTTCTATGTGTTTTGGGATGTTCAGCTCGCTGTCTTTTGGGCTGGGGTGTTTCCAAACCTGGCAGTGTTCTGAAAAAGAAGTATGTCTTCATAAATCTATAACTTCTCACCAGTTGTAGCTATATCGGGTGTTTCAAACTCGATTTTTACAATCAGGATCTCGGAAACGGCAAGAGATACGAAGTCGGTTGAATGAGGGCAGAGTTACATAGTTAGGTAACTAATAAGATGACACAGAAAGTTTCGCAATTCCATGTATTTCCGGAGATAATCGAAGGGAACCGAATTTCCCAAAATAGTTTTTATTATATACGAGTAACGAGAATTTCAATATGCCGTTTCATCTTCTGTCCTCAATCATCATTTTTATTTTTTATTATAAATAGAGTTTTTGATATTGATCCCAAAAATATATGATCTTATATCCTATATTGACATTGTCAGACTTAAGTCATTTAAAAAAACTAAGATAGTTGGCTGTGAAAATAACAGTTTATCACTTGTATATCCGATTAAATCACCAAAGCTTCAGTTTTTTAGAAGCGTGTTTGAAGGACATTCCGTTAATTTGCCCATTTATCGACTATAACAAGCGATATTTTAGCTTCATGACATCTCAGCCGTAGATTGATTGTATTTGAATGAGGCAACAGCGGAGGCCGCAGTAGTAGACTCTTCGGTCTCCTGATCAGTCGCCGTGCGCTGTGCGGGTTCGAGTCCCGTCCCAGGAGAAATTTTTCTCTTGGCTATGGATGTTGTGATTGTCCGTAGGTGGTAGACGGTCTCTGACTGTCGAACGTGGAGGTACCACCCGGCGGATCTCGTAGGCGGAGCCAGAATGTGTGCATGTTGCATGCACACGTGTTCCCTCGCCAGAGTCCGTGTGGCGTTCCCCCTTTCCCCAGTATCCCCCTATAGCCCCACGGTACCCAATGGGTGTTTAGGCCTTAGGCCTTCGTGGTAGTTGGAATATAAAAAAAAAGATGTGCGCATCGGTTTAGATATGAGGGATATGAAATGTGTTTAAGATGCTTAACACATTATACATTTTTAGAATCAGAATTACAAGCTGTATTCAACTATACAAAAATCCAATAAAGCGCCTTTGTTGAGGATATGAGACGAAACTGCACTGCTTGAAACCCCCTCAAATAAAGACAGGAAAAAATTAAAACGACTTTGGGAAGATTCTATTTCTTTCGACTATTTAGAGCCATTCTCTTAGTTTCCTATTTGCTCCTATCTGACTTCGTATCTATTACCGTTTTCGAGATACCAATGGTAGGAGTAGAATTTGAAACACCCGGTATATTTTTACAGTAAGCACGTTATGTAAACTACTTACTAGTTTTATCTTTAACGTGCTCAAAAACGTCAGCCAAGCCTCCTATATGATCTTCATGGCTGTGCGAGATGAAGATATGAGCCAAATCAATTCCCTCGTAATTCAAAACCGCTCTTAAGTGGTTGATGTATTCTGGGATGTCAGCTTCTCCGCAATCTATTAAAATACGCCTAGAACAATGACAATATTTCAATACTCTTCGAAATGTTTAGTCCACAAAGTTTTTACATTGCTACACGGCAAAGTCCTGTATCCTTTGTACGGGCAATAACGGTATTAACGGTATTTGGACAATTTTAATCAAAATACAAGCGCGATGATAAAAACATTGACCAGAAGAAAGAGGAGTGGTAGGTCCCTGATGAATATACCTAACAGAGTTGGACGTCACATCCGGATTTCAGGTTTCAATATTTGTTTTCTCCCGATTCTTTTTTTTTTGAGTTATGTTTCGAGTTGATCGAGCAAAGGAGCTTTTCACGAAAAAATGGTTCATAGCTATGTTCGATTACAGACCCACTGAGACCAATAAGCTAATAAAAAAGCTGACCATTTATAAGACAACTCTTCAAAAATATTTTGCAGACTTAGTTTCTCCAAATGTGTGGGTACTCCAGTGTGATTAAAACGTAATCTATAAAAATGTTTTTTAAAGTGCATTTTTCTAACATACTGTATATTATTTTCAAATTTTGAAAGCATCATTGTGATTTACCCTCCAAAAACTATAGTATTGCGGAGTTTGATTGATGAAATCAGTTTGTTTTTGAAGTAGATATAAGCAATTTGATAACGAACAACATTTAACAGTTTTTTATTCCAATACTTATAGCTTATATCTTTTAATTAATGTCAGATTGGTCTCAGTAGGTATGCAATGAAAAACTGCACAACTTTCGCATGAGACATTTTTTTGTGAAAGTTCGGTTAAAAAGACAATCTTTGACTAGCATTTTTAGGAAATCCGCAAGAAATAAACTATTGTAATTTAGTGCATGTCAATCACTGTATTTTTATGACTTTTCCATATAGTTGCATTCGGCTTTCAATTTTCGCCTAAAAACTTAATTTGATGGATATTAAGTGGTATTATATCAGCAACAACAGATAAAAACTGTCTAGACAAATAAAAAAGTGTATTTGTTTTGTTATCTGTGATATGTTATCTGTATTATTATTCCTTTATTTTGTATTTACCTTTTACCAGTTCCTATGATGTATGTGTTAGTACCCTGTTGAGTTTCAGTGCTAGGGTTACAACCTAGAATTCTAATAACTCTAGGTGAGATTCTAGTAACAGCAGGAATCACAGCAGCCATTTCTTTGGAATTGTAGAATTGATGCAGGAAGCCTGAAATAAATCAAATTATCAAACAACCGAAAAAAATATTATTTTTTTAAACAACGCAATATTTTGCTTATAATCGACTAGACCATTTACTTACTGAGCTATCAAAACGATGTTTTTCAAATTGAATTCTAAAGACAAATTTCATATATTTTTAATTAAATCAATGAAATTGATCACACAATGGAAGAAAATAATTTTTCAAAGAACGTAGATGAGTAAGAAAGTTGTTTAAAAATTAGTACCTGGGAAAAACAAGTTGCATTGTAGATGTAAATACATAAAACAGTTTGGTGTTTTAAATAATTTTAACTCCTTCAGAAATTTTTTCTGATGACGCTCAAAAATAATCAGAAGCTCAAAAAAAACGAAGTTTGGAGACATTTTAAAGCTTTTAGTCTTACGCTCGTGGCCAGTAGATCGATTTCCAAAACCCACAAAGGTTTCTTATTCTTTGCTTAGTAGTAGTTGTGTATAATGCATAGAAAATTTTCAAGTGGGCCCGTAGGAATTGTTTTCGGAGGGGACATTAGAAATTATTAGGCCCCAAAAAATTTTTAAGAGCGGGGAAAAGCATATTTTCAGATAAAGGACCAAATCCTGAAAAACTTAATGATTTACAAAATTATGCTAAATATGTAAATTTTTGGAGGCAGCCAGATTCCCAGGGGGATTGCTTTTTGACTCTATTTTTCAAACGAGGGATGTGTGAGTTGTCAAATTTATGAAGCAAAGTCAATTTTGTTTGTGGATTTATCAATATTTTCGAGTTAGAATCATTCATGTTAACGTGGTGTGCTTCTGTGAAGGAAAATAATGAAAAATGAAAATTACACTTTCTAAACAATTTATCGACCTGAAGTACCTAACAAAATATAGTATTTGTTTCTGGACCATGAAAAGGCGACTATACAATTTTTAGAAGTTTGCACGTTTTTAGCACAACTTTATATTCAATTGTGAAAAAAAAATGTCTCTTCGTTCTAATTTGCTAAAAGCTCGTAAATGGTGCAGCGACTAAACATGTTTTAGTAAATTCGGACCTTTTTTAGTTTAACATCGCTACTGCTCGATTCAAATATTCCAAATTTGCAAAAGAATTAAAAACGCAAGTAACGGTGACTTTGTAGTAACGAAAACTTTGACTAAAATACAAATTCACTTACAAAAACACCACAAATGACTTCACTAGTACACTTTATGTGGCACCAACAGAAGTTGATCACAAAGTTGACACGCTTTAGCCTCGTCTGCAAATCACACAGAACGAGTCTGAAACGCCAGTATAGAGCCATCCTCTTTATATTCAAGTTATCTACGTTCAACCTCAATATAAAAGTCGAGAAGTTGATAAGCCCAAGGAACGAACGTTTTTTTAAGTTTCAATTATGAGCATTACTGATTATGAGTGAAGATATGACGGGGTCAAATCTCGGGAAGGTCGTGTGTGTGTTTTGGTTCCAAGTAATCAGTCTATGTTTAACAACATTCTGATTATAGAACGATAGAGTTCTACACATGCTGATGATGGACGTACGTTAGAAATAGCGTCATTGCATGAGTACATGTTAGAGGGAGAAATGTGATTTTTCATTGGATTGTGCTGGTTGTGTGGCACCTTTTACTTGCTCATATGTGTAGGAAGAGGAAAAGATTAGTTATATAATTTATGTGATGATAATTAATGAAATGTAGGTCATTTTAAATTATTACCGGATTTTTCTGTATATTTGTAGATCAGGCTAACTAGCCAGATAATGGAGTCAAGTAAATTAACTGAGTACTTCCTATGCAACGTCACAAAATTTTATGTAGGCACATGGATGCTTTAAGTATCAGATGTATGAAACATCTCATTTCAAAATGTTTGAGCCCGCTGAATTTGTTTTGCTCTTCTCATCTAAAGTCCCAGCATCGCTTGAAAAATAATCAATGATATCCTGGAAGACATTAATTTGTCAATTTGGAAGAAGTAATTATAGGTGACAAACAGATTTACGACATTTTCCAACACGATCCATTACAGCTGGTGACATCAGGGTTCGGTCCTTAGACCAATACTTCACTCACTGTACATCAAAAAAAAAATCAAATACAATTTATTTTCCAAAAAAAAACATTATTTTAACGTATTGTGTATTGTGTAAATAAACACACATAATAATATTTTTGACAAAAAGGACATATCATCGATCAAAATGACCGTTAGCACCCACACCGAAATAGATCCACACACACATACAACATCTATCATCACATGCTCGCTTCTCCATCTTAACATAAAGGTAAATTTGAAAAAGGAAACACAATCACACTGATTATTGTATTATTGATCCTGAAGAAGCATGGCCATTATATACCTACATCCATGATGCCCCTAGCCCCAGCAACTGTGAAGTCTATCTGTATGCTGAAGATACTGGATTGGTGGCCCAGTCGTGGTCTGGTGACCTAGTCCACGACAGGCTGCAAGGTGCGATCGACGAAGTATTATGGCTCGTTTACACAGTGCGAGCTGCTGACTAGACAGTAGACAGCTACTCGGATGGTTTATTCGTATGCCAGTAGCTCGACTCGCCTTAGTTGTTTCCACGATGATAGTAGCTTCCCAGTATCTTCCGAGTTGTTGCGATGTCGAGTCAAGTTGCTGTGATCAAAAAAACGGTGATAAGGTCTATGACAATAATATTATGTGAATAATTGGAAAAATCCTACAAAAAACTTCTAAAAAAGGAGAGGAAGAAGAAGGTTTGGATTAGAGATTGGATGGCAGACGATCTATAGGGGCAACATGTGCGATTTTCAAGGAGCTTTATCATGAAGACCCCCGAGAATATAAAGCAGTGCTGAGAGTGACACCCGAACAAGTTGACAAACTTTTAAATTTAATAAAAATGAAAATAGAGCATCAAGACACTTTTGTGAGAGATGTCATACCAGCAAGGGTAAAGTTAGAAGTAGCCATGTGTTTTCTAAGCTCAGGAATATCATACAGGCTGTTAGCAATATTCTTCAGGATTTCAAAATCCTCCATATCAAAATTTATTCCTGAAGTTTGTGACGTTATGTATGAAGCTTTGGACGAATATTTGCAGGTAAGTAGAAATGTGGTAGATGCTTCATGAGTTGATACTTCAAAGGTTCAGTTAACTTATTCATTCATTTATTAAAGACAAACCAAGTCATACAAAATTAACACAAAAGTAACACAGAGGATAAAAGTTATTGCATATTGTTCATATCACCATCTATCATTGCTCTGAATATTGGATCACTAAAGTGGATAGCCTCGTATGATGCATTTGATGGTTGTCCAACAACTGTTTGAACTGGCTGCCGAGAAACTGTTTCTGCGGGCCGATCAGATATTGGGACAGGTCCTGGGAATGAATCACTTGGTACACTGGATCCTGGTGATGTCAGCGATATGTAGGACATTGGCGACGATGTATTATATGAGGAAAACGCAGATGTGTTTCGGGCATATATAGCTTTTTTTCGGTATCGGGAAAGTACTTGTTGGATTTCATATTTGGCGTCTATAAAATCGAGTAATGGCAGCTGTCTCAGTTGAATAGCGACATGATTTCCAATAACATCGTACTCATCTCATTGTTGAGAACAACTGGAAGTTTGTATCGTACTATTCAGTTGTTTAAGCTCATTAATAGCTGCTGAAATTCCACTCGTTTCTTGAGTAATGTTATGCTTTATTTTATTTTTAACTTGAACTGGATTTTTATTTTCGATCAACGAGCTGTCGCTGGAGTCGATTGATTTATTATCAGTTTTATCACCAATGTCCCGACTAACATCATCTTCCAAAATTTTGGACCCCGGCGGTGTATCGTTAGGCTGAAATGAAAATACTAAATTAATATTTTTTCAGGTACCAGACAAAAGGGAATGGGAAGACATACAAGTAGGATTTCACCAGAGGTGGAATTTTCCAGGATTTTGTGGAGCCATCGACGGCAAACATGTGGTAATTCAAGCTCCTGTGGTAGTGAATACTACAATTATAAAGGAACAAACAGCTGTCATGGATCATGACTACTGTTTTAAATATGTGGACATAGGCTCATATGGGCGAAATTTCGACGGTGGTGTCTTCCAGGCTTCCTCATTGTATCCAGTGTTGGAAAATAGGTCATTACTGCCAGAAGGTGGATTGCTTGTGGGAGATGATGCTTTCCCTCTTAAGACATACTTATTGAAACGATATCCCGATGAGCCCGCGATTGCCGAAAAAATTTACAGTTACAGATTCACTAGGGCAAGACGCATAGTAGAAAATGCATTTGGTATTTTAGTATCTCGATTCCGTGTTTTGGCAAAACCTATCCAGTTGCAAGAGGAAACCGCAATAAAAATGATTCGAACTACATGTGTACTGCATAACTGGTTGCACAAATCTTCACTTCACACCTACACACCACCTGGTAGCATAGATTATGAAGATATTGTAAATTTCACTACGAACCTAGGAACGTGGAGATCAGAAATAAATGCGTTACCAAGTATCGCACGTTCGCGGATCAATAAGAGATCAAAGATCGCAACTGAAAAATTGAGACAAAAATATTTTTTTTTTGTAATGAGGGTCCTGTCACCTGGCAAAATTATATGATTAACAATAATTAAATGTAATGAACTATCTCAGTGGAATAAAATATCAGGTACTCACCAGATTGCTTGTTGTTCCCTTTGCTTTCAAATTAATTGTTTTCATTATATAATCCGTTATATCGAACCATTTTAATGATGACTTGTAAACATCTTCCGACCCAGATCCACTCTTTTTACTTTTTTCGCGCGTTCTTGGTTATAGGTAGATCGTAAATTTTTTATTGTCTTAGTTACCTCACTGGTGTTAACTAGATTCATTTCGTTTGCAATGTATTCCAAAGATGCTTTTCTCATATCTCTATTTTTATAATTTTTATCAAAACAATTCCATAGGTTTTCTGGTTCTCTGTAGAGATTCATGAATGTAATATTATTCTCAGAGGACCACCTTTCTGATCCCATTTTGAATTGGGTAAACGCTTTTGGCGCAGCATACATAAAACACAGCTTCTGCTTCGTATTTGCGGGATGACACTGGCGAGCTACTGCCTAACATGTCCGAACGATGCGAATGACGTCCGAGCTGTCGCCATATGCGCGTTGCTGTCGGGCCAGTAGGCGAGTGAAAACAAAAATTGTTGAAGTAACTCGGATGCGAGCTACTGTCTAACTCGCACGTCCGAGTTACTCGTAGGTACGTCCGTATTTATGCGAATTACTGCACTGCAGCTACTCGGCAGGCTGATTCGTACGCTAGCTCGCACTGTGTAAACGAGCCATAGTGTCTTGATGCTCTATTTTCATTTTTATTAAATTTAAAAGTTTGTCAACTTGTTCGGGTGTCACTCTCAGCACTGCTTTATATTCTCGGGGGTCTTCATGATAAAGCTCCTTGAAAATCGCACATGTTGCCCCTATAGATCGTCTGCCATCCAATCTCTAATCCAAACCTTCTTCTTCCTCTCCTTTTTTAGAAGTTTTTTGTAGGATTTTTCCAATTATTCACATAATATTATTGTCATAGACCTTATCACCGTTTTTTTGATCACAGCAACTTGACTCGACATCGCAACAACTCGGAAGATACTGGGAAGCTACTATCATCGTGGAAACAACTAAGGCGAGTCGAGCTACTGGCATACGAATAAACCATCCGAGTAGCTGTCTACTGTCTAGTCAGCAGCTCGCACTGTGTAAACGAGCCATTAGAGTGGGCGGATCGGTGGCTGGTGAAAATTAACCATTCGAAACCGCCGGCAATCTATTATACGAAAAGACGTCGCGGCGCCCCGTCTGAGATTTCAACGAACAGAGTTCGTATACCATGGGAAAGCTCCGCTTAGTATCTCGGTAACATTCTAGACAAAAGGATGACTTGGCTGGATCATATTGAAGCATTAAAAACTCAATTTCCTATTATGTTTCAACAGCTTTATCCCTTATTATGTAAAAGATCAAAATGAAGTTTGGTCAACCTCACAAGATTCGGCTCTATAAGGTGGTCACAAGACCAGCAATGACTTACGCTTGAGCAGTTTAGTGTTTTATTGCCAAAACACTCATGCGCAATCTGCAGGTTCTGTAAAGCAGAACGTTGCGCACCATAACTAAACTCTTCACAGAGACCTCGATGTCAGCTTATCTACAGCCAAGCGGAATCGCACAGCAACCATCTATTGCGCGAATCAGTGGAATACACAGTCGAGCAAATTCGCAAGCACAAAAGCCAGCGGCACGCACTGTAATCAAAATTAATTCGTGGATAGAACAACCATTTTGATAAAATGCTTACTAAAATCAAATTTTAGACCATATTAAAATCTGTCAATTGATTTTAACAATGCCTATATACGGTAACTGTCCTAAAAGATTATCTTCTTCCTGTTTGCTCTCGTCCTTCCTTCTCTCCTTTCCTTCCGTTTTTTTCCTTAAAGTTGTCTGGCTTCTAGGCTACCACACCTGAT